AAGAAGTTAAATAACAGGGCCAAGGTCACATAGCCAGTAGAGGCAGAGGCTAAATTCGATCCATTGTCAGCTGATATTAAAATCCCCTCAATGTCCTTTGTCCTAGCAGGATTCAGGGACCTTTGCACCTTAATTTCAGAATGTTTTAAACATGAAAGGTGTGTGGGCAAAAGGGCTGCTTCTTTGAGGCCACAGGCTTCCCTAGCCCACACACACTCTGTCCCAGGCCCAGGGTCTGCTGAGCAAGTGCTTAGAGGTTTATTCCCGCCCCCTGCCCCCCCCCCCCCGCCCCGGGCGCACTGGTGATGAGGATGGAAGCTATAGCTTAGCTGGATACAGAAATGAGAGCTGATCCAGACCTGTACTTCTGGGCATCTGGAGGCAAGAAGCAACTACCACATAGTGTCACTCAGCAGTGTGTGAGCCAGGCAGCCTGGAACTTAGGCCTAACTTCCCTCTGAGGCCCTTAGCTTCCTCTTCTGATGCCAGGGTCAGTCTGGAAGAGCTGGTCTGTCTGAGTGTTGAAGACAGTCCCATGTATGCAGCTGCCCTGATGCTTTCTAGGATCTGAGTCTTTGGTCACAGCCTGCAGGCTCTGACCACTCTTGAAACCCCTTCTTACACCACTGACCCTGTTGTGGGTTGAATTGTGTCCCCTGAAAAGATATGTTGAAGTTCTGGCTAGTGTGGCTTAGTGGATTGGGTGTCGGCCTGCAAACTGAACGGTCGCCAGTTCGGTTCTCAGTCAGGGCACATGCCTGGGTTATGGGCCAGGTCCCCATTTGGGGTCAGGCAAGAGACAGTCGATTGATGTTCCTTTCCCTCTCTTTCTCCCTCCCTTTCCTGTCTTTAAAAATAAATAAATAAAATCTTTTTTTAAAAAAAGATATTGTGAAATCCTAACCTCCCAGTACCTGTGAATGTGACCTTATTTGGAGACAGTGTCCTTGTAGATGTACTGACTTCATCTTAATGAAGACACTTAGGTGGGCCCTAATCCAATATGACCGGTATCCTTATGAGAAGAGAAAACACCACGTGAAGACAGAGACACACAAGCTGAAGCACATCATGTGATGGAGGCAGAGACTGAAGCTCCGTGGCTGCAAGCCAAAGAACGCCCGGGGCTACCTCACCCAGGAGGCTTCCGAGGAAGCACGGCCCTGCCAACACCCTGATTCCAGACTTCTAGCCTCCAGAAATATGAGAGAATAAATTTCTGCCATTTAAAACCACTACATTTATGGAACTTTGTTATGGTAGCCCTAGGAAAATAATAAAGATCCTCCAACATGCTTACATGCCTTAGCCACACCACCCGTTTCTCTGCTCCGCCACAGGCTAAGCTCCTTCTCACAACTCCAGGACCTTCATACATGCTGCTCTTTCAGATGTTCTATACCAACACCTTCCCCACACCCAGTCCCCTGCTCCTTCTGAACTTGGCTTAAATGGCACTCCTTCAGGAAAACTTGGATTTGGGTTTCCCTCAGAGCAGCAATAGGAATGCCTTCTTCACAGCTCCTAGCACATCTGTAGTTAATTACTTTCTCTCACAGTCGTGTAATGCCCGTTGCTCTGGCCCAGCTGTAGTCGTCATGACAACCGTGCCTGGCTTGACACATCTCTCCCCACCAGCAGTCCTATCTATCCCCAAAGCCCCAAGGCTGAGGCAATGTTAGAATTTTTTCTCTTTACAGCATTCTCTAAACAGTAAACAACCAACATATGTTCACTGACAGGACAAGAAACCCTAGAAAACATAATGAACAAAAAGGAAAAAAATATACTAAAATAGCCTATTTTCCCACTGCACAGAGTAATCATTGCTAACATTTTCTCATATATCCTTCCAGAATTTTTTCATGTCATGTATATTTCTTTTATTTTAAAGGTTTTATTTATTTATTTATTTATTTCTAGAGAAAGGGGAAGGGATGGAGAAAGAGAGGGAGAGAAATGTCAATTGGTTGTCTCTCATATGCTCCTGAACTAGAGGCTAAACCCACAACTCTGGCATGTGCCCTGACCAGGAATCGAACCGGCAACCTTTTGCTTTGAGGGATGATACCCAACCAACTGAGTCACGCTGGTCAGGGCAGCCATGTGCATTTCTTAAAATGCAATTATACTGTTTTGTGCACTGCTTTTCTCTAGTAAGAAGGGTATAATAAGCATACTTAAAGGTCAGTAATACAAAATTATATCACCATTTTTAGCGGTTGCCCAACATTCTATTGTAAGATGAACCACAATTTATTTAGTTAACCAGTCTCCAATTTTGGGGCACTTAGAGAATTTTTAGTTTTTCTCCAATGTGAATAACACTACTACAATTGAAAAATGGGTCTTCCTTTGCATTTTGTCTGATTCTTTCTTTCTATTTCCTTCCTTCCTTCCCTCCCTGGCCTCTTGGTGTTTATTCTTCCCTTGGTATAAAACACATGGAAGGCTTGGGTGTGGCTTGGATGGTAAAGAACAGATTCGTTCGAGTTCCTTTTTGGTGTTTTGCTGTTTTGATGTAAACTCCCAACTGCCTGTGCTTGCTGCAGCTTGCCTGGTGTATGAGGCGAGCGGGGTGGGGTGGGGAGGGGACAGAGTCTGATAGTCCCAGTGCATCTGGAAGCCTGGTGGCTGGGGTTGGCTTTGCCAGGCTGGCTGCCAGGCTGCTTTCTCATGGCTTCCTGAGCCAGGTCACAGGTGATCGTGCTGCTGGAAGCCTGACAGAGCTTCCAAGTGCTCTGCGGACTCCAACCCCATGGCCATGAATGGGACAGTGGACTTTCTGAAAAAGAAGTTCACCCAGTAGTGACCGGGGTTGACCTTGGAGATACTGCGATGACGGGGGATGGCTTTCCGGGGGGTACTCAGCACTTTCACAGGTGCTGTTACTCAAAGTGGAACCCAGGAGACCCTTGGCTATGAGCGAGCTGGCGGCTGCTATGCTCTTGTTTACAGGCTGGTAGAAACCTCGAGGGTGACCCCTTACTTGTCTTGGTGGGAGATCACAGGTGGTTGGGGGGGCGTGGAGCCCATGTTCGGAGGGTTAGCCGCTAGACTGAGATACATGCAGGGTGATTATTTCTTTTTTTCCCCTTTTAATGGAATTTATTGGGGTGACATTGGTTAATAAAATTATATAGGTTTTGCCCTGGCCAGGCAGTGCAGTTTGTTAGAGTGTCATCCCAATACATAGAGGTTGCAGTTCGATCCCCAGTCAGGATACATACCGGAAGCAACCAGTGAATGCAAAAATAGGTGGAACAGTGGATCCATGTTTCTTTCTCTCTTTCTGTAAAATCAATAATAAATAAAAAAAAATTTTTAATTATATATGTTTCACGTTGGAGGTCATTATTTCCTGAGGAAGGATTCCTAGAGGGATAGAGGGAGGTGGAGGAGGGTGTAGGGGGATAAATGGTGATGGACACTCAATAGTGTAGAGATGATGTGTTGTAGAATTGGGTACCTGACACCTGTATAATTTTGTTAATGAATATCACCCCGATAAATTCCATAAAAAGGAGGGAAAAAAGGATTCCTACAAGTGGATTGCTAGGTCCATGATTATGTATGTGTTTGTAAGACTTCTGAAGCATAGTGACAAGCTGACCTATGAAGTAAAGGATCTTCGTTCAAGGAAGGAAGAACAGGGTTTGGAGAAAAAACAGGTTTCAGAGGAAATGACGAGTGTGGAGCAGCAGAGCTGACAGCAGCGGTGCCACCCAAGGGAGGTGGTGCTCAAAAGCTGGGCAGGACCCTGGAGGCCTGAGGCTGCTGGACACAGCTGGACCTTGGGGCCCACCCCTACAGGACTCTGCTCAGGCTTTCTCTCAGGCAGCCTCCACTTCCTTTGGTCTTGCAACAGCTGAGACCTTGTCTGCTTCAGTGAGCCCCTTTGTGAGCCAGTCGCCGGGGAGAGAATATGTAGGGAACTACCTTCATTCTTAGGAAATGATTTTCAAAACCAAGAGAGCTTTTGGGAAGCCTCGTTGTGTCTTCTTGTGTTTGACTGTCATGCAGAGGGTCAAAGCAAGGACCTCTGACCTGGGCAGAAACGAACTGCTGCTGCTCTGGGGGTGGCACCCCAATGTCACTCTCCAGGTCTGCCCATCCTCAAATCAAATCAGTTCATCAGGTTGCCAGGAAGTGGCCAGAGACACTCCCCACTCCAGGAGAAAATGTAAGCATGAACCTGGATCCTAGCACTTTCTACCCTGTCCCAGAAAATCAAGGCACAAGGCAAGCTGCCCTTTGGAGTGACCCACATGGCTTCCAGTCCGCCCTTCCTCATTTACTATCTGTGGGGCATGGGAAAGTTAATTCACCTCGCTGACCTTCAGATTTCCCATCTGTAAAATGGGGATAGTATTGTAACTATCCGACAGGGTAAGTGAGTTGAGTGAAATAATATATGCAACACTTGGTATAATTTATTATTATTATCCATGCAACTTCCTTTTTGGCTGGAACCACCAGATTCTCTCTGAGAAGTCACAGCCGTGACCACTTCCTGTGAGGCACCCAGATCCTACACTCTCCTGCTGGCTTTCTGCTCTTACCAAGCTCTTGAAAAGGCTGTTGTTACAGGAAATAGTTGTTTATTTTCCTCGCCTCCTTTCTGATATCACAGTCTTCAGAAAAAGAGAATCTCATCTGGAAATCAGAATAAAAATAACCAGGCAGGGTAGCATGGTGCAGTGTGTGGTGCCTTAGGATAGGTGTGTGGAGTGCCGTGTGGGTATTGGTGGGATGTGTTTAATTGTGGGGGGATAAAGAGAATCTGGTGTTGGGTTGTGGTTTGGGAGAGTGTGAGAAACTTCTGAACACTTTTGGCTTTGAGATAGCAAACTGCAATGGAATGGGGGCCTTCACAATCTTTGCCAACCACGCACTCCAGGACTGGGGTGTGACTCATCAGAGCCTTCTGGGAAGGCTCTTCCTTCCTCCCTGGAGACCAGGAAATACCCTCCTCCCTAGTGCACTGAGCTGTGGTCTGAGATGCCAGGGCTTGAGCGTTGCAGAGAAAGCTTCAAATTGTTTTTAACTTTCTGTTTTCAGGCTACGCCCAGACTGGCTGCCCTCAGTCGCTGAAAGCCATTGCACCGAGACTTCTCTCCCTGTTGACTGCCAGAAACAACCTTCTGTCTGGAGGTAGAAGGTAGGATCAGGAGCAGCCCAGCCAAACCTCCAAGGCTGGTGCCCCTGGGTATCCCTTCTGGCTGCCCTGCCCCCATTCCCTGAACTGTGGTTTTCAACTTTGCTAATAGCCTTCCTGGGGTAGATTCTGGGGAGAGGGAAGCCCAGGGCCCCAAGGGTCCCTAGGTGGGTGGCACCTCATAGATCTGGGTCTGGGAGGGTTGCTGCTTTCTTTCTTTGCTACCCTGTGGTCTTCCTGGGGTTGGGTAGGACATATATGTGTGGGCCCACTTCTTTACATGTTCTGTTTTCAATAAGTCTTTCCTGGACTGGAGCTCTGTCCCCAGCCTGTCCCATAGAGGGGTCTCCAAGGGCAACCCCTGGGTATGGTTGGGCATCAGGAGAGTTGGGGAGAGGTGTCGAGCCAGGTGCTCAGTCCTGGAATGAAAGGAAAGGGACAGGAGACTAGCCATGGATTTCTTGGTGCCCACAGATGTTGCACTCCAGCTTGCACCCATCCATTCCTCAGCCCAGGGGCCGCAGGGCCAAGAAGGCAGCCTTTGTTTTGCTGAGTGTCTGCCTGGTAGTCCTTTGGGACTTAGGGGAGCGGCCAGAACACATTCTCCAGTGGCTGATGCTCCACCTGGCCTCCCTGCAGCTGGGACTCTTATTCAAGGGAGTCTGCAGTCTGGTCGAAGAGCTACGTCACGTCCACTCCAGGTGACTCCCCACAGCGTCCATGGTAACTGGACACTCAGCATGTCTGACTCTCTTGACCCCCAGCCCCACCCCTCCTAGAGTGTCTCTAGCTGAGCTGGAGTCTGGGGTTTGGCTGTCACCTGCAGGTACCAGGGCAGCTACTGGAAGGCTGTGCGGGCCTGCCTGGGCTGCCCCATCCGCTGTGGGACCGTGCTGCTGCTATCCTGCTATTTCTACACCTCCTTCCCAAACACAACTCACCTGCCCTTCACTTGGACACTTGCGCTCCTGGGCCTCTCACAGGCACTGAGCATCCTCCTGGACCTCCAGGTATGACAAAGAGGGAAGCGGGGGGCATGACCAAGTGGAGGCTGTGGCAGGTGCGGCCTGTTCTGAGCTCAGTGCAGCCCGTGGGACTAGTTTAGAGGTTGGCCCTTGGAGTGAACCTATAATGTCCTGGAACCGTGGGGTCAGCAATGGCAGAGAAGGGAGAAAGTCAGCAGCATGAGGGGAAATCTTGGAGGAGGACGAGAGCTCTATGTGTCCTTCATGGAGATCCCCTGACCCCACCCTGCTGTCCACAGGACCTGGCCCCAGCTGAGGTCTCTGCAGTCTGTGAACGCAGGAACTTGAACGTGGCCCAGGGGATGGCATGGTCGTTTTACATTGGGTACCTGCGACTGATTCTGCCAGGTGGGCCATCCTCTGTGTCCTCATTTCTAGATTTACAAGACACACAGACAATAAAACACATAGTTTCTAGAACCTGGCATATTTATCAAAGTATTTTCATATCTAACAAATCATTTGGTTCCCAAAGCAATCCCGCAGGCATGAAGAATGTTGTTATTATGTCTGACTTATAGGAAGAAATAGTAAGTGATTTGTCCAAAGTCACCCATGAATTCTTTCAATAACTATTTGCTGCATGCTGTGTGCCCTTTATGTGCATTTTCTCTATTAATTCACACCTTATGACAAAGGGGATAATCATTATTCTTGCTTTAGAGATAAGAAAATTGTGGTTCCAAGAAATAAAATGACTTGTCCAAAGTCATACAGCTTAGTCAGAGGAGACAGGATTTGAAAGCAGGTCTGTCCAGAGCATGGACCCTTGGCCACTCTGCTGTGAGTCTGTGTTGTGTCTCATTCCTCTGACTGGCCGGCCAAGGCCGGGGTTCTCCCACCCCTTATTGCTGCCTTCCCTGAACACCAGGGCCTCTGCTGGGAAATGGCTCGTGCTGGAAGTCTGACTCAGTGCACCTGGGAGTGCTGGAAATGTCACCTTCCAGGGCTCTGCTTGCCTCTCAGAGCCCTGAAAGCTGTGATGGGAAGGAGTGGGACTGACAAAAACCTGGACAAAGGACAAGTAAGGGGGGAAGGCAGCGGTGGGAGTAGATGGAGGGGTGGGGAGGGTGCTTGGATGCATTGCCCCTCCTGGCCTCCTAGGCAGTATGAGGGGGCTGAACCCTCATCTCTCTTGAACCTACACTTTGAGGGGACCAATGACCCGGGTGGGAGACAGGGTTTGTGAGAATATCTTCTTGGGCCTTTCCCCCTCAGGGCTTCCGGCCCGGATCCACAGTTACAATCAGCACCACAACAATTTGCTACGGGGCGCAGGAAGCCATCGGCTGTACATCCTCTTCCCGTTGGACTGTGGGGTGCCTGACGACCTGAGTATGGTCGACCCCAATATTCGCTTCCTGCATGAGCTGCCCCTGCAGAAAGCTGACCGTGCTGGCATCAAGAGCCGGGTTTACACCAACAGCATCTATGAGCTCCTGGAGAACGGGAGACAGGTGAGTGTGCAGGAGGGCGGGTCCTGCTGGAAAGGCTCAGGCCCAGACCCCCAGAACTCTGGGCTCTGGCCGACCACTGATAAAAATTTACAGCCCTTCTCTGAGCCTCAGTTTACCCAATGAGTCCCAGGGCTGATCAAGATTCAGCACTGAATGAGGATAATAAATAATGTCTACGGAGCATTTATGCATGCCATATGTTATTCTACATGCTTCATCTAACCCCACCTCAATGAATCCTCACCATCACCCTGTTGGGGAGGGACTATTATGTCCTCTACTCTACAGATGATGAAACTGATACTCAGAGAACCAGGGAGAAAGTGGACAATTTCAACCTGAGTATACCGTGTATTTGACCATAAAGCTGCCCTAGATGAAGGCTGTGAGAACATCGGATGGGTTTCACATGGGTGGGTGGGGCGACCCAGAGCAGAGTTGAAGCCCAGAGCCTAGGCCCCAGACTGGATTTCAAGCTGGAGCAGCTGACAGCCTAGCTCAGAGGGCCTTGCCCTGGAATCTTAGGAAGAGGACCTGTGAAGGATAAGTTTAGCTCAGCCCTGTCCTGATTTTTGGAGTGGGTTAGCAGAGGCAAATCCAGCCGGACAGCAGAGCCCCCTCAGGGCAGCACCTCCCAGGATTCCATCTCTACAAGACTGAGGGAATGGGGTCCCTGCACTGGTACTGGGGCCCAGAGTCTGTCTGCCCTGGTTTAGTCTGGTCTTCCTCTTACCTCCTCCAGGTGGGCGCTTGTGTTCTGGAGTATGCCACCCCCTTGCAGACCCTGTTTGCCATGTCCCAGGATAGCCGAGCTGGCTTTAGCCGGGAGGATCGGCTTGAGCAGGCCAAACTCTTCTGCAAGACGCTTGAGGACATCCTGGCAGATGCCCCTGAATGTCAGAACAACTGTCGCCTCATTGTCTACCAGGGTAAGGGATTGATAGTCTGGAGGGCAGGAGTCAGGGGGCCCGCAGGGGTCAGAAGGAGACAATGACAGCATCGTGCCCTGGGACTTCCTAGGTAGTGAGGCAGCAAGCCCTGTCCCTTCCTGCCCTGGAGAGGTCCACTTCCCCAGGTTGGGGCACTCGGTTGCTCTAAGGCCTTTGACTATGTGTCTTGAATGGAGCACGCAAAGGGGAACCTGAGGGGCTCCTCTCTTCATCTAGGGAAGCAGAGGAAGCCAAAGAACCCAGGCCGGGAACTAAGAGACTGACAGGCACTGCAGCCTCAGCTCTGAAACTCCACTGCATGATCTTGGGCAGGTCTCTGCCCTTCTCTAAGCATTACCTCTAAAAGCAAGAGGGTAGCATTCCACTGTCTCTAAAACCACTACTAGCTCTAGGAATCAATGAAACTCTAACCTCAATGAGTTGGATGGGGAGGGAGAGTAGAAAGGAGGAGAGGAGGGAGGGTTGAAGGATCTGCCCAGCAAGCCCTCTGGGTGTGCTGGAGTGGGGATGCATGAGGTCCTCACTCCACTCCCCACACCCATTCCAGAGCCTGCAGAGGGAGGCAACTTCTCCCTGTCACAGGAGATCCTCAGGCACCTGAAGCAGGAGGAAAAGGAGGAAGTTACTGTGGATAGTGCAAGAACCTCAGTGATGCCTGACCCTTCCATGCTTCCCCAAGGGCCTGAGCTCCTCATCAGTAGCATGGACCAGCCTCTGCCGCTCCGCACGGATGTCTTCTGAGGCCCATGGTCAGCTTGTCTGAGTACCCAGCAGTCCCCAAGACTCTCTGGGTTGGGGGCTTTCTTTAGGGGCTAGGTGCTCAGGAAAGCCATTTCCTCCCACAGGGGGCCTCTCAAAGAAGGTACAGGGGCTTGACCTCTCAAGATGAGTCCTAGGACCTGGGGCAAGTTGTTTTGCCTGAGCCTCAGTGTCTTCGTCTATGAAATGGGGTCATACTCATTGCCCTACCTCACAGTTGCTGTGAGCACTATGACTGTATGGAGATTTCTCGTAAACTCTAATCTTCAGGTACACTTAAAGAATGTGCCAAGTGTCTTCCATTGGACCTTCCGGATCTTGTCTCTCCACCCCTGTCTACCCCCTCCCCCCTGGATGGAATCTCCCTTGCCCCCTGGCTTCTGGTTATGTTTGGCAGTGGGGAACCCCAGCGGGAGAATGGTGGAAAGGAAGAGAATGAAGTTAAAGCAAAATTGCCCACATCTGGGAAAGGAGGTGGCCCATTTCTACCAGTTCCATTCGTTCCATCCAGAACTTGTTCCTTCCTTCCCTCTCACCTTTGTTTTTGTCACAAATGTTCAATATGCATATCTGAGCACAGCATGCCATAGAGAAAGGCTCCACACACACATATTTTCCAGAAGGAACCAACTGCCCCTAAGGATGACAGAGCCAAGAGGGTGAAGGGGAACAGTCCCTTCCTCTCCCCAGCTGTCCCAGCCATTCTGTCCCCAAGGCCTGAGGATCCTCCAACATCACACCAGTCAGTCCTAGAGCTAGAAACCAGACCAGAATCAAGAGCCTCCCCAGCATGACTTTCCCCACCCATCTAGCCCTCAACATGGTTGTGGAGTCTGACAGCCTCAGGTTCAAATCCTTCTCTACTACTTAGTACATGTATGCACCTGGGTGTCTTAATATCCCCAAATGAAAAATGGGGATAACAGTGACTACTCTTCCCGAGGCTGTTATGAGGAGTGAACGGTATAATACATGCAGGCCCTTGGAGGAAGCCAGTGCCTGGCACGTAGCTGGCCTTCAAGAAGGGGCAGCTATTAACATTATTGCTGCCTTTCATCAGTTCCAAGGTGGCAAGCCAGTCCTCTGCACACATTACAATCCTCACCTCTGGTCCTCTTTACCTTTTGTTATTTCCCCACCTCCATGACTCTGCAGGGGTCTCCTTGAGGACAATCCCCAGGGTTGACTTGTTGCCCTCAGTTGTTCCCCAGGGTAAAGTGCCCAGAGGTCCCTCCATAAATGTCTGTCTGCATGTTCTTAACTGCACATAAATGATGCTCAGAGGTGTCAGGGAAAGAGGTACCTTTCCAGGAAGCCACTGGGAGGCTCAGCTCTGCCTTTCTGGCCTCCTGCCTCTTCCCAGCCTTCATGTTCCTCCTCCTGTAGGTCTTCTCCCCACCCCTTTCTTCCCCCAGACAAGTTCCATGAAGTTCTCTTTTTTTGTTATGTTTTCTCACCAGGTGGAAGGTTCTGGATTTGGGAGGTACCCTGGGGTAAATTCCAGGCTAGTTCCAACAGTTCCCAGCACACAGAAAGTGGAAGCTAATGAGAGCTCCCAAATTTCCCCCATTACATCATGGGGAGGCAAGGCAGAGTCTTGCCCCAAGAGAGTAGGAGCCATTCAAACATAATTTGGGGAGATATAATTTGGGGTTTTACAAGGGCCTTAGAAATTATTAACAAATCTGGGCCCTGACAGCCAAAGGGATGTCCCCCAGTCAGTGAAGGGCAACAGATTTTCCCTCCTCTCCTGAGTCCCAGAGAAGGCAGAGCCCTGTATCCCTTGCCGCGGCACTCCCTGGCTGACCCCCACGGGTGCCTGGGGGCTGGGGCACCGGGCCTCTGCAGGGAGCCTCTGACATCCCTGCACACAGGTAGGCTGGGTGGCGGAATCTTCCAAGATGGACTTACCTGAACACCCAAAGGAGAGGAGATTAGGGGCTGGAGGAGGGGTAGGGACTCAGAGAAGGAGGCTCAGGGGTCTGGTGGTCCCTGGAGAAGAGAGTAGCTTTGTAAGGGCAGCCTTGGACACTGGGAACAGTCATAGCAGCCTGTGCCTGGGCAGGGCCCTCAAGCTTCTTTTATTTCCTCCTATCCACAACAAGACTTCTCTGGGCTCTGCAGGGAGGGCAGCTCCAGCTTAGTCTATGTGTGCACTTCCAAAGCTCTCACGCCCAGGCCCCAGTTTGCCTTTGCCCTAGGTCTCTGTCCAGTTTCTTGCTCTCAGTCAAGTCACACCAACTTTCCAAAGTCTCCCTTTTACAGATACGTGACTTCATCAATGCTGAGCCTAGGTCCATCTTGCACAAGGCAGGAGCTAAAGACAGGAGGGCCCTGCCGGGTGTCTTCACGTCTATCCTCAGGGCCCAGCACTCGCCAGTGGGTGAGGGAGATGCCACCCTCTGGCTTTGGGGCCGGGAGTTCTGTGGAAAGGTCGGCACGGCCCTGGTGTAGACTTGGCCCACAGTGGACTGCCACCACGATACAGACTGCCAGCAGGACAAACAGAGCAATGATGACGGCAAGCAAAGGCAGTCCATCCTCTCGAGGTGGTTCCCAGGTCCCGCTCAGCACCTCTGGGAGCTGCCTCTGGGGCTCCTGCCCCACTGAGCCGTTCACAGCTGGAGAAAGCCAGGAATAGTGGTCAGCCTGGGAGGGGAGTGGCAGAGAGAAAAGGTGACGTGGGCAAGTCCACATAGAAGAAGACCAAAATACAGAGAGACATACCCCCAAAGGGAACTGAGAGGAAGAGACAGAGAGCCTTAGGGGGAGAATGAGAAGAACAGAGGCAAAGAGAAAGACAGAGTAAAGACAGGGAGAGAGAGACAGACTAGAGAGACAGAAACACAGAGGTCAATACATGCATAGCAACAAAAGAAAAAAAGAAAAAAAGACAGACTGGGGGATATGGGGAGGAAGATACAAAGAGAAAAAGAGAAAGAAAAATAGATACACAGAAACAATGAAGGTAGATACAGAGAGACAGAGAAAAAAGAAACAGAGGAAGGGAAATGAAGTTGTTCAGAAAGCGACAAAGGGAGGGGCTTCATTACAGAGTTTGGTCCTGCAGGTCCCCTCCCACTGCCCTCTCTTCCCAGGTCTCCATTAAAATTCCTAAATAGACCCTCTGTCCTGGGTCAGGAATCTCAGCACACTATGTGCTGCCATCCCATGTCCTGGGCAGGGGTAGTGAGCCATGCTTCTTAAAGTCCTGGGAAAAGGGAGTCATTGTGTCCCACTCTGCACATAGAAGGGGGGACAGGGAAGGAGTGACCTGGGGGAAAGGAAAGAGGAGGGGGAAACAGGAACTTTGGAGACTTGGCAAGGGGGATATCTCATTCCTCATATCCCCTCAGGTCTCAGGACCATATTCTAGGCTTAGCGGTCAAGGGGTGCCCAGGACAGATTGAAGAGATGCCATGCCAGCCTCTCTCTACCTCTTTCAGGGTCCCAGAGTTCTTCTGCCTAAAGCTGGAAGTTCTAATCCTTACCTCTGTCTGTCTCCACCTGCTAAGTGTGGGGTTATGGGGGCTGCCATGAAGATAGCAAACCTCCAAACTGTAAACCCCAGAGCCAGCAGGTCATCACAGTCTCAAGAAACTACCTAGCCTCATTGTCCCCGGCCGGGCCATCAGAAGTAGACACTGTGAGGTGGAGCCCCTCCCTTAACTCTGAGCCCTCAGCCTGGCTCTTCTGATGGGTGGGCATTTGGGGTCCAGAAAAGGCTGCCCAAAACAAACCCACTCCTTTTAGTCTCTCAGTCACACTGTCCACCCATCCCATCCCCTCCCCAACAGGTGTCTCTTTGGATGTAGAAAGCCCAATAACCCTCCACCCCCATTGAAAGTCTGAGGTTCTCTGGGGCCTAGGCCACAGCTCCCAGGCAGGGGGTGGGGAAGCAGCTCCCCCAGATGTGCAGGGGAAAAAGGAAGCACAGGCTGCTGAAAGGAAAGGGGCCCCTTCAGAGAGTCAGGCCAGCCTGGCAGGAGGAGGTGAGGGGAGAGTCTACCTGGTACATTGTTCCCCCGCGCCAGAGTCCCGCAAGACCAGTGGCCAGCTGGGCAAAGGAGAGCCTGCCGGCCCAGCTCGGCCCCTACCCGGAGCTGCCACGTCCTATAGGGCTCACGAGGCACACACCCTCTGCACACACACCCTCAATGCTCTCTCCCGTGCTTTCACTTCCTTGAACGTAGAGACAAAACAGGCGCCAGCCCTTAACTCTGACAGTATCTTGATCTTACTCCTTGGCACCTCCTTTCACGCCCCCTGCCAGCCTCAGGAGCCTGGGTCTCCTTGCTCATCCCTCTTCCACCCGACCTCAGACACTTGGCCATTCATTGTTCCTCCCCAGCCCCGCCACCCACCAGGACATACAGATTCCCCACCCCAACCGATTTCCTGAAGCACTATCCTTTGATTTTTTTTTTTTATAGCAATAACTCAAACACTGGTGAATCATAGACTATAATATACTAAGTCTCTCTGGCCAACTACCAGCTCTATCCATCTCAATAGTTTGCCACACTTATTTCAAAGCTTTTAGGGAGTAGAGGACTAGGTAGAGATGGAAGAGGGTATAAGGGGGACAAATGGTAATGGAAGAAATACAATAAAAAATAAAGAAAAAATTTAAATATTTTATTTATGTATTTTTAGAGAGAGGGGAAAAGAGGAAGAGAGGGAGAGAAACATCAGTTTGTTGCTTCTCATACGCCCCCAACTGGGGACCTAGGCATGTGGCCGACCATTTCCAAACCAGTGACCTTTTGGTCTGCAAGCGGGCACTCAATCTACTGAGCCACACCAGCGAGGGTGAGAAAAATTTTTTTCTTAAGAACCACAATGTTACAAATAAAAGAGAATCCCACTCCTTGATTCCACTTCCATCTCACCCCAGCGATAACCGTCTTGTTGAATTCGATGTTTATCATTCCCATGCGGGGCATTCTTTTCTCTTTGGGTTGTTTTCTTCTTTGGTTTTTACAAATATGAATTCTGTATGTCTCTGCATTTATCTGAATGCAGCAACTTCATTTGAGAATGTGTCTGCTTTAACGTGCCTAAGTCACAAAAGTGCTTACCGGGCTCTCCTCTCTCTGGAAGCAGTTTAGAAAGGATAATTTTTTGTCCCCGTTAACTCCATGGGGTCAGCCATCCCTCATTCTGTCCCTCCTTGTGCATTCATCACCCTCCATTCCAGTGTGGAGTCCAAGAGACCGCCAGCAGCTCCCCTTACCCAGTGCCTTGATCCTGATTCCCTGGCTCTCAGCCAATCTGCTCCACACCCTGATATTCAGGACCCCCACTCAGACCTCCAAGCTCACTTAAGCCTAGGTCACTGGGCACTGACTTCGCCTGCAAAGTGAGTGAGACCAGTAGTTGGCTGCTGGTCTTGAAACCAATTAGGAGGCTCCCCTCCCCTACTCCCAACGCCATCAAAAGCTGCAGCCATTCTCTACCTCCCACCTCGGATCCCTTAGACATCCTCAGCCAGAGAGAATCTGGGTCCCACCACAGTCCAGAGCTTCAGCCACTGCCCTTTGCCCCCTGCCCCCTCAACATACATGTCCCATGGCTCTCACAGGCACCAGCATGGACGCCCCAGCCCTCGAGTCCAAAAACCCAATTCCTAATCCTTCTGATGGCTGATTTTTCCTTCCTCTCCCTCATCAATACTGGATTTATCTCCTAAAGAGCTACAGAAATGATAGGGGGGTGGCACTTTGGGGACCAGATTCTTGTCCCAGCCTTCTCTCTTTCCCATCTCCATGCTCACCTTCCCCCATTCCCACCATCCAAACACTAACTACCTTCTATGTGTGGCGCAGTTCAAGGGTCACCTCCTCCAGATATGTATACTGAAGTAGATCTCTCTTTTCTTAAACCCTGTAGTGGTGTGTTTCTTAACTTGCTCCTGACATTTGTCTTATGGTACAGGTGTGTGGGGGCTCATTTTGCTTCCTAGCCTGTGAACCCCACCAGGGCACCCCTCTCTGTGTCCCAGACTCTATCACAGTAGCTGGTACTGAACACAGGTTCTGGACACTAGTTTGCTGAATAGGACCAGAACCTGGACTCCCTCCCACCTCCATCCTGTCCTTTGTACTAGAGGCCGGCAAGGAGCACCCTTCACCTGTGGGAGGGTACTCTTGAGCCACGACAAGTGTTCCCTGACTTGTTCCCTCTATTGCTCTGTTTTGGCTTTTTGCTCTCAAGGAGCCTCTTAGATGGTTTCAGAGGACTAAAATGATTAGGAATCTGCCCTTATTTTGCAGAAGAAGAGTCCTGACTTTCGAGGTGTGAGCCCTGGGACCAAAGATGAAATGACTCTGGGGTCCTCCCTGCTGTCACCCCTCCCGGTTGGAGTTCCCTGACTCAGTTCTATACGTTGCGGTCACGTCCATTTTCCAACTTCCCATGGGCGGTGAAAGTGGCCCTGTTGGCCTAAGTAAGGCAAAGAGCAGTCCGTCCCTCATGCTGTCTCCACTGAAGGCAGCCAGGGTTAGGGTCCCTGGGAACCTTCTGAGCAGGCCACTGGGAGGTTGCCATGATAGGGAAGTCAGCTGGCTGACTTCCAGGCGCCTCTTAAGCTCTGGGTCACTGGAGCAAGCCAAGGGCCGGGCTGTCCATTTCAGCCACACCTTACTTCAGCCTTCTTATTACAAGCTATGGATCTGCAAAGGGAGTGGGATTTCTTTCAAGGGTAATAAAAATGTTCTAAAATTGTTTGTGGGAATGGTTTTGCGAGTCTCTTAATATACTAAAAGCCACTGAATACAATTTTAATAGATAAATTGCATAGTATGTGTCTTAGTCTGTTCAGGCTGCTATACCAAAATACCATGCACTGGGTGGTTTATAAACAAGAGAAACTTTTCCTCATACTTCTGAAGGCTGGGAAATCCAAGAACACGCTGCCAACAGATCTGGTCTCTGATGAGAGCCTACTTCCTGGTTCACAGATTGTGGTTTCTTGCTGCGTCCTCACATGGCAGAACAGGCAGGTGAGCTCTCGGGGGCCTCTTTTATAAGGGCGCTCATCTCAACCATGAGGACTCTATCCTCATGACCTAATCACCTCTCAAAGGCCCCACGGCCTAATACCATCAGCATTGGGAGTTAGGATTTCAATATATGAATTTTAAGGAGACACAAACTTTCAGTCTATAGCAAGCAGTATGTGAATGATATCTCAATAAGGCTGTTAAAAACACACACGCACACACCATGACCCCTGACCAGTGTGGCTCAGTTATTTGGGTGTCATCCTGTAAAGCAAAAGGTTGCCTGTTCAGTTCCCTACCAGGGTTCATGCGTGGGTTGTGAGTTCAGTCCTGGTTGGGGCGTGTACGGGAGGTGACAAGTGGATGCTTCTCTTTCACATCGATGTTTCTCTCCCTCTCTTTCTTCCTCCCTTCCCCTCTCTCTAAAAATAAATAAATAAAATCTTAAAAGAAAAAACCACAATGAAAAATCATGCCTTCTAAGAATGGCTGAGACAATAATGTGATAGTACTATAGCTGTTCATGCCAGAATCAGTCATAAAAGAAAAAAATGGAAGCAGCGTAAATGTTCAAAAACAGAAAGATGATTAAGTTGATCACAGAATATTACATAAATTGCCATTAAAAATAATCACCATGAAGACTGTGAGCCAGCAGAAAATGCTTATGATTTGAAAATAAGGATAAGGTTTCTTCTTCCTCTTTCTTTCCCTTCTGGAATAATTCAGTCCTAAAGGTCAGGCAGAACAAGGTAAGCAATACGCCTGTGGGGGTGGGGTCGGGGAAGTCACAGTGGCCCCGAGCAGGGCGTCCGAGCCCACGGGGGGGGGGGGGTGCGAGAGGCAGCGGAATGGCCCAGGGTGGAGGGTCAGAGCCTGAGCGGAGTGTGGAAGGCATCCGTGAGGCAAGGACAGTGGCAGAGACGGGAGCTTGGTTACAAAGAAAGTGCTCAAATGAGGGATAATAGGAGCCAAATTTCAGAGAAGGGCCTCGGAGGAGCTACCCCCTCATAGCGACAGGCACACCTACCCCGTAGATCTCAGGTGTTTTATTTTTTTCCAATTACAGTTGACATTCAATATTATTTTATATTAGTTTCAGGTGTATAGCACAGTGGTTGACACTGATATAATTTACAAAGTGACCCCCTCCCAATAAGTCTAGTGCCGACTGGGAGCTATACATAGTTATTACAATATTAGTGACTATATTTTCTATGCTGTACTTGACATCCTCATAACTATTCTGTAACTGCCCATTTGTACTTCTTAATCTCTTCACCTTTTTAACCCAGCTCTCCCACCTCGCTCTTCCCATCTGTCAACCATCAGTTTGTTCTCTGTATCTATGGTGTCTCGGTTTCTTTTCTTTTTTTATAGAGTTTATTTATTTATTTTTGGAGAGAGGGGAAGGGAGGGAGAAAGAGAAGGAGAGAAACATCAATGTGTGGTTGCTTCTCATGCGTCGCCTACCGGGGACCAGGCCAGCAACCCAAGTACGTGCCCTGACTGGGAATGTCTTTGGTTTGCAAGCCAACATGATGTCTCAGTTTCTAAATATCATTTCCATTAAAAGGAAGTAGGGTTCCTTCGAGAAATAGCTGATTGCAGGGCTGGGGCTGGTAAAGCATGAGATGAACCTGGAACATCTTATTATGCCAGAAAGTAAGGAAGTGTTCAAAGAATGATGGAGACATATTGAAAGGACACAGAAGTCAGTAAGGGGGTTCCCAGTGACCAAAATGGGGGCAATTTGAGCATCAAAATAATAAATTATTGTAATATGTAATGTTCCCATATTTTCAAAATATCTCCCCACAAAATACTTATTAATTACAAAGGGAAAAGAGTAACTTTAAAGTGGAGAAAACTGACTATAGCGGCTGGATGGTGGTTTCCAAAAAGATGTCCATATCTTAATCCTGAGAACCTGTGAATGTTACCTTACTTGAAAAAAAAGCCTTTGCAAATGTAACAAAGTTAAGGATTTTGGGATGAGCAGGTCACCCTGGATTCTCTAGCGGGGCATTAGATTCAATTACAAGTGTCCTTGGAGAGAAAAACAGAGGAGAAGGCAATGTGAAGACAGACAGAAACAGAGACTGAAGTTATGTAGCTACAAACCAAAGAATGCCAAGGAATGACCAAACAGTCACCAGAAACTGGAAGAGGCAAGGAATGGATTCTTCCCTAGCATCTTCAAGAGAGTGTGGCTCTGCCAGTACCTTGATTTTGATTTCTGGCCTCCAGAACCATGAGAGAGTACATTTCTATTGTTTTAAGTCACCAGTTTATGGTAATTGGTATGCAGCCACAGGAAACTAAGATACTGGCAGACACCACCTTTAGCAATGATCAAGTTAACATTCACAGAGCAAATCAAAAACTGTGCACCAATTGATAGGATGCAAAGAGAGGAATACAGCATTGCTTCTGTGATGTTCCTGTCAGATGCATGACCTGACAAACCCAAATGAGGGAAACTACAAAATAGCTGGACTGTAACATTTAAAAATGTCAAGATCATGAAAATCATGGAAGGACTGAAGAATTGTTCCAGGTTGAAGGAGACAAGAGATATGTAATGAGTGATTCTGGATGGGACCTTTTAAAAAAAAATCATTCATTCATTCATTCATAGGGAAAGGGAGGGAGAAAAAGAGGTAGAGAAACATTGATGTGAGATAGAAGCATCGATCGCGCTCCAACTAGGGACCAAACCTACAACCTAGGCAAGTGCCTTGAATGGGAATCCAACCGCAACCTTTTGCTTTGTGGGAAGACACCCAACCAACTGGGCCATACCAATCAGGGCTAGACAAGACCGTTTTTGCTGTAAAGAACATACTTGGGACAACTCCCAAAATTTGAACGAGAACTGAGGATTAGTTGTATTAATATAATATTAATTTTCTAATTTTGATGGCTGCATAGATTGTATATGAGAGTGTCCTTGTTTGTAGGAAATACATACTACAACACTTTGGGGGTGATGGGACATTCTTACTGGCAATTTGCTCCCAAATGGTTCAAGGAACAAAAGTTCTGTGTAGTGTACTTTCTATACCTTTGTGATTGCTTCAAAACAAAATATTTATTAGCCCTGGCTAGTGTGGCTCAATGGATTGAGCGCCAGACTGAGAACCAAAGAGAGGCTGGTTCAATTCCCAGTCAGGGCACACGCCTTGCCCCCAGTAGGGGGAGCACAAGAGGCAACCCAGTAGGGGAAGCACAAGAGGCAACCACACATTGAATGTTTCTCTCCCTTTCTTTCTCCCTCCCTTCCCCTCTCTCTAAAAATAAATAAATATAATCTTTTTAAAAATAAATAAAATATTTATTAAAAAACAAAAGATAAGGGACAAAAGGACACCAATCATAAAATGATTACATATATGCATATTATATCACAGGCTGGAAGAAAATTCACAATGGTAATTATATTAAAGAGTATTGTGTGCTACATTGCTGTAAACCTTTTGAGTTTAGTTTAACAAATATGTGCTGAGGACCCACTATATGTCATGCATTGTGCCAGGTCCTAAGGACACTGAAAAAAGTGACAGTGTGTCCACAGGAGAGAGTACTGGGGAATGTATAGTGGCTGGATGCTAAGGGTAAAGATGCTGCTGGAGCAGAGGGAAGGCCTGACCCCAAGCGGGGTGGGGGGCTGAAGGGAGGGATGCTTGGAACGTGGTTCTCTTGTTTTTCTCTTAAGAACAACAATAATAGGAGAGATTGGGAGCCCCATCTGCATTGGTAGCCCTGAGGAGGGAGAGGAATGTGAAGAATTCAGAGTCTATGGAGCATGGGCGGCTGGTGGGCTGAGCTTTACGGCTCAATCACAGTCTGAAACAGCATGGGGAGGGATTGGAGTTACACTCCAGGAAAACTTCTAGGTGGTATGTGGAGGTACCTGATGGATCCCTGGGGGGAAAAGGGAGGGGGCAAGGGTGGGGTGGTGTGGGGTGGGGTGGAAGGGATAGGTTGCCATCACTGGTCTTTGAGCACAGGTCCTGGAGGAGAACACACTGGCACTAGCCCAAGGCCACGGGGAGTCCCAGAGCCCAGGGTGCAGTGGTTGATGTTTCAGCCTTACATCCTCGTCTGGGCTGTCAGGCTGAGCAGGGCCCCTGGAGTTAGTCCCAATCTGTTTCCTTCTATTCTTTGACAGGAAGCTCCTGGAGAGCCAGCCCCCAGCCCCTCCCCATCCCAGCACTCCCTCTCTCTTCTCCACTATGGACAGAGCCTCCACAGAGCAGCTGCCTGCCTACCACAGGCCCAGCTGACATGGGGACTGTCAGAGCAACGCAGCTGTGCTGGGTGATCCTTGGCTTCCTCCTACTCCAAGGTAAGAGGCACTTGCCACTCTCCTTCAGCGGTTCCCTCCCGGGGCTGGCGCTCCTGAGCGCCTGTCCCTCCTTCAGGACACACACCACACATCCAGCTCTTCATCCAGGGCTGTGTCCGAGGGAAATTCCAGAGCCTTTGGTGCAAGGGATCGTTTGGATTGGGAGATATTCATTACCAGGCAAGGATAAAATAGCATATGGTTAAGCCTCTTTGTGGGAAAATTTCCAGGATGAACCGGGGCCCCCATAAAAGTCTGGTCCTTCTGGAATGTGGGAAATGACTGCCTCGGTGTGAGATTGAGGCCTGAAAGCTCTTTCCAGCGTGTTCTACTAGCACAACAATGTCTGCACCTTGGGCTTTCCCAGTGATCTTTTCTCTTCTCTCGCATGGGGAGTAACAACCTGGGAATTCCAAATACTGACTTTAAGCTCACAGCAAGAAGGATTCAAGTTAGAAACAAAGAACTATTTCCCCAAGAGGATGTATTCAACATCCTCACGCAGGGGCCTACTTGAGATGATCTGCAGAAGAGATGACTTGAGAACACCTCTCAGACAGGGCCCTGCCAGGTGATGAATGGAGAAGCAGTTCCATAAGGGGTCCTCTAATTAGGGAGCAGTTGCTGGGAACCATGAGAAATCCAGGAGATTCTGACTCACAGGGCAGCGACTTCCCTTAGGTCACTTCTTCCCCACCCCCACCTCACCCTCCATGAGTTCTCTATGGAAGATTCATGAACCTGTGCCCAAAGCAGCAGAAGAGAGTGCAAGAAAGCTTGGATGGGAGGGAGGACGCCCTTTCTTGGTGGTGAGTGAGAAGGCCCGAGTACCAGAAGACTCTGCCTCCTGGAGAGGCCAGACATTTCTTTAAAAGTCCACCGGCTGGAAGTAAAACTCTGATCACCCACCCCCTTCCTCCCCGACCCCTCCCAGAGGATAGAGTCACACATTTGATCTGGGGCTGGGAGGCTAAGCTGTTGAGAAGATGGTGGAAATGACAGAGAAGGTTTGAAGATGAGACCCATGAGGTGGGATTTTCATAGGCTTGGGCTTCTCCCAGCTTCCCCACACACTGCCTCGTCCCAGATAAATGCCAGGGCTAGGAATGCCCTGTGTAAACTCTATGTAAGCCGTGCTCACTGCTTGCCTTTCCTAACCGCTTACCCAGTATCTCGGAGCGCTTATTGTCTCCTTCATTTTGGTGGAATGAGGAATCCTTTTAAGGATATTCAGGCCCACAGGGGGACTTGACTGTGGAAACACAAGTCACGGCAGAGTAGACTTGAGACTTGGAGGATTTGAGAGAACGGGGCAAAATTTTAAATGTCTAGCATTTATTGAGCATGGACTATCTGTTGGACACTGCATTAAATACTTTATATGTATTTTCTTATCCTCGCAATCACTTATAAGATACTAAAATCACTTGCATTTTATTATTATTATTATTTTTATATTCATCCGAGATCATGCTTATTGAGAGAAAAGGGAAGAGAGGGAAAGAAACATCAATCATTTGCCTCTTGTATGCATGTCAACCCCTCTTAATATGCACCCCAATTGACCATATGCACCCTGACCAAGGACCAAACCCAACTAGGGAACAAACCCACAACCTATGCATATGCCGTGACCAGAGAGAGAACCTGTGACCTTTTGGTTTATAAGACAACACTCCAACCAATTGAGCCACACTGGCCAGAGCTAAAATCACTTTTATTTTAATAAAGAGAAAACTAAAGCCCAGGTCTGTATGGACTTGAGTCAGGACTGGAACTCAAGCCTGTCAGACTCCACAATCCAGATTTTAAGTACTAGAGCATGCTGCTGAGGAAAACTGGACGGTGGATGTGGAAGGGGAGGAGAGAGGGGCTATGCGGAAATGAAGCAGGTAGCGATTAGGGAGAAGAGACAGGAAAATAAGAAATCCCAGTGGCCAGGGTGTTTCGGTTGTCTGAGTACCCAGTGACCAGAGGCAGCCTAGCCTGTAAAAAGATGTTCCCTATATCCCTCCTGTACTCACAGAGGAATCTCCTGGTGACAAAAAGTTCCAGTAAGGGGAAGGGGGCAGGAAAAAAAGAGCAGACTACTGGGACTTAGAACCTGTGATTTTGGAATTCTTTCCAAGACACTAGTTTTGTTTTTAGATAAATGTGGGAAGGCAGGCACTGCCTCCGCCCACTAAAAACTAAAGTTATAACCCTATACAGCTTAGACAGTACCTTAGATACCCTTCGTCAGCTGATAGGTGTCTTCAGGACATGCCTTGGATTAAAAGTGTCATTTTCCAGCTGGGAAAAGTTCTCTCTAGCCTGGCACACCTATGCATTTTAACTCCCCTCTTGACCTCTCACCCAGTGAGGGCATGAGGTATCAGAGATGCTGGCCTGGAAAAACGCTGCATGGCCTAGGCTTTGGGAAAGCGTGGGCTTGGAAACAATTAATTCCGCACTATCCAAGTGATAGCCCCACAGAGGAAAGCAGTGGCCAAGGAAAATAAACAGCCCAGCAGGCTGCGCCAGGCTGGGCGGGCCCTGGCCCCCAGCCGCGTCTGTTCACCCAGCCCCAGCTTAGTGTTTCCCTGATGATGAGGGGCCGAGGGAGCTGGAGGCCCAGGCCAGTCGCTGTAGGCCCAGCCTGAGTGGAAGGACGGGAACCCAGCTGGGCGGCTCCACTTCCCTACGTTTTCCTTTCACATTGTTCACAGGTTTCAAGAATGATTTCATTGTGGAAAATGAGCAAACACAACCTGACCTTTGAGGTCCCACAGACACAGGGGACACGTAGACGACATACAAGCACACACACACATCTGCATAGAGGCTGGCTGGCATACATATGTACTTACAAAACAATCTAACGAAGGCTTCTTACTGAGGCCTCCTAGCAACCTCCTCTCTGGTTTTGCCCAACAACAACCGTTTCTGAGAAGCCTTTGCCTGTGAGAGTAAATTGATCACTCATTCTAGAGCTTTCCGGCCTCCTGTATATCTCCCAGAACTTGCTTTCTGTGTAGGCCCCTACCTCCCATTGGAGGAGAGCAGAGAGATAACCCAGATGCCAACCCCAGGCCCTAACTCCAACTTATTCATCACATTTTCCCATCCCCCTCCTTTGCGGCAGGACTAGTATGACAAGATTCACAGGGGATAGTGGATGGCTCAGTGGTAGTGTAATGACAACATTAGCCTAGAGTCCTGGAATCTCTGTCTAAACTGGCAGGTCACTGGCCCTCTGTCCTTAGACATATCACTAATTTCAAACGACTTTCCCCTGACATTGTGTCAGGTTGGTATAAAACCCCTGTGGGACTGAAGAGACAGGAAAGGACCCGGGGACACTGAATCATAAGGTGGTGGTGATGGTGCTATTCAGTCATGGTCTCAGAGGAAGCCAGCCCCCTAAACTGGAACCACAGCCGTTAGCCCTCTGTCAGCGTGGGAGGCTTGGAAAGCAGAAAGGCCTAGGTTTTTCTGGGGGCTGTGCGTTGGGCAGGAGCCTCACATAGCTAGTCCATGTTTTGCTTTCTCTTGCAGGCCACAACTCTCAGCCCACAACAATGCAGCCCTCTAGCCCTCAGGGTAAGACCAAACATACATACAGGGCCTCCTCCAGCATTTAGGTCTGGGAGCGCGGTAAGGGTGAGAGGATCTCTAGGCCCCGTTTTACACAGCTCTCAGGTGATTAGGGGTGGGGCCAGTGCTCAAGACATTCAAGATTGAGCTCATCTAGGGACTTTTTCCAGCGTGGCCCAGTCTAACCTGCCTTGAAAGCGGAGAGAGACGAATGGTTGTAGGTAGGGAGTGGGGTAGGAAGAAAGACCAGAAAACACCAGCTATAGGGAAAAAGAGAGGGAGACGGAGCAACAGGAGGCAACAAATCCTCAGCCTCAGATGATCTGTTTCAGGAGCCTTCAATCTAAGTCTGTCCACAGAGTCAACTCCCAACACAGGTGAGTAAGTGTGGTTGTTGAGGGGCCAATCCCTGCTACCAACCCAGTCCCCTGCCCATCCCTTCAGACTTGCTTGCAGCCCAAGCGTTCTCATATGGGTTAGAGGTGTGCGGTCATCAAACCTGCCCCACCTCCAGTTCCCCCTCTGCCTCTGTCCTTGCAGAAGACAGCCCTTCCTCAGAGCCCAGCAGCCCGAGCCCTCCGTCCAATGCCAGTGCCCCAGATACTCTGCCACTCAGACTACAAATTCCATCCGGGGAGGGCCCGGTGAGGAAGCAGACACAGTTTCTGCTCTAAAGCAGAATATAGGCGAGCGGGGGAGCAGACAAGTAAACGAGACCCCATGTTGACAGTTACAGAGCAGGGTGAGAAGGGCTCTGACGGACATAGCAGAAAGTGCTGTTGGAGCCCAGACAAGGGTCAGCCACTTCTGCCTTGAGGGCCAGGGAAGATATTGCAGAGTGAGTGAGCTCTGAAACTGAGGCCAAAGAAGGAGTTAGCCAAATGAAGACCGTGGGGATGAAGGGTGAGAGGGTGTATTCCAGGCAGAGGGAACTGTACAGGTAAAGACCCAGAGGTGAAAGAGAGGATGGCTCCTTCTGGAATGAAAGCAGTAATGAAAAGAACGATCTTGGACTGAAGAGCCTTCCTTCTGTACTTGCTGGTTGAAGGCCTAAGCAGGCTCACACATGCTTCCTAATCCACAGCTGCTCCAGAGAAGGCCTCACAGGTCCCCACAGTAGCCAGTAAAACCGGGACGCCAAAGTTAAGCAACATGGATGGTCACTCCCAGATCTCGTCACACCTGACTCCTCCCCAGCCACAACAGCACATATCAGAATTTGGTAAGTATCTGGGGCTGGTGGTGAAATACAACGGGTCATGTCTGGCTGGGTTTCTTCCTCTCCTCTTCAGGGGACCCAGGTCCTACCCTACAATGAGGGGTCCAAGGCCAGGATCCACATCAGCGGCACCCTGGTCCAGAAAGCATGAGAGAGGTCTGGTGGGAAGTAGACACAGGGACTTGGGCCTGGTCACAATGAAGGTAGAAGGAGTCTGGACTTAGGATTGATAAAGGCATAGAGAGAGAAAGGAAGGGTTAGGGAAACCCAAAACAGTGGAAAGGAAGGCAGAAAATGTTAGGAAAGGGTTACATGCTTCTCAGGGCAGGTTGGTCTTCACCCAGCAACACAGGAAAAGAGCTGGGCAGGGGTGGATACCCTTGGCCTTGGCCCGCTGTTCATGCACAGGCACGGGTGTCCCACGCAGCAGCAGTGGCAGCAGAAGCAGAAGGATGCCCTGTCTGTGCTCACAACAAAGAGCACTCTGACACGTTCTCTCATTCTACGCCTTGGCTCTGGGATTTTTTTTACACCCCCAGACTTATTTAGGACAGGGATGAGGACCAGAAAATGGAACAGCAATCAGGCCTTGAATGAATGCAGGAAGGGATGCGATGGGTGACCATACCACTTTTTAAGAGAGCCAGAAACTCGGGCCTCTTAACTGGCAGGCTGGCGTGTTAGATCAGTGCCTGGGGACAAACACCCGGTGCCCTTCTTGCCTCCCTCTTCAACTCTTGGCAAAACATGATGGCTCTACTTTGCCCAGTCTCTCTCCCTGTATCTGCAGTATAAATTCCTACCCTCAAGACTCCAAGGGGGTGGTAGGAAGAGCATAATGAGGGAAGCATCCTGAACTTTCTGGAGTCCTTTGGAACACAAACAACCAGCTATCTAGTCTGTGATCCCACATCACGCAGTTCTGACCTCCATCCTCATGGGACCTGGTCAGAGGGGCAGGGAGGAAGTCTCTTCTGTAGGGCTTGAGTTCTCTCTGCAGCCCTTTACCTGGAGGAAGCAGGAGGGGAGCTAGCCCTCTCTGGTAGGCCGAGCTCCTTCACTGATGCACCCATCACCTCTCCATTTTAGCCACCTCTCAAAGTGTTACCACCAAATCAGCCACCATGAGCCTGAGGACAAGAGAAGACCCTGCCATCCTGCCCAGCCCTACGTCAGAGACGGTGCTCACTGTAGCTGCATTTGGTGAGAGGGAGGAGAAGGTGGGGTGTGGCAGGGCACCCACCCCTGAATCGACTTGGACTCTGAATCTAGAAACATAAGTTCAGATCTCACCCATTTGTGCAAGGAGGGTTTGGCTGACAAAGAAGGCTCTGGTGGGAAGGAGCCTCCACTGACTCTCTAGTCAGTTCTGCTGGGCTCTGCTGGGTTCCATGTTCTTGTGGGAGGACGGGGAAGGGCTGTGGAGCCCACTTTGGCCAGGGCAGCAGGCTGAGGCAGGCTTCACTTCCTGGTTGCCAGCAGAGAAGGGGAATTCCCTTTGCTCTGGAGCCTGTCTACACAGCACTTTGCAGGGAAAAGAATCTGAACTCCTGTTATCCCTTTTTGTCTCCTCCTCTGCTTCCCCTTCACCCCAACTTTTTCTCTGTTCAGGTGTTATCAGCTTCATTGTCATCCTGGTGGTCGTTGTGATCATCTTGGTCAGTGTGGTCAGTCTAAGGTTTAAGTGTCGGAAAAATAAGGAACCTGAAGGTATGTGCCTGACCCTCAGGGTCCCCTCTTGCCTCTCTCTGCTAAGGGACTCAGAGCTAGATTCTGGGACTGACATCCAGCCTGGCGTTGAGGGACAGACCGGCACATCAGCACCAGTAGATGAAATGGGAGGGTCCCCTTCAGTGATCTGTGAGGGGCAGGTTGGGTCTCCGAGTAACAGCGTGTGACCCCGCCATGTGTGCCTTTGGATTTTTACAGACCCGCAGAAACCTGGGAGTTCCGGGCTGTCTGAAAGGTAGGACTGTCAGAGGTATAAGCAGGAATCATCTATCTGACCAGAGTCTCCCCTCCAAGAGGGGAATGCATTCCCAACCAATGCTTCCTGTCTCTCTTTCTGTCTCTGTCTGTCTGTCTGTCTCTCTCTCTCTCTCTCTCTCTCTCACACACACACACACACACACAGGACCCTGATAGCCTGCACTGAAGCCGGAGCTGGGGTTAAGCAGGACGGGGGGGCCTGGACCTGAAAGGCAGCACCCAGGTGACGGGGATGGACTGGAACTCCTCAGCCCCGGGGTTAAGCCCTTATTACCCCTTCATGAAAAGAGTAGGAATTCAGATTCTAATATACCCCTTAAATAAGTAGATACTTATTTAAGGAACCACTTACTGAATACCTCGTATGTCCTAAGCCCTGTGGTAGATATTTGGTAATATTATCTCAAATTCTGAGAGTAATTCTTCAAGGCAGATATTACTGCATTTTATACATTAAAATATTGAGACTGGAGAGAGGTCTCATAACTTGGTCAACATCACACAAGCAGTGGGTAGTAATACAAAGATTTAAATACAAGTCTTTTGGGCTTCAAAACACTTTCATTTCATTGTGATCCACTGCTGAAACAAAGGTCTAAGTTTCAACAACCTCCGCACAGTTCCTTGACCCCCACATTGCCCTCCCACTCCTCCAATCCCTAACCCATGTTCCCTTCCTACTTCTAGCTCCTCCACAGCCATTGGAGAGAAAGATAGCATCACCCTCATCTCCATGAAGAATATCAACATGAATAACAGCAAAGGTTGCCGCTCAGCAGAGAAGGTGCATTTTTCCTGGTTCCCCCTCCTCCTTCTTCAGGCTCTTGTTCCTTAACCAGAAAGGAGATGGTTCCAAAGACCCAGGCTGTTCTCTCCTCTTGCCTATTTTACCACTCCCAAGAAGTTCACCCTTCCTCATTAAGTATTTATTTTGCAGGTTCTTTAAAAGCAACCTGGGGTCCCTACAAGTCCGAGAATGATGCAGCTTCCCCGTGACTGTAAGGAAGAAGGCGATGGGATCAGAAGAGGCAATAAACCACATAAATTATTTTTTTGTTTCACTTCTACTCCATACTACAATCCTCCAGATCTACAGGATATTTACATCCCTCTGGATCTAGGAGCAAATAACCACTACAAGAGCCTCTTTCCTACATGGACAGCCACTCTAGAAACATGACCAGCTCCTCCTACCTTCTCAACGTCATAGGAAGGAGAAGTCTGTAGAGCAAAAGTAAGGAAAAGGACAAAGTGGATTGCTCCGTTCTACTTGGCATTAAAATTATTTTCTGGCCTGCGGTCTCATTTCTTTTAAGGTCTGTGGTCCCATGCACATTTCTTAACAGGACGTTCTAGCAGCTCTGGGGCCACCTTTTCTAGGTGAGGCATGCATGCAAGTTTCTGCCCCTATGGGGAGCAACCTGCGAGACTGGGAGGTGGAGAGAACTTTTTGTCAGGTCTGCCTCCGTCCATCTAGTTTGTTAAGTAGGGATGAAATGACTGGCTAACTTAGCCACTCTAACAGAGGGGAGAGAAAAGGAGCTGTAACCAGTGACCAGTCGTCAACAATAAAGAAATATTAAATCTGGAGAGCGAGAACATGGGAGACACAACGCATTCTGACTAGGAAACCCCAGTGGTAAGAGCTGAATATTAGAAGGGCAAATGTCCCCTGCCTGCCCCAGAGTAGACAAGCCTCACTGTGGTTCTAGCTGTGGGCATAACACTGGGGAGGTCTGGAGCGAAGATGGGTCTGATTTTATAAAGCAAAACCCACCCATTTAACCCCATACAGCTTTACCTTTGTGTCCTAAAAATAAAGGATAGCAAATAATGTAAAATCATTTAAAGAGAAGGAGGAAAAGAAAGGAATTACCTGTCTTCTTAGCAATTTGTGTTTGAAAATAAATCTTGGGGAGAGTCTATGAAGAGTCATCTGTGTATGTTTGCAAGCAGTGTTTCTATAAGCATCTAAACCGCTAGTTGGCTGTTCAGAGCAGAGAACACAGATAACCCATTCTGAAGCCAAAATAGGATATTTTCTTCTGGATTTAGACTCTGCAAAATGAAATGAGAGAGAAAGCCTAGAACAAAAAGTTTCATTTTCTCTGTGTCACTGAAACAATTCAAATGCACTAAAGAATCTTAGTGGATTCTAAAATCCTCTTGGGCAGTGCCTGGAGCCTGCTCCTGTCTGTAGCTCTTACGTGGTACGTTGTGCCCAGCATATCAGAGGTCAGGAACACTGGCTCTTGAGTGCAGGAAAACTAGTCACAAGGTTGAGCTTTGCCACAGACTCACAGCTCAACATTGGCAAAATCAGCCCCCACCTCAAAGCCTGTTTTCTTTTCAAGTGAGGTGGTTGGACTACTTGCATTTGCTGACTTTTCTGATCCTTATGTTCTAAAGTCCTATCAACTCTAAAATTAGGGAAAAAATTAATCTTTTGAGTAGATATTGCTCTGAGTGGGAGCCAAAGACAAGTCCTACATGACTCTGGCAAGTCTTTTACATCCTCTGTACCTAGATTTCCCTGTGTATTCATGTGTATAAAGGAAAGAATGATCCTACTTGGCCCTGACTACCTCATAGGCAACTTAGTAGGTAAATGGAATGGTAAATAGGGAGCTACTTGGGAAGTACTAGGTGACAATTGCAGCAGGAAACATGGAGTATCACTTGTGCCTAGATCCCACACTTCAGGAGCATGGCACTTGTTGCCCCGCCGCTGGAAGTGTTGGCTGCTAAGGGCTCATAGCTGGCTGATGACTGGTTGATGGGGGTGGGTGAGGGGATGAAGACCTGGACCTCTTGCCTCAATTTCTGCCCTAATCTTGTTTCCCACACCTCAAAGATGCTCCCAGAAGCACTTACCAATAAACTGTCAGCATGCAAATCTTAGTGTCTCAGTCTATTTCCTGGCGTACACAACCTATGACAGCAATATTACAGCATTTCTAAAAAATAGTTCAGATATATTTTATTTGAGTCACACTGCAAAAGCACATGGCTTCCTAGCCAGTTCCAGTACAAAAATCCATCATTGGAATAGAACCCTCCAGGTGACATAACAATGTCTAAAAGTGCTGGGTTCTGTTTCAGTTGTTATTCTGACTACCATGGGCACTTAGTTCATCTGCTTATCATATTGGACTAATCAGGTCAAGGACATGGGTTTCACTCCAGGTAACTCAGTTGATGTCTCCATTGTAAGGCCACAAGCTTTCCCGTCTCTGGACAATGTCCTGCAAATATGAGCTGTTAGTCATAAGGTATTTATATGCGGGGGAGAGGGAGTGAACTGGTATTGATATGAGATTGAAAGCCTTTTACCCTAAAACTAGCAGTACGACATTAGCCATGTTCATTTTCCAGGTGTTAAATAACTATCCTTTTGGAAGGAGTAGTCACTTAATGCTGAATTCTACTCTCTAGCAAACCATATGAGAGGGGGTTCAGCTGGAGTATTCTACTATGTATGCAAAAACAAGACCCCACCTTTGACAGGAAATCCGAGTGCAGCCTTCTGCAGCTCCTGAAGCTTCCCGGAGACAATATCTCTTCCTTGATGTCTAGACAACAGGATGGCGGGCATTTACAAAACAGCTTCCTCCCTATTCTAACACAGAACTACATAATCCCAAAGCAGAACAGGTGGTGGGTGTAGGGTGGTTGCTGCAGAGTGTCCTTCTTTCACTTCTTCCCCCATCCTATGGGAGAGCAACAAGCAAACCAGCTCTGGTGCACAGTCCCCGTCAGACAGAGGGATCATCACTCAGTATCTCTCTTCAAGGCCTGGATGAGGCAGCACCTCAATCATATAGGACACATGGCCAACCTCAGTATCACCAGCAAAAATTCACTACAGTTCAATAAGCCTTTCTAAAAGTTAGAGAAAATTGATAGAAATCTGAGGCTGGCTCTAGGTAAAATAGTTTAGTGAACAAAAAATCATGGCAGGCCCCCTTGGCCTGGTTCCTGAACACAATTTCCCAAAGTCAGGCTAGTACTACTTAATTCTATCTGAATCTGCGGAAAACATTGTGTGTCTCTGCTCAGCAGTAGCCCCCTGGGTTTGTGCATGTCCTTTCTCACTGCTCTGAACTTCTTTCAACACCATCTTCTTATCTTTGTTAACTGCCTTCGATATCCCAATTTCCCTTCCCTTATTTCCTTCCCAGTTGTTCTCTCACTCTTCCTGCTGTTATCGCCACCATCCTGAACCCTTTAACCCACAGTTTCTTCTTTTACCAAACACAGAGATTGAATTTAACAGTGGGAATTATTTCGTTGAGCGTTTGGTGTGCTTAAACAAAAACTGGCACAGAAGTGTTCTAAATGTTGGGGTTTCGAGTTCTAAGTTAGTACTGGTAATAGAGTCACAGACAAATTCATCCAGAAGTGTTAGTTGAGGTGTAAATGAGCTGAAGGGTGTAGTTGCATGGCAATTATCTGAGAAGGCTGCAATGTGGAACCTCTTTTTTTTTCCTTTTTTTTTCTGATTTGGAGGAAATGAGTCATCTAGAAAAGAAGGGGGAAGTAAGGTTTCAGAGGATGATGAGAAAGGTTTTTGAGGTACCAAACATGTGTATGGTCCGCTTCCAAGAGGCCCTACTTTCCCAAGTCTTGCCCAGCATTCTTGAACCTGGACTCTACTCCTAAGTAGCCCTGTAATTCATAGCAAGGCTTTTCAAAACAATCACCCCCTGCGGTTGTCTAGCACTCCCGCTCTCAACCAGAAACCTCTGACTTCATGCTACTATGACTTCTCTGTGTGTCTCCAGGCCTTAGTACCCATGGACTCCAAGACACATCCCACCTTTCCATGTCCATCTTCTGGAGCAATCTGTCTAGTATCCCAAAACTACCTAATGGATGCCTCTGATCAGGTCCTTTGTCTACAGAGCACAGTGGCTTCTTCAGAACCCAGCCTTCTGTGAATACACTGATACAGACATATCCTATGGCCATGACTACAGGGAAGGGATGGAACTGTATACTATTGTAGGCTTGTTCCTTACAGTTTATGTCTAGGGTTGTACACCTCCCCACTGCAATTGCCTAAGTAGCTATTGATTGATACCACAATTGACATAACTGATTTGGTCTTCCTGGATAAGATGTCAACAAATTCCAGGTTAATTTTTGGTTTGGGGATGATCATGATCATTTTTCACTTTTGCAGACCTGATCTTTGGCCATCCCAACTCACAAGTCAGGCACAAGTCAGTAAGGACTCTGGACCCATCCACCTATGAAGAACTGGTTTTATTCTTTGCTAAAAGGCTCCATGCAAACCTGAGTGAGGGAGAGCAGGAATATTTCTTTTCTTTTTACTGATCTTCTAAGGTGGTGTCCTTCAGATTAAAGGGAATGGGCCAAGGAAACTACTAGGGTGAAAGTGAGGAGAAAAGTCCCAGAAGGGTCCTGGAGTAGGATGGGATGAAGGATAAGAAAAACAAAGATAAGGCCTTTAATGACGGCTCTAGTATGTACCTGCCCTATTCTTCTTTCTCTACCCCTGACCTCCAGTGGTCCCTCTGATGACGCTGTGCCTGAAGAGCTGGGGGAGGAGGGATATGCCCAGTCTGCCCTCTAACCACATACATTTACCTCACTTTTCTACTCTTCATGGCTCTTAACTTCCCAGGGTGGGTTCACCGTCCCCAAAACCTGTCTCTGAATCTTCAACAGGCGTTAGTGTATACTTGGTTTTTTAAATTTTCATTTATTTAAATCAGAGAAACGCGGAGGGGGAAAGAGAGAGAGAAGGCAGGAGAGACAGATCGTCTCCCATTTATGCGTTCATTGGTTGATTCTTGTACATGCCCCGACGGGGGATGGAACCCGAAACCTTAGCGTGTGGGGACCACCTCTAACCTTACTCTGCCAGAGTATTCTTGTATATTTTGAAACCACATCCCTGAGGAGAAAAATAGTCATATTGTCACATTCTAGCCCATAGTTTGCAACGCTTTTCCCAGGAAGGATCTCATCGGCCTCCTTGAATGTCCCCAGTGTTAGGCGGGGACGAAGCCACTATCCCTATTCTACGGAAGACGAACAGCGCTGCCCACAGTGGCCAGTTTCCTGCTGCGAGCCACTAGCCGCGCAGCAGTCAGCTAGCAACAACGCACCTCCACAGGCCTCGCTTCCAAGAGAACCCCTTGTTGCACTGCGTCTCCGACTGACCCCCTCACGGAGCCTGCCGGAAGTTGTAGTCCAGTGTCCCGCCGCTTCAATGGGTTGGACTACAATGACCAGCATGCCCCGCGCTTTTTTCGCCCCTCTTCGTTTTCAGCCTCAGGAGCCGGGGAGGCTCGGCTGACCTGCTGACTGGGAACCAGAAATGGCAGCTACGCTGGGCAGCGGGGAGCGCTGGACGGAAGGTACCAGGTCCCGGCTATAGGATGAGGCAGGGCGGGGTTCTTGAGCCATCAGGGATGGAGCCCCTAAAGGTGCCCGAGGGCTGAGATTCTGGGCTTAAGGTGAAGGATATAGGCCTACGAGAAGATGTTGAGCCTGAGTAGGGTTCCGGGTGAGGTGGTGGACTGTCCAGGGCAGGGGCCGGAATCCAGAAACCAAGAGTGCTGGCTCTAGAGAAAAAAGGCCAGGAGCCCAGAGTGGTCCGCGATGCCTTGTTGCCTCCGGCCCCCAGCCCCGCCCCGGCTCGGGCCCCGCCCAGGGCCCAGCGGCAATCAGACCCCGCCCGGGCCAGGGTGGCCAAAGGGTCAGCGGGGCAGGGCGATCTCCCGCAGTTTGCTTTCCCGGCCCCTTACGCCCGCTACCAAACTGGGCCACCAGATCCTTGGTCTCGGTTTGGTCTTGTCCCTGCAGTCCGCATCAGGACCGCCAGGCCGGCCTTTTCCATCCTACAGTCAGGCAAAGAGTATTGATCCAATACCTATTATGTATCCTGCATTACGCTGATCCTGCAGCAGGGATTAACAGACGTGGGCCCCTGAGATGACAGAACTCTTAGTTCACTGAGGGAGTTTGACAGGTAAATAGACAATTACAAAACAGGATCAGTAAGTCCTGGGCTATACCCAGTGAGATCTAGTTTTGGGAAGCACACCAGCAAGGCACCCAACCGACAGCCTGGGTGCCAGAGGAGGCCTTATGCAGACAGTGTTACATATGATGACATAAAGAATGCGTTGAGGTTAGGCTGATTTGCAGGAAGAATGTGGCAGGCAAAAGGAACAGAGAAAAGGGAAAGCACTGCTGATCATGAAGGAGTTTGGTGTAGCTAGAGAATAGACTGTAAAGGAGCATGTGGTGAGAGATGAGGCAAGAGATGCAGCCGGGCCCATGGTAAGAAATTTGGACAAGGAGCAATGTGTAGTCACTAAGGGATGTTAAGCAGAAGAATGTTTTAAAAATCTTTTCGATATCCTCCAGATGGTACACGAATACTCTGCCTTCTTTGACTGGATTGCTATGGCCCTGTTTACATTCTGCAGGTGTTAAGGTTAATTGAGTTCTCTCCCTTTAAACTGTAATGCCTTCGTGGTCAGGAATAGATCTTACCTGTACATCTCCTTGATCTATCTAACCAGTGTCTTGTACATATTAGTTCTAGTACTGTTAGTTTAAAAGAACTGAACTCGTCTCTACTTTAAATCTTAGCGATGGGAGGCATTGCAACCAAAAATATATTTTAGGAGCATTGTCACTTCTGACCATGGACCACAGAGAACTAGGCCTTCCCCCTGCATTGCCCTCAAGGTAGGGTATTAAGCAGACACCTCTTGAGCACCTTTTCTGTCTCTGAGTCAAAATTATTTGATGACTGACCACTGTAGGCATGGTGGGCATTATTATGCTTCATGTTTCTGGAATTATAAGTTTTTCATGGTTGCCTCCATATTTTCTATATTGTTTTCTCAAGGAAGATGTTTGTTCATTTTTTTAATAGATGCTCAAAAGTCAGCATATCAGTAGCCTGGCCCTCACACTCAGCTCTCATGCCTACAGGCAGCCTCCCAGATAGCTAAGCAGGTAGCAAAGTTGATTTGCAGGTCATACTGAAGACTAATGGAGAGACTATTGCTTTGCAGCTTACATTGATGCAGTTAGAAGAAACAAATACTCAGAAGACAGACCCCATGAAAGTCATGACCTCTGTGGCTGCTGTAACTGCATGAATGCGAAACAGGAAAAGAAGTCTGAGAATGAGTGGAATCAGACCTGGCAGGGTGAGGGGAGTGCCACTTATACTGAGGAGCAGCTGCTTGGGGTGCAAAGGTGAGCCTGTGCTGGGATTAGTCGAGTGATTCTATATAGAGTGCCTGGCACAAACAATTTGCTATATAAGTATTGACTGCTATTATTATTATTGTTATTATTATTGAAGCAAAATAGGTTCTTGGCCTCAGGGACAGGACTAGGTAGAAGTGGAGTAGTAGGGAGTAATCTGAGGTATCTGTCCTGCTTCTGCTATAAGAGAGGCAGGGAAAATCAACTAGATATAACAGACACCTATACAACATTCTATCCTAAAACAGCAGAATACACATTCTTCTTAAATATCCATGGAATATTATCCAGGAGAGACCATATGTTAGGTCATAAAACAAGCCTCAATAAATTTAAAAGAATTAAATCATACAGTGTATGTTCTCTGAAATCAACAACAGAAAGTTGTGGAATTCACAAATGTGAATATTAATGTATTCATAAATAACAAATAGGTCACAGGTCACAGAAGAAGTCACAAGGAAAGTTAGAAAATAGTTTTTGAGATGAATGAAAGTGAAAGTACAACATACTGAAATATATGGAATGCAGCTACAGCAACATTTAGAAGGAAATTTATAGCTATAAGTGTTTATATATGATATATATATATACACACACACTCTTATATACACTCAATAACTTAATCTACCTTAACAAACTAAAAAAAGACAAGCAAACTAAAGTCAAGCAAACAGAATGGGGAAATAATATTCAGTGGGAATAAATGAAATAAAAGATAGAAAAGCAATAAAGGCAACAAAACCAAAATTTGGTGTTTTTTTTAAGTACCAACAAAATTGCCCTGGTTGGCATAACTCATTGGATTGAGTGCCAGTCTGTGAACCAACAGGTCGCCAGTTCAATTCCCAGTCGGGGCACATGCCTGGGTTGTGGGCCAGGTCCCCAGTTGGGGGCATGTGAGAGGCAACCACATAATGATATTTCTCTCTCTCTCTTTCTCCCCCCTTCCCCTCTCTCTAAAAATAAAATAATAAAATATTTAAAACAAAATGTCAACAAAATTGACAAACCTTTATCTAGACCAGCGATTTTCAAACTTTTTCATCTCATGGCACACATAAACTAATTACTAAAATTCTGCAACACACCAAAAATATATTTTTTGCCAATCTGATTTAAAAAATAGGTATAATTTTGATTTGTTCACACTGGACAGCTATTATTGTGTTGTCTGTTGTCATTTTTTTTATTTGACAATCTAAGGGAAAAGGTCAGTGCCCCTGATAAATAATCAGGTATTGCTTGTTTTAAAAAGTCTTGCAGCACACCAGTGTGCCTCTTGCGGCATACTGATCAAAAATCACTGATCTACACTAACTAAGAAAAAAAAGAGAGATAAGTCAGATAACTGAAATCAAGAATGAAAGAGGGTATATCATCACTAATTCTATAAAAATAACTATTAGAAGAGAGTACAATGACTAAATATATGCCAATAAATTAGAAAACCTAGATGAAATGGACAAATTTCTAGACAGGTACAACTTACTGAAACCGATTCAGAAGAAATAGAAAATCATATAGACCTACAACAGAGAGGTTGAATTAATAATCACAAAACTTACCACAAATAACATACCAGGCCAGGATGGCTTCACTGGTGAATTCTACTAAATAGTTGAAGAATTAACTAATACTTCATAAACTATTATTTTAAAAAATCCATGAGAAGTGAACATTTTCCAACCCATTATATGAGGTCAGTATTACCCTGTATCTAAAACCACACAGAAATCACTAGAAAACTAATTGATCAATCAATGTCCCTAAGAATATAGATTCTGGCAACATATAAATACATATAAAAAGGGTTATATACCTTGGCCAAGAGGGATTTATCCCATGAATGCAAGGTTGTTTAACACATGAAAATCAATGTAATACAACATATTAATAAAATAGCAGACAAAAACCACATGACCATTTCAATAGGTGCAGAAAAAACATTTGACAAAACTCTAACACTCTGCCCTGGCTGGTATGGCTCAGTGGATTGAGTGCCAGCCTGAAAACCAAAAGCTCTGCCCTGGGTCGTGGGCCAGGTCCCCAGTTGGGAGCGTGCAAGAGGCAACTGATTGATGTTTCTCTTACAGATCCATGTTTCTCTCCCACTCTTTCTCCCTCCCATCCCCTCTCTTAGAAAAAAATCTAACACTTTCATTACAACAACACTCAACATAGTAAAAAATAGAAGAGCACTTCCTCAACCTGATAAAGATATCTACAAATAATCCACAGCTAAAATCATACTTAACCGTGAACAATTTGATGCTTTCCAAGATCAGAAACAGGGCAGGAACAAGACAAACATGTTCACTCTAGCCATTTCTATTGAACATTGTATTAGAGGTCTAAACCAGGGCAGTTAAGGAACAAAAAGAAATAGAATTCATCCAAATTGGAAAGAAGAAATAAAACTGTATTTACAGGTGGTATGATCTAGTATAGAAAATCCTAAGGAATGCACACACAAACACAAGCTATTAGAACTAATAAATGAGTTCCTCAAAACTGCAAAATGTAAGATCAATATACAAAAACCATTGCCTTTGTATACAATGGCAATGAATAATCCAAAAATGGAAAAGAAAACAATTTCAAAAAAACCAGTTTCATGTATAACGTCATCAAAAAAGAATAAAATGCTTAGCAACAAATTTAACAAGAGTAAAACTGTACATTGAAAACTATAAAACTTTATTAAAAGAAATTAAAGATCTAAATAAATGTGAAGATAGCCTGTGTTTATAGATTAGAAGGCTTATTATTGGTAATATGTAATATTCCCCAAATTGATCAACAGATTCAACACATCCCTATCAAATTCCCAGTTGCCCTTTTTGCAGAAATTGACAAGATGTGTCTAAAATTTATATGGAAATGAAAGGGACCCAGAATAGCCAAAACGGTCTTGAAAAAGAAGAACAAAGTTGGAGGACTCACATTTTCCAATTTTAAAGCTTACTACAAAGCTACATTAATGAAGACAGTGTGAACTACAATAGGATAGCCATGGAGATCCATGGACTAGAATTTTGAGAGTCCAGAAATAAACCTTTATATTTATGGGCAATTGATTTTTCACAAAAGTGCCAAGACAATTTAATGGGGTAAAGAATTGTCTTTTAACAACTGTTGGAACAACTGGATAGCCACATACAAAGGAATGAATTTGGACCCTTTCCTCATACAAGTACAAAAACTAACTCAAAGACCTAATGTAAATCCTAAATGTAAGAGCTAAAACTATAAAACTGTTAGAAGAAAATATAAGTGTCTTTGTGACACTGGATTGGGCAATGATTTCTTGATATGACACCCAAAACACAAGCAACAAAAGAAAACATAGATAAATTGGATATTATAAAAGTTTAAAACTTTTGTACTTCAAAAGATACCATCAAGAAAGTGAAAAATCAACCCATAGTATAGGAGAAAATATTTCCAAATTACGTATCTGATAAGGGACTTGTATCTAGGACATTTAAAGTACTCTTACAACTCAATAATAAAAAGACAATCTACTTGAAAAATGGGCAAATGATCTGAATAGGCATTCCTCCAAAGAAAACAGATGAAAACAGACAAATGGTCAATAAGCACATGAAAAGCTGCTCAGTATCATTAGTCATTAGGGAAATGCAAGTCAAAGTCACAATGAGATACCATACTATCTCATAGCCATTAGGATGGCTATAATTAAGAAGATGGACAATAACAAGTATTGATGAGAATGTGAAGGAATTGGGACCCTTGTACATTACTTGCAGGAATATAAAATGGTGTAGCCAGTTTGGAAAATATCATGGCATTTCCTTAGAAGAGTAACCATAGCATATGACCTAGCAACCCACTCCTAGGTATATACCAAGAGAAATAAAAATATATCTCTATATGAAAACTTATACATGAATGTTCATACAGCATTATTCATAATAGCCCCCAAATGGAAACAACCTGGATGTCCATTAATTGATGAGTGGATAAACAAAGTGGGGAATATCCATACAATGAACACTTTTTGGTGCTAAAAAGGAATAAAGTACAGACACATGATACAGTATGAATGAACCTTGAACATTATGCTAATAAAGGAAGCCAGACACAAATGGTCACATATTATATAATTCCTTTTATGTGAAATGAACAGAATAGGCAAACTTAGAGAGGTAAGAAGCAGATTAGTGGTTGCCAGGGGCTGGGGAGTGGGAGAATGAGGGACGACTGCTAATGAGTATGGAGTTTCTTTGTGGGGTGATGGAAATGCTCTGGCATTAGGGAGTGGGGAGGGGTGCACAGATCCGAATATACTTAAAAACCACGGAATTGTGCATTTTAAGAGTGAACTTTGTGATATGTGAATTGTAGCTTAAGAAAGCTGTTATTAAACAAATAAATTTATAGAAGAGGGAGAGACAGGAGTATCAAGCACTTTGATGAGTACGTCATTTAATCATAAGAACTCTGTAAAAATGGTTATCATCATTAGCCCATTTCAGAAGACAGCACCAAGGCACAGAGATTAACTACACAGCAAGATCAGATCCCAGTCAAGGCATTTTGACTCCACAGAGCAGTTCTCAAAGTGTGTTTTGGGAAACCCAACACCCTTTTGGGGGATCTCTAAATTTAAAACTGTTTTCCTAATAATACAAGCATATTATTTCCCTTTTTCATTCTTATTCTTTCCGGATTGTACAGCGAAGTTTTTGAAAGGTTACCTGATATGTAATTATATCATCATGCTGTGTTTTAACATTTTTTGTTTTCATTGCTAGTATGGTAAATATCAATAAGTAAAACTCACATGAACATAAGCTCTTAAGAGTATAAAAAATTTCTGAGATCAGAAAGCTCAGAACTGCCACTCTAAACTATTATCCTATTCTTCTCATCTGTTATTTGTTATGGATCAATCTCTATGATAAGTTGTTAATTTAAAAAAAAAGCAAGATGCAGAAAGGTGATTATAACTACCTAAAACCTGCCATTTAGGTAAGAAAAAATGGAGATGTACCTATACATATACTCACTCCGTGCATAGGATTCAAAGAAAACCTCTAATAGTGGTTGTCCTTAGAGTGGGAGGCTAGGGAACAAGGAATGGAGAAGTAGAAGATGTTTTCACTGTATATAGTTTAATACTGTTGGATATGTTTCTTCTACCATGTGTATATACTCGCATTAACTTTTAAAGACAAAATTTAAAACATAGCATAAGAATAAAGAGAAAGAAAGAAATAAACAAATAGGGTGGTTAGGTGTTTCTCTCTAGCTTTGCTGTCCTATGGTTCAACTTTCAGGACCTCAGTAGGGGCCTGGACCTTGACAGTAAGGATTAGCACACTTGTTCTACTCACTTGCAGGGACATAGAAAAAGTAAAATATCAGATGTAAAACTACTTTGAAAGACATTACGCTCTCAGTGGGAGGACACTGTTAATAACTTTAAATGTTTTATTAGTGTGTTCAACAATTTTAGGTTTGTTTTGGGGCTCCTGTTGGAAGGAGGATCAACATACTATTTTGCAGTTAGTTATATAAAAGGGGACTTTGTAGACATATATGTTTCTGATGTATGTTTTTAGGATCAAGAAATGCAGAAATTACTATGAGATTCTGGGTGTTTCTCGAGATGCCAGTGATGAAGAGCTTAAGAAAGCTTACCGAAAACTCGCCCTGAAATTTCACCCTGACAAGAACTGTGCTCCTGGAGCAACAGATGCTTTCAAAGGTCTGATCCTGAAGTATTGCTTAATTCTGCCCTTCTTGTGATGTTCAGTCATAACACATTGTTTTCAGCCTCCCCTGTAATTGTTTTATAAAGCCATAAGCAGGGATTCTTTTTCCTTTGACACACCTCTTAAATGTAATTATCAGTATAGCTCCCGCCTGTCTTCATTTGCTTCACCTTAATTTCTTTTGGAAAAAATATTCGGTGTCTCTATAATACCTTTTGGGACCATTTATCTATTGTTTCAGCAAATATTTATTGAAGACCTATGTGCCAGGTGCCATGGTGAATAAAACAGACATGATTCCTCTTGTGGAACTTACAAGCTATTGGCCGCTTGCAAGTGGGCAATAGACAGCATTCCTAAACTTCTCTGACTATGGAACACTTTGTTCATTAAACGTCTGTCAGCCCCTAACATGTTCTTATGAAAAATCTGTATAATCCTTTTTCCATTGATTTCCATGGAACTTTGAGAAATATATTCTTAAAAAATATTTTGAGCCCTGGCCAGGTGCCTTGGTTGGGTGGAGCATTGTCTGGTATACCAAAACGTTGCAGATTTGATTACCAGTCAAGGCATACCTAGGATGCAGGTTCAATCCTTGGTTGGGGTGCGTACAGGAGGCAGCCAATCAGTGTTTCTCTCACATCGATGTCTCTCTCACTCTCTCCCCCACCCCCTTCTTTTCTCTCTCAAATCACTACACATGTCTTTGGGTAAGGATTAAATTTTTAAAAATATTTTGGACCCAACACATGAATAAAAAGCTTACTGAAGGGCTTCACCCTCAGAGAAGTCAGTGAGGTCATTGATTCAGGCAAGAATTATCAATGCTAAAACCACTGGGTGACAGTTGGTTGTTGGATAGGATATTCCCATGATGTCAAAGTATCACCCCACAGAATACGTACTGATTACAAAAGGGGAGATTCCTTTATAATGGAGATGCCTAGCTGTCACCACTTTAACCAAATGATCCAACATCACCAATATTGGAACAACCTAACATAATTTCATATAGTACTTATGTGGTATTCTTGCCAAAACTTTTGACCTGAATATAGTTTTGAGGAAACAATAAAAATATGGGATATTCTGTGAACAACACTGAACTACTCTTCAAAAAATTTAATAAAAAGCAAAAATTTGGAGAGACTGTTGTAGATTAAAAGAAACTAAAGAGCCCTGGCTGGTGTGGCTCAGTGGACTGAGTGCTGCCTGCAACCCAAAAAGTCACTGGTTCTATTCCCAGTCAGGGCACATGCTGAGATTGCTGAGCAGATCCCCAGTTGGGAGCATGCGAAAGCCAACTGATTGATGTTTCTCTCTTACATTGATGTTTCTCACCCTCCCTTCCCCTCTCTCCAAAGATAAATAAATAAGATCTTTAAAAAAAATAAAAATAAAAGAAACTAAAGAGATAAGAAACTAAATGCAAAATATACAGTAAACCTTGACCGGGTGATAATTAATGTTCATTTTCTTAGCTGTCATAATGGTATTGTGATTGTGTAGGAAAATATCTTTTTTTTTTAGAGAGGGAAGGGAGGGAGACAGAGAGGGAAAAATCATTGTATGAGAGAAACATTGATCAGTTGCCTCTTGCACGCCCCCAACTTGGGACCTGGCCTGCAGCCCAGGCATGTGTCCTGACTGGGTATTGAACTGGTGACCTTTCGGCTCACAGGCTGACGCTCAATCCACTGCACCACACCAGCCAGGGTAAAGAATGTCTTTCTTTTTAGGAGACATATGTTGAAATATTAGGGGTAAAGTGTTATAATATTTGCAGCCTACTTTCAAATGGCTCAGCAAAAGAAATATATGTGTATTATATGTATTTATGTATGTGTAGAGAATTGAGGGAAGTGATGTGGCAAAACACTAACGATGAATCAAGGAAAAGGGAATACATGTGTTTATTGTACTATTTTTTTCAACTTGTCTATACATTTGAAATTTTTCAAAAGAAAAAGTAAAAAATGATAGATCTGAAAAATTTTTAAAAGTCACCATTTACCTCAGATGATGTGCCATTGTAAGTCTAGCTCTCCCCACAGTTTCTACAAGGAAACAAATAGGTAACCCACATTCTTCATGTAAGGTATCTCATAAACTAATGCCATTTCTTTGATATATCTGCCAGATTTCAAGGGATGTGAAAGTTTAAGCAGCTGTATTTGGGTTTTTGTTTTTGTTTTTGTTTTTCTGCTTAGCTGTTTTACTGCTGTAAACATTCAACAATTTTCTAGGTAAAGAAATCATAAAGAAATGCTCTTTCTGACTGTGCTTCTGATAGTGCTGGCTGAATCAGAGATGGGGGTGCCTTTAAAAGATTTGGGGGAGGGGTATTTAATTGGAGGGATGGGTTTTATGTTTGATATAAATTGGAGAAATAGGGAGGAGAGGTGATGGTAGCATTTGTAATCTATTCAGTCTTTGATATCTCATTGAGACATTAGGGATACATTTCTTGATTTCTAAAGACCATTTTCTAAAGGAAGCTGAATAAGATTGTGATGAGTAAGGACTTTGCTTCTAGCCAAACAATAATTTTACTGATTATTTTATTCAGGAAATTGTTTCTGGGCTTCAAATTAGAACACTACTACTTATGTATGAACTATTCCCAACCATAAACTATTGCTCTCAAGTGAAATAAGAACACGTTTTTGGTGAATGAAAGCAGTCATTCTTAGTTCATCTTGAGTCCATTGTTGTTTCTGGCTTTTCTAACTAGATCGTGGAAAATTTCAAGGGCAAGCACTTTTGTGAATTTTCTAAGCCCAAACACCTCCCCAGGTCCCTGTGAAGCTATCCAGCACCAATCAACTCTGGGCTCTTCATTGCTGCTACTGTGATCACCTTCGGCTAGAGCTAAGACTATGTATTCAGGTGCTTTTTTGTTTTGGTTGCAGCAATAGGAAATGCCTTTGCAGTGCTTAGCAATCCTGACAAGAGACTCCGCTATGATGAATATGGAGATGAACAGGTGACTTTCACTGCTCCTCGAGCCAGACCTTATAATTATTACAGGGACTTTGAAGCTGACATCACTCCAGAAGAGCTATTCAATGTCTTCTTTGGAGGACAATTTCCTACAGGTTAGTATCCCAAAATTGTCATTAAAAAAGAATACAGAGAGTATGGTGAAAACAACAAGAATTTGGAATCAAGTGAACTGGGATTTGAGGCAAGTCTCCAGCCTCCAACTCTGCATGATTCTAACCAAGTCGTTTAGTCTCTCTTACCCTGTTTCTTCACCTGAAAAATGGGGTTAATAATAATACCTACCTCACAGGGCTGCTGTGAGGAATAAATATATATATTTTTTAAGATTTTTTTTATTTTTAGTGAGAGGGGAAGGGAGGGAGAAAGTCAGGGATAGAAACATCAATGTTTGGTTGCCTCTTGCACACCCCCTACTGGGGACCTGCCTGCAACCCATGTGCCCTTACTGGGAATCGAACCAGAAACCCTTTGGTTCACCGGCCAACACTCAATCCACAGAGCCACACCAGCCAGGGCAGAAGTAGATATTTTTAAGTGCTTTATAAATTAGTAGCAAAATGCCTATAATAATAATAATAATATATTTAATATTATTATTATTGCAAAATAGCAGCTATATAAAGATAAAAGTTAGAAAAGTACCCTCAGAGAGTTGGAAATTGGGATAATTAAATGCCCAGGAAGTAAATTGAATTTTATGAGTTGCTATTAAAGATTCGGATATTGGGCAAGGAAGCAAACATAAGAATGTCAGACAGGACTCAGGGCCCAAATGTTCTTTCTTTATTTGCCTTTTAGGGTTCCCTCACTCACTGGTTACAAAGAACTATTTACATAAAGGCAGGGAGCTAAGCACATCCCCTCTCCAGCTAGTTCACCTGGCTTACCTATTGTCTTTTTTTCCTACTGGGTGAAATGGGACAATATTCTGCTTGCAGAGAACCTAACTGGGAAGAAGATCCTTGGGAAAGGCAAGGAAGGAGTGTTTGCCATATCCCATACTAAGGATTTTCTTTCTTTTCCAGGAAATATTCATATGTTTTCAAACGTGACAGATGATGCCCACTATTACCGCCGGCGGCACCGACATGAGAGGATGCAAACGCGGAAGGAGGAGGAAGAAGATAAACCTCAGGTACATAGGAAGAACAGGAGAACTGCTGCTCATAAACGCTTATGTTGAGCTGGGCTTTACGGTATATTATTGGGTGTTAGAAGTTCAAACTAAAATTTGGTACTGAAATGTGCTTTAGGAAAGCAGAGGCTATGGTAAGAAGACCTGGATAATTGGATAAATAGACCAGAAGGGTAACCCCCTTCCCACCCATTCTTTAGTGACTATTCCAGGAAGTCATTTCCCCCATGGGGGTACCTTGATCAAGGTATTCTTGGCTCCTGAAAATAAGAACCCCTTTCACCCTGGCTGGTGTGGCTCAGTTGGCTGGGTGTCACCCCACAAAGCAAAAGGTCACAGGTTTGATTCCTGGTCAGGGCACATGCCTGGGTTTTGGGCCCAGTCCTCAGTTGGAGCAAGTGCAAGAGACAACTGATCGATGTTTCTCTCCCTCTCTTTCTCCCTCCCTTCCCCTCTCTCTAAAAGTAAATAAATAAATATTTAAAAAATGGAAAAAGAGCCCTGGCTGGTGTGGCTCAGTGGATTGAGTGCGGGCCTGCGAAGCAAAGGGTCGCTGGTTTGATTCTCAGTCAGGGCACATGCCTGGGTTGTGGGCCAGGTCCCCAGTAGGGAGTGCATGAGAGGCAGCCACCCATTGATGTTTCTCTCCCTCTCTTTCTCCCTCCCTTCCCCTCTAAAAAAATAAACAAAAAATAATAATCTTTTTTAAAAATAAAAAGAAAATGAGAACCCCCTTCAAAATATTCAGAACTAAAGGGGGTTTAGGGTAAGGGATCAAAGGGGCCTTATGAAGCTCAAGGGAAGGAAGCACAGCCAAACCTCACGACAGATGGGACCAGGAATGTGTGCTGTCAGGCACCCACACAACTGTGCTTTCTGACTAGTTGAAGCCAGATTGTCTCCAGTTTTCCCACCTCTTTTCATCTGCTCTGTTCTCTCTAATCAGCCCAGCTTGTTCTACTTACCCTTGCAAATGGCCAGACCCCAGTGCCTAAGAGTATGTGTCCTTTATTCAAGTGATTGCCTAGCAGTGAATGATGATGAATTTCAATCTCAAACTCCTAGGAGAGGGGAGAATGTAATTATCCCTGCTAGGGTTAGATGTCCCCCAGTCTGTTCAGGCAACAAAGTTATATAATACTAACATGGCCCCATGAAAGCCACAATTTGGGCACACTCACCCAGAGGTGTCTGTCTCACTGGTCTTAGATAAGGGGGATGCAGGAGAATTACCAGGTGCAAAACACATTGTGGGTGGGCCTCCTTTAGCTTTCTCGGCAGAAAGAACAGAGAGTTGTTTGGAACTTCTTAGCAAAGGATAGTCTTCCCCAAAAAGCTCTGGGCTTTGTGCAAGTGCATTGGTAATTTGTATTTTCTTTGAGAAAACAATCCTGTTTTCTATAAGCTTTATATTGATGAAGTACACTTACATTAGATATTTTTTCTCTTTCAGACTACGTATTCTGCATTTATTCAGTTACTTCCAGTTCTTGTGATTGTGATTATATCTGTCATTACTCAGCTGCTAGCTACTAATCCCCCATACAGTCTATTCTACAAATCGTAAGTCAAATATTTATAAATCTTAATAACAATCTCAATGGTGAAAGACTTGAAGATTTTTCCTGTACATTACTAATATTTAATTTTACCTTTCATTGTAGAAAACATTGTATTGTGTTTAAAACAACAGCTGGATAATAACAGTGCCTAGACTCAAAAATACTGTAGGCAGTTTCCTGTGTACTCAGGACATAGGTTGGTTTGTTCTACAGCGACATCATCTGGTCAGTCTCAGAACAGCAACAAATGATTACTGAAAGATTGATAGAATAACTCCATGTTCAGATTAAATCCTTATGACACCATGTTCAAGTTAGAAAGGATATGTTGAGCTTGTGATAGGATTGCTGGACTCCTGTGTCTGGAAACATAGTAATTGAGACCCAGTGATTTTAAATTTAAGAAATTACAATAGGACATTTATTCATTATAAGGCTACACAATCAAACCATATTTATCACATTTCTTTGCTTTTGCTGAAAATATAGAAATTCATTGTAATGTTTGTATTGCATGCATATTACAAGCTTTTATAGGAATATTTTATTTCTTCAATTAATTATTTCAATTAATTCAATTCTCAACGTTGGTCCCCAGACCATCATCTGAATCAACTGGCAACATGTTGGAAATGCAGACTCTTATGCCTCACTCTCTATTTGTTGAACCAGAAACTCTGAGGATGAGAACCAGTAATCTGAGTTTGAACAAGCACTCCAGATTATTGTTGGTCCATAGTAAAGTTCAAAAACCATCATTTTTAAAAATTAATAATGAGAAAATGAGTCATTATTATTATAGCTCAGGGGACAAAAACCTTAAAAAATGCAGTCCCTAGGGCAATACCTAATAGGAAGAGTCTTTGTTGGTGATCACTGTCGACTAAAAATTATCATTCTAAGTCAATGTCTTCATTTTACGGAGAGGAAATCTGAGACTCGCAGATAGGTTATTGCTATTAGGTCACACTGGCCTGAAACCCTCTATGTCCCGACTTACCATGTTTCTCCATATGCTACTATCTCCTTTCTTGTCAGGCCAGTGGGGCAGTCAGGAAACTGCTAACAATTTCCCTGAGGGAGGTGGGAGTGGTCATGGCCTGAGCTTGTAGACGTTCAGCAAGATTCATAAGTAGAGAGATCAAAGGAAAAGGCTGGGAAAAGGTCAAGTGTAACTCATTTGAGATAGAATTTGTCCAGTCTGAGTAAAATCAGCTTCCATTTTGCATATTGCTGTTACATTATTTTACCTTGAATTCGAGTTTTCTTCTGCAGTTTTTTTTATGGTTAGAATTTAGTTAACCCAGACCTGTCAATGTTTCTAAGCACCAGATACCAATGGAGATCTTGGATCCACTGAGTTAGCCCAGAAGCATCATTGAAACCTTGTGTCTGAGCTCTTTGCAGTTCTCACTTAGCAGTGAAGTGAGTTCTCACTCACTTCACTTATGTGTGAAGTACTTTTTATTGTGTCCTAAAAATTGACGCAAGGCGGATGTAAGCTAACTGCTTATTTATAAATAATTTACTGTAACAATCAGTTACTCAACCAGCATCTACCAATAGCCTACTCTGTTGCACCAGGTGCTACACAATATCCAAATTGTTTTTTAAGCATTAGCGTTCTACTTTTAGCATAGAGAGCAGTATAAGAAAGGTGAATCCTTTAAGAGAATTCAGCTGAAGCTGAATCCACAGTATAAAGATGCTCATGGACTAGCAATAATGACATCATTACACTTATTACTTTGCTAGGGAAATTATAAATGTTAGGTGCATTAGACTGTGGTGTCTACATCTGCCCTCTGAAGAGGTAACTGTATCATGATACCTATGGGGCCAGTGCTGAGTGATATTGCCAAACATAACAAGCTTACCTGAGCCTCTCTCTCCCTGTTTTAGGACCTTGGGCTATACCATTTCTAGAGAAACCCAGAACCTGCAGGTGCCTTACTTTGTGGATAAAAACTTTGACAAGGTCTACAGGGGAGCATCTCTGCGTGAGCTGGAGAAGACAGTAGAGAAGGATTACATTGATTACATCCAGACGAGTTGTTGGAAGGAGAAACAACAAAGTAAGGTGCCCTAAAGGAGGCTTTAGCTGGGGGCCATGCTGCCAGCCTGAGGCATCCCCAGCTTCCTGATCCCTCCTCTCTCCTTGTTTGAGTCGCGCAGGTTTACGTGGACAGAGGCCCATTCCGGATCCTATAAAAAGGGAAGTTTATTGACGAGACACATGTAGTCAGACTTGGAATTCTTAGGAACTTGGGCAGCCCGCATTAGTTGCCTCTATCTTTCTGCTTCTGAGTCTCTGCCTCGCTCTCCTCTCGGCCTCTGCCTGCCTTTGCTCCTTCAGGCTCTCCCCCTTCATAACCTTGTCTGGCTACAGTCGCTCTTCCAGCTTCTCTGGTCCCACCAGGCATTGGCCCCTTTTTATCACAAGCTTCCTTTACCACAAGTAAGTTCTCGTCGCCCGCTGGTTTGGTCCAGTTTCCTAATTCCGACCACATTCCCAAGAGGGAAATCTGTTTGATCCAGCCTAACTTTTTGAGCTAGACCAAAGGTTTATAAGTTGTTGTTGTTGAGGCACAGGCCCCCTCCTGTCCCCTCCTGTCAGCTATGGACACACAGAACAGAAGCGACCCTCCGTGGGCCTGCTGTGTCAGTGTGGGTGGGTGTGAGCAGGCCTTCCACTCTGTTTCCCTCTCTGGAGGCAGCCTAGGCAACAGTGTCTGCCACTTGGCTTACGGCTCCAGTGAGGACTGACGGGGAGTGCTGGTAGCAAGGGCAGCCCTGTTTCTCAGCCAACAGGTTCACTTTTTTTCCCACTTGAATTACACACACACACACACACACACACACCCATTAGTAACTTTCTTATAAAACTTGGCTTTGGTTAATTTTTTAAAAGCAAATTCTAACTCATTTTTTAAAAAACCTTAGTACTGGGTATTATTAAACATCTAAAAGTGTCTGATAAAATTAGCTCTTCAGTCACAGCGCTGCTAAGCCCTTGCTGACCCATCATGCATCTCAGCCCCACCCCCAAGTTAATCTCTCCTTCCTGTGTGTTCTTAAAGCACTTTGCTCATCCTGTTAACACAGTACTGCTCTCACAGTGTTAGTGTTCCGTCGGTACATGTCAGTCTCCATGCTGGACTGTGGTCATGTCTTACTAATTAGTAGCCATGTCTTATTAATGTTGTGCTGCTGGTACCTGGCACAGTCCTTGTTTCAGAACAGTTGCTCAACAAATGTCTTCTGAAGAGAAGAGTCTCAGGACTGGAAAACAGTGAAAATGCTGGGGATTAGAAATCACAGAACAGGGTTAGTGTCCTAACCCTCGCCCTAAGGAACCGTGTCTCTGCCCTCTACATCTGCAGGGCAAAGCCCAGCTGAACTCTCAGGTGCACTAGGAGCATGGTAGGCAATGACTCTGAGGTGTGAGGGGACATTAAGCAAGAGGAGGAAGTTGCGTTTTTATTGAAAAATCTGAGGGTTCAGGAAGTATCCTACAAGTTTTCAAAAATTAGAAAAGAATTTGGATCAAGATAAAGGCCTTAGACTAAAAGACCGTATATTTGTAGATCCAAAGCAGGTAAAGGCCACAGTGTGTGTCCTGAAAGTCCCCCATTGTTTTGGCCCCTGGGAGGGTTTTGAATTTGTGGCTTTCTACAAGAAGTGGATGAGAATCTGCATTTCACATTCTTTAGACACACACCCATCCGCACAGATACCCCAGCTGGAACTATCCAAAGAGCTCATAATAAGGATTGTACCTAAGGTGGTTTCTAGACTTTTGCCCTCATCCCCATGAGGCCTAGATTGGGGCTGTTGCACTCTGCAGGTATAAATAAAAGTCCAGTGAGTAAGCATGATGCATGTACCCACAAGTTCTAAATGGGGTTATCAGCACAAACCCCTTAAAAATCTATTTCTGGCATTTAAGGATGGAGGTGGCTGTCTGTAGCCCCCACACAACCCAAATGCCATTTGAGAACGAGCAGCATCTGCCCTCCGGATCCAGCAGCAAGTGCAGCCAACAAGGTTAAATTTAGCACTTGGGGGTGGTAAAAATAAACCCACTTGAGAACAAAGTTCACTCTTGGCAAAATACCGAATGGAAACTGTTTTCAGCAAAGTTACCCATTGTCTTTTTAAATCTTTTGTTCATTTCTTTTCTCTGCTTTCCCTTAGAAAGCTTAATCTGAGTGAACTTCTATGAGTAATTCTTTACTATGAACACTCATTGCCCTGTTTTCTCCTTCACAGCTGCATCTAGAAAATGAACCTGATGCCAAGGGAAGTGGCCGTGCCACTGGGCTGGGATGGGCAAAAGTAACAGGCAGAAGCTGCCGCCCGGCCGAGCCGCGCTGAGCGCCTCGCCCTGTCTGGCAGAGAGGCCCTTCTTTCCGTGCCCTGGAGCTGGGGGGCACAATGGGCTCCAGCCAGTTTCCTAATTCCGACCTAAGGCTCTGAAATGGAGATAAATGAACTTCTCCCTAGAGAGGTTCTATGGATTATAGAAGATGGTATGGGTGCTTAGCACGGAGTCTGGCACATAATAAGAGCCTGGTTCCTGGTGGAGTCCAGGCTGTGGTTGGCCTTGCTAGACTGGATGCAACACTGTCTTATAAGGCTGGATCATAAGGGTGGCGGGGATCTGTTGTGGTCTCCCTCTGTCAGGATTCTGAGCTGGGTCTTTGTGTAGAATGTTCTTGGGAGAAGCTCTGGGACTTGCTTCTCTTCACACTTTGAGTCAGTTTACCTTTGAAGGTTCAAAGCTCTGTTCATCTATTATACTGGCATTCAGGGCAAGGTAAACATTTTACAAAGTAAAGATGTTCTCTTTATCCTGCCCCTCCCAAAGATTTTTTCCTCTTAGAAGTTATTGAATATTAACAGAATTTGTCAAATGTAACATATTCATTGAGTTGATCTTTTGCTTCACTGAAGGGCAAAAGGACTCTCACTGGCAGTTTGGAGAGAAGTTTCTCTAAGCATGGTGGTGGGGGTATGAGACATGGCTTTTCGAACCTCGTGCAAGGTCATTGCTCTGGAGCAGGGATCTCAAGCTCTGGCGCATTGAAACCCAGTGCCAATGAACTTTATGAAAAGCAATGAGATGTTTTGCAAAAAGCATTCACACATGTGCAGTTATCTTTCACCAGCTTGTTACCATGGTCTTCAACGTAGAAAATAGTACGAATCAATAGCCTTAGTGTTTTCTGGAATGAGATTTCAGGCAATGAGGCAATTAGATAAGCTTGGTAAGCAAAAAAACAAAGGAAATCAAAAAATAAAAAGATGAGAAGGAAGAAGGAAAATAACACCCTACAGAAATCATTTCAAGGAAAAGCAAAGCCACAAATTCTGTTCCATACACTGGTGTAACTGTGATTCCAGAGGACCAAAAGGATAGACTGATTTTATAGAGGCCTCCTGAAGAGTTTTCCCACATGCCAAAGGAGCCAGAGAAATATGAGTTAGTGCCACACTCTGGATAGGACGTAGGGGCCGAGGGCTTTCATTTGGGTGCAGCACATGTTCCTCCATGAAGCCCCATCACCTGCAAGGAGACCATGCCAAGGCAAGCTCTGGCTAGCAGGCACTGCAGGCACCCGCACCAAGGGAAGAGAGCACATTGTTCCGAAGCCTAGGAGACTCGCCGCTTGCCAAGCAACTGCTGGGCCAGGGCCCAGGCTCTGATCCCTCATTGTGAAGGGACGGTTTTCATGCATACCCACCCCTCACCCTGGAGTCCCGCACTTAATCTGCACTTCGGGCCTTACTTGGTGTAAATAGAATCATTGTGAGCAGAAATGCCAGACGGTGTTTTGTGTTGATAGAAGCTTATTCAGAAACCAATGCCCATTGTTCCCCCTGTCTAAGTATTAATTCCTGTTTCCAGGCAGTTCACTGATTAATCAGACAGGTGCCTCTGGTTCCACCAAGAAAAACAAAATCTGTCAGCAAGATGATTAAGAATGGATAGCATATTTCCAAATGATTAAAATAGCATTTTCACAAGTATGGTCCTTTAAACATTGAGGAGCTGCCTGCTGTTGGAGGCTTTCAGAAGCCAACAGCCCATCCGAGCGCACCATCCTGTTAACACACAACACGTCTCTAGAGGTGCACCTCAGGCCTTTCCTCCCAAGTCTGTCTCTGAAACTTTACAAAAGACTAAAAAATAGAGGCTGCCAACTACTGTTGAGGTGGGGAAGACTGCAGAGATTATATTCTGGTTAAAAATAGAATGACCTTCTCCACCATTAAGAGAAAATGAAATTCATTTAGTCCAGGAGACAAAGGTCACCGGATCCAGATGATTTCACTTTTAAAAGAGCCCAGCTGCCTCTGGCCTTTGAGTTAGGGACCTCACATGTGGTGAGGGAACGAAGGAAGCCGCCACCAACCTGGCCTTCTATAGAAGGCCTACCCACCAGAAGCGGGCTCTGTGTCAGTTAGTGTGTATTAGTTATGATCCAGCAACACAAGGGAAAGAATGAAGCAGCTGTCTTTGTTTCGGATGACAGGAGCAGGCGATTGGACTCCATTCTCTCCCAACTGCCATCTGAATACCATTCGTAGGAAGACCGTGAAACAGTCTCCTCTTACTGCACACGTGCAGGCTTCCTAAATCTGGTGCCAAATGTTCTATTGATAAGAACTAAGTCTGGTGCTTTTATAATAGAGCACAGATACTGCAGGACTCTAGGACCACAGGTGTCCTTTAATCCTTTGCGCCTGGTAGTATAGCTGCCTGATACGTATTTCTTGAATAAATGTTTCTTAAATTTAATTGAAAGAGAAAGTATTCAATAAAGTAAAAGAAGCTTTGATTTCAGAAATAATGAAATGACGCAAAGGAGCTCAAGTGTTTTTGATGAATTGGTTACCTCTCTTATCTTTCAGAGTCGGAGTTGACAAATTTGGCGGGATTGTACAGAGATGAACGATTGAAAGAGAAAGCAGAGTCGCTGAAACTTGAAAACTGTGAAAAACTTTCCAAACTTATTGGCCTACACAGAAGTGGCTGATAGGATGATAGTTCTACACAGGGTCGGGGTTTTACTACTTGTTACTATTTATGTTCCTAACTCCATTTGATAATACAAAACTAGGAGATCATGAACATTTTACAATTTGCTAACTTTGGTGGGCTGAGTTGAAGGCACTTGAGCATGGAACCAGACTTACCACAGAATCCTTCCTGGGGATTGGCTCTAGGGGCCAGAAACAGTTCATCTGAGTTGAATTAATGGCAACGTGTTGGATTCAGCCTCCCTGCCCCACACCTGCCCTGCCTCTAGGAATGTAGAGGCATCCCACAGCAGGTTCATGCACCCTTCCTTCTTCCCTTCTTCACCAACCAGTCATTCCTAGGCATAGCCAAAGCAGCTTTATATTAGTTGTTTACAAAGTGCACCAAGAATTATACCTCTCCCTTCATGAGAGTCATCATCTTCCCCAGAATTCAGCCTTTGGAACATGTTCCTACTCATAGTTCCATTTTCTAAGGGGAATGTAGAGCAATGTAAACTATTATAGTCAATACTTTTCTATTTGCCTAATCTCTATCCAGAATTATTAGCAAAATTGCTGATTTGAGTTTCTTCTAGTTCTTTAACACTCCCTCTCTTGCAGAGGGTTCCAGAAATTAAAAGCAATTGAGTGAAACAGTTCAATGGAAGTAGGGGCCAGGGGCGAAGGTAAAAGGCAACACTTTGTCTCAGCTTCTCAGTCCATCATAGTACCCAGAGAATGTCCTTTTTGTCATTTCCCTTTGCAGCATCACAGGAACTGGGTCCCTGCACCCCACAGAGGTACAGTGGTCAGACCTAAGAGGAGTCGGCACTGCCAGCTGCCTGGACCACTTGCTCGTGCCTGGGCGTGGAGGGGAAAGACCTTCTTTCCATGGCAGTGGGGGTCCGGTGATGGCCCCAGCAGTCTCTGTGTAACCCAGCGCCCTGTAGTTTGTGATAGGACATGTTTTTTCACATAGTCAACACTCATTGAGTGCCTAGCATGAAGCAGGGGCTCTCACATGCATCTTCTTACTTCAGCCTCCTCACAGCTCTGTGAAGTAGACAGGTTATCCCCATTTTTATGAAGGAGAATACTGGCCCAGAGAGGATGAATGGTTGACCTGGGCCACCCATGACCTGGGTCACACAAGTGATAGTGGCAGAGCTGGGTGGTAGTCTGATTATCAAGTAGAAATGGAGATCATCCCAATTTCTCAGGTGATTCTAGCCAGATTGTAAAACAGGATCTTTCCCAAGGATGCCCCTGTCCTCCCGGCCCTGTGACCCTGTATCCTTCCTACGGCAGTCCTTCATCCACGCAGGACACCTTTCCCCTGGTCTTTAGAAACCAGGACTCTGTACCAACTTAGTATACAAAACAAAAGGTCCCTCAAAGGCAGGCAGCCCTTCCCCCTGGTGACGAGGAAGGAGTAAGTTGCTGCCTGGGCCATGTGGTTCTGGGCCTTCCTGCGACATAAGCCACCAGACTGGGGCTGCCTAGATTAACAGAAATCTGAACCTGGAAGGATCAGTAGCTGACTCTAGTCAACACTCATATTTCCTTCAGTATGGAAGAAAAGTTCCTGTCGGACGGAGATTCAACATGAAAGCTGATTTCCAGAGTGGAGTTTCTCCTTTCAGATGCCCAGCCATGATTCACACAGACGTGTCCAGTTCGGTTCCGCATGTGGGCATTCCACAGGGTCAGGAGATGCCTCCCGAGGTAAAGAGTGGGCGTTACTGACCGGTAGGGGACAGCTGCTCGGCTGTGGGGAGGGGGAGCAGCTCCAGGCACAGCCAGATTTTGCTGCCCAACTGTGTCTCTCCTCCTGGGTGGTGGGGGCTTCCTTGATGCCCTCTGAGTGACTGAGGGGGTTTACATGGTAAAATGTGCCTGTGAGCCCAGCAAGCTTATGGAAAGTTTTCCTGTGCAAAAATGAGCGTTCTCTTCGACCCTAACCCCTGCTAGAAAGTGGGCCATAACTAAACTGACGACAGTTAAAAAAGACCCTGCTCTAGATGCCCATGAAGACTGTAGCCACACATTTTCTGGGTTTCATGGCAGACATTCGTTACCTATGATGATACGACATAGAGGCAATACTAACTCCAATAAATGTCAGGCCTGTTGTCTGTTTTTATAACACTGATGGTACTGTTTTATTTATTACCTAGTAGACCACAACACTCACATCTGCTTTTCCTCAAGGGAATGGTATTTGCATTTGGTTGAAGGATAGATTAATCTATTTGATATGGTCCAGAATATTGTTAAACTGTACTTTCCTGGGTTATAGTTTAGATAGGTTATCTGCATGGTGGTAAAAAATAAGCATTTTCCTCTTGCCTACATCCCTTGGAAGGTTTTCTAGTCATATATAAGCTCTTTAGGCAAGGCTTATTCTTGCTGGCTGAACTTGGCATGCAGCTCTAGTCTGCATCTATGAGCAGCGGGGCAGATTGAAGATGTGTGGTGAGAAAGCGGCTATGAAATAGGGCTTTGAGGCTCAAGCAAAAACGGAGGCTCTCGTCATTAGAATGATAGTGCTCTTTGCACTGCATGATCCGCAGTGAGGAAGGGAGCGTGAAAATCCTCACCACAGGGGACACTGCAGCTTGAAGGGATCCGTGTCCCCAGATTAGCAACCCTGGGATTCATCTGCCCAAACCAGAAAGCATCTGAACTTCCTTGATCAGCTCCAGGCCTCACATCTTGGAAGAAGTGACCAGTATGAAAATAAATTGGTATGCTTTCTGTTGGAAACTATTAGAAACTACACTGAACTCCAAACCCCATCGGAACATGGGATCCAGCAGCCTGGCCAAGCTATATGTTGTTCTCATTTTTCACCCTCACACTCAGGACTGGCTTTGTGAGAAGGCACTGCTGGGATTCCAGAAGCTTTCTGTTACAACTGACCATACATGCAAGTTGTTTCTGCATGCTCTGTTCCTCACAGGAGCTAGCACTTAATTAGTATTTATTTTAGATTCATTCAAGGTGTAAGCTTAGTATCCTAATAACATTTGTTTTTGGAAAGGGCCAAGTTACTGTACTTCTTTTTTGAGCCTGCATTGTTGATACCTCGTGCAATGACCATCAAGTAACTATATACCCATGTGTTAGATATGATTACATCATTTGCATCCCATTCAGTATTTGGAATTAAAGATGTGAATGTTCTGTGACCAGAGCCAGGTTTGACACAGAAGGAATCAGCTCCTGGTGGAGTCCGAGTCCTAAAAAATCTGGTCACCTGATCTACTTCATCTGGATTGAGTGTATTTTAACACACAAAAAAATTAAATGATTTTATATTAAAAAAATGGCTTTATGTTTTTCCTTTGTTCTTTTCCCTTTGCCCATGGCCCCCTTGGGCACTGCATGTTGCCTGACTCCTTCGGAGCTACCAAAGATGAGAGAAGCTTTTGACCTCTTCCCCAGTCTTCCCTCATCCTTCAGTGGAATTATTGCAGTTTAAAACAATAGATAGCCTTGGTGCCGTCACCAGCTCTGCGTTTTCTATCAGGTAACAGCTGCTGCAGCATCTTATAGCCAATGGACAGATCAAAACTACTTAGCATCTGAAAATCGGCTGTTATTTCAGTTCCTTGCTGGCTTTGTCCCCAGTGGCCTATATTTAGGAAAGTTCTGGTTTAAAAATGCAGTACCTATTTCAGTTTGGCTCTCCAGAGCTCAGCTAGTCATAATACCTATTATTTGGAGAAAGACTGAGATGAGATTCAGTTCAGCAAAGATGGAGAATTTATGTATGTCAGATGAGCCAAGCTTTTGGGATGGGAGTCAGGGAACAAGTGAGAGCCAGCCCCAAGGCTCCTGGAGCTCACATCTAAGGGGGAACCTAACTTTAGACAATGCTCCCCAGTGGGATGAATGTCAAAGGGGATACCAAGGGAACCTTGGGAATATGTAACAAAGAGGCTTAATCCAGTATGAATAATCAGTGAAAGCAACTCTGAGGAAGAGAAACTTGAAATACAATTACCCTTCTCACAGAGTACAGTGATTTATTTTTTAATGGAGGTAATGGGAGGCAACACTCGTGGACTGCTCCCATTTCCATAAATAGCATCATTCTCCATCCAAGCACAAAAGTCAGAAACCCAGGAAACTGTGTGGTGGACGGAATTGATGTCCCCCAATGGACCACACCGAATATTCATGCCCTTGTGTAGTCCCCTTTCTGATCTAGACTGGCCTTTAATCCATAGAATTAATCCATAGAATCCATAGAGCTTTAATCCATAGAATGTGGCAAAACCAGCAGCTTCCATTTTTGCACTTAGAGGAAGCCAGCTGCCATGTAACTCCAGCCTCCCTGAGACCACCGAGCTAACCGCGTGAAGAAGGTATGCAGAGCAGAAGCAAGCAACTGAGCTGGCAGCAAGGACTAAGAGCATAGACATATGAGCTATTTATGCCAGCTGATTGGGCTGAGTAAAAATTAGCTGCTGGAACAAGCCCTATTCAAACTGCAGACTCATGAGCAAATAAAATGGTGGTGGTTTTAAGTTATTAATTACATTTTGTAGTAGTTTGCAGCAATAAACAACCAAAATACCCTTTTTTCCCATATCCCCTCCATCCTTGCTAAGTCCTGACAGTTTTACCTCCAGAATATCCTAAATCCACCTACTCTTTTCATCTCCTCTGACACCATCTGACTCCCAAACTATCATCTACTTCCTCTGATAAAAACTTGCAGTAGCCGCACGAGCATAAGTAGTCTCTGTGCACCAACTTGGGGCCCCTCCAACATGTACACCTTGCTGCAGCTAGAGATTTCATTTCGAAACATAAAGTATGTCACCCTCTTGCTTAGAATGTTTCAGTAGCTTTCTTTGGCCCCCCCAAAAAATAATTGCCAAAGTCCTTAGCATGGCCTGATACTTAGTAACGCTCTGCCAAGTTCAGGCCTCTACCCGCACTTGCCCTGAACATCTTTTTCTTTTCTGCCATATTAGCCTTGTCGTCACGACACTCTCTAACCCAGGACTTTATGTATACTGTTCCCTCTTCCCGGAACTCTTTCCCACTCACCTGGCCCCCTCCTCTTTGCTAAGTGCCTCCTAGTTATCTTCCTAAGGCCCAGCTCAAAAACCACTTTGTCACAGAAGCCTTCCCTGTACACCAGACTGGGTTAAATCTCCTTTTAAAAATACTCTCATTCCTGTCTTTCTTAGCACCTGTCATAACTATAATGCTATTTATTTGAATAATGACTTTGTTTGAGATTTGAGTGTTTTTTGATTTTCTGTCTCCCCTACTAGTCTAAGTTCCATCTAATTTTATCTGAGCTGAATCCTGAAGAGAATGAAACGTCATCTGTCAGGACTTCAGGACCACGGAAGTGCAGCCCACATTGAAACTCCTCCCATCCAAAGGTGGCATGTGTCTGCTCTCCTGGAAACTGGACTCTGTGGCTCCTTGATCAATAGAACACAGCAGAAATGACACTATGCTGTTTCTTAGGCCCAGGCCGCAAGAAACTGGCATCTTCCATTTCTTGTCACTTCGGATACTTTCTCTTGAACCCCATCACCAGGTCCATAGAGAAGAACTTAGTCCTCAGTCTCAGATGAGCTCCCAGCTGACGAGCACGAATTTGCTAGTTATGTGAGTGAGCTGTCTTGGCAGGGAACTTCTAGCCTCCCTCCCTCCCTCCCCCAACAACCATACCAGCTGATACTACATGGAGCAGAGATGAGCTTTCACTATTGAACTCTGCCCAAATTGAAAATTCCCAAGCAAAATTATTTGTTAAGGTATAAATTTTGAGTGGTGTTATACAGCAAGTGAAAACCTGAACATCAATCAGGATAACACTGTGTAGAAAGCCACGCTTTCTGGGGCAGAATCATAGAGCTGTTTGTGATGTTATGTGATCCTGAGCCCCACTGAGCCCTGACTGGCCAGGAACTCATAACGCTTGTTGACCTAGGGAGTGAGAGTCTGTGGTAGTCCCCAGCCAGGTCGACCATCCCTCATGACTATGCTGGTATCCAGTGTTCTCTCTCGCTCATAACCGTCCACCCCCAGGGAACTGGCTGCTGGAGCCTACTGTGCTCCTGGGTTTTGCCCTAAGCGTACAAGATTTTATTTTATTTATTTTTAGAGAAGGGAAGGGAAGGAGAAAGAGGGAGAGAAACATCGATGTGCCAGAGAAATATTGATCGGTTGCCTCTCGTACACCCAGGGACCTGACCTGAAACCCAGTCATGTGCCCTAAATCGAACCCACAACCTTTCAGTTTGCGGGACATCCAACCCTTTGAGCTACACCAGTCAGGGCCACAATAAGGCTGTTTTAATGTAAATTTTAAATAATTAAAATTTAAAAAATGTTTAAAAGTAATTCCTCAGTCACATGAGCCATGTTTCAAGGGCTCAATAGCCCACATTGGCTAGTGGCTGCAGTACTGGACAGTGCAGATGAACATTTCCATCACAGAAGTCCCAGTCAGCTGTACAACCCTGGGCCCTTTCAGACTGGCTGAGAGAAATAGCCTTACTCTCAAGGACATGAGAACAGACACAAGCAACAAGGAAAGATAAAACAAGAGCTATCCCTGGGAGACCCACAGGAATGACCACGTTTGTCAGGCCACAACATCCAGCTGAAAAAGAGGCCCCCGGGAGTCCTGCAGAGCAGCCTGGGTGGCTTACCTAAACTTCCATCTTTCCTTCCTGGACACTGATAACATTTTTTGCAAACTCCTTAATATAGTCATTTCCCGCTTCCATAACTTCTGCATCCATTATGTCCAACAAAAATGTGGCACCACATCATGGTTAAGAACATGGATTCTAGTCCTGACCCGTGTGGCTCAGTTGGTTGGGCATCATCCTGCAAAGCGAAAGGTTGCAGGTTCAGTTCCCAGTTGGGGCACGTCTAGGTTACAGGTTTGTCCTTGGTCAGGATGCGTACAAGATGCAGCCAATCAAGTTTCTCTCTCACACTGATGTTTCTCCCCCTCTTTTCCCCTCTCTCTAAAAATAAATAAATCAAAAACTATAAAAAAAGAACATGGACTCTAGAATCAAACTGCCCACCTGAAAACTGTTCCGAGGTTTAGTAGCTTGGGTGACTTTGGGCAAGTTATTCGCTCTAGAGAACCTGCATTTCCTCATCTGTAAAATGTGGATAATAGAACCTACTTTCCAAGGTTATTATAAAGAGCAAGTGAAAAATACTGATATGGCAAAACTGTGCCACGACATACTCGATAAATAATAGCTCTGGTATTCCCCAAGCTTAATCTTAACTGTGTTCCAGAAAAAGGGGCGGGGGGGTGGGCTGTGATGATGTGTGATTATCTTACCCTTCCCTATCCGTTTTAGAAGGCCCCTTCGTGCTCCACGTTAGTTCTAATCTCTTCAGACTCTTCTTCAGTGCCCCCGCAGCATCCTGATGCAGTCGCACTTGGCCAGTGCGGTTGCCCAGAGCCTGATACCAGACTATTGAGGACTTAGGTTGGGTGAGACCACTCGCCTTTTCTATTCTTGAGCCCCACGTTCATTGCTTAGGCTCAGGCCTCCTAAGTACTGCGTATGTCGTAAGAGGAATAGAGAACACGGGAGGCTGGCGGCTCATACTCTGGGGTATATTTAGAGATGATGATGGCAGAGAGGCGTTTGAAGCTAAAGATGCAGGTGTTGCCTTAACTGGCTCTTGCTTCACTGACTTGCAGTTTCGGGGAGAAGGCTGAGGGCGGGTGTTTTGCCTATTCACTGGCTCATAAAGGAAATATCCATATTAGCCAGTCCCGGCCTGCTCCTCAGGACTACGTGAGAAACAAAAGATAAAACAGATAGACAAAGTCTCTATAAACTTAAATTCCTAAGGGTTGTTAAATTCCCCGGGCGACTCCTTTAAGAGGCGGGTCCCATCCCGGCTAACAAATAATGTCCCCGCCCCCGGTTGCCAGGGTGCTCTGTGGCGTCGCATCCTCATTGGTGGGCGGCATGGTGAGCCACCCAGCGGCAGCCATTTCCAACGAGCTGGCGGGGGCAAAAGATGGCGACGCCCGCCGGGTGGTCGCAGGGCGGGTCAGGGTCGGTGTGTCTCGCCTTCGATCAACTGCGAGACGTAATTGAATCTCAGGAGGAACTGATCCATCAGCTGAGGAACGTGGTACGCACCCAGGAGAGCTGAGGGAGATGTCGCCTAAATGGTGGGACCGGGGCCAGACCCTGTCTCGAAGCAAGGGGCGTGCCGAGAACCCATTGCCAGTAGCGTCATCAGGAGGCGGGGCCCAGATGTGTTAAGGCTTGTGGGGGTGGAACCAAAAGGAGAAGAATTTCATGAATATTTTACAAGGGAATCTTAATCTAAATCAAGTTGCTCTCTACTCTCTTTGTTTGGGTGTGCAGGGCCGGGTAGATATGACCCTATCTATTCACCGAGCCTCGTTTTCTCCATTTCTAGTTGGAGACGACTTCACTGACTTTCCAAGGCCCTCAGGTTCAGGCATCCTTCCTATTAGGGACACCCCCTCCCCAGTGTCTGGTGAAGTGCCTTGCTGAGTGCAGTCAGCACAGGTTTGGACCTTGCACTTGATCATTCAAGGGCTTGGGCTTCTGACCCCTTTATGTCCCTTTGCTTTTGCTCTCGGTCAAGTTCTAGTTCATGGGAGCAAAGCTTTGGAGCCACAGATTGTCTGGACAGGCCTGATAAAATCCTGCCCAGGTGGGGTTTGTGGTTTTTCTGTTTTTGTCTTCTATCTTGATAAGAAGGCGGGAGATAACTCCATCTCAGAAATAAGATGACGCACATCTCTTTCTCATTCTAATGGCTGTGTGTGCAGCCAACAGCATTGAATTACCAGCTCTTCCTCTTGGCCTCTTTAAGCGGCAGGCTCCATCCCTGGCCTTTTCCTCACAGCCTAGAACACTTTTCTCTTCCACCTCTCTTCTTCTGGGCCACCCCTACATAGCAGTCAGATCTCAGGTCTGATTTGGTGTCCCCTTCTCCTGAGGCAGTTCTGACCCTTCCCCAGGCCGGGTCAGGGATCTCCTCTGAACACCACTTTGTGCTTCTCCATCATAGCACATGCCATGTTACAAGTTCTGGCCATGAGGTATCTCCTCTATAAGAATGGTTGCTCCTTGAGGGCAAGACCAAGAGCTGAGCCTCAGTGAATCTTGTGGAATTGAATTCTCCCTTCCAAGGGCCCCAGTCTCTTCCTAGGTGCCCTGGGCATCAACCCATTATCCATCCTTGCTCCTGGTCCCTGAGGACACCCTAGTCCCAGGCCCTTCCTGAGCCAGGCTCTATTGCAGATGGTTCTCCAGGATGAAAATTTTGTCAGTAAAGAAGAATTCCAGGCAGTGGAGAAGAAGCTGGTGGTGAGTAGTAGCCTCTGCAGGCTCCTAATCTTCCCGTGTCCCAGGGTCCTTGTGGTTGAGAAGAGTGATTGAGTATCGGCCTCTGAGAGCCTCCAGCCCCAGTAATGAGGACAGAATCTTCCTCATTCCTGTGCCCTGGCTTATGTGTTGCCCTCTGAGTAAGGGGGCTGGCTGAGGGAGCCTAGGAGATCAAAGGTGGCTTGGGGTAATAAGGTTACTGGTGTTGCCCCTGTAGGAAGAGAAAGCTGCTCATGCCAAGACCAAGGTCCTCCTGGCTAAGGAAGAGGAGAAGTTGCAGTTTGCCCTTGGAGAGGTAGAGGTGCTATCTAAACAGCTGGAGAAAGAGAAGCTGGCCTTTGAAAAGGCGTGAGTAGGCCTTGGTAGGGGGAGAAGGTTTAGGGGTCCCATCTCCCTGTCAGCCTTCCCACCCCTTATGTTCTCCACCCAGGCTCTCCACCGTCAAAAGCAGAGCCCTGCAGGAGTCCAGCAAGAAGGACCAGCTCATCACCAAGTGCAATGGTAGGCGGGAGGCCCGTGCTCCCTCCCACGCTTACATACGTGGGCTCATCCCTAACTGCTCCGTGCCCATGTCCAGGGCAGGGCTTCATCCCAACTTCTGTTCCCGGCTGAGGATACAGGCAGGCCCAGGCGGGCCACACCTCCACAAAGGCCTTCAGGGACCAGGCAGGCCACGGAAATGAGGGAAGCAGTTGGCATACAATATTCTTCATGACCATAAAGGAACGGGCTCGCTCCCATTTTTTCTCGAAACGTGCAACCTTTCTTATTCCACCTTTTGTTTTTCCACTTTTGATGGATATTAGAACTAGTGTACTTTATCTGTAACCCTTTTAAAAGAGGAACAACAAGGCAAGCACAGTCCCACGTGGGAGCTGACCGCTGGGCTCCAGGTTGGGCGGAGCGAGGACCGTGGTGTTGCGGACAGCCCCGCCCTGTCAAGGGCTTAGCAGCTCTGCTGTGGAAATGGGGGTCCAGCACTGTCAGAGCTTTAAGAAAGAAACCAGTTTTAGTGGAAGCTTTTCTGACTTTTTAGTGGTGGCAGTGATTTAGAAATTTTAAAAATATCGTATAGGCCAAGTAAAGTATGTCTGTGGGCCGTTAGTTGTCAACTCTGCTCCATGCAGATGCATGTAGCCACTTGGCTCCGTTGGTGCTGTGAGTTGTGGCGCACTTTCAATCAGCTACCCACTTTCATTTTCCCAGAATGCTAAACTCCTCTATTTTTTACTTTATACCTATTTTAAGAAGTAGATGTGAATTCCATATATAACGTCTGCTTCATTCACTGGAGCAGATTTTGAATAGGCCAGAGCCCAAAATAGGCCTCAAGCCTAAGAGAGGTTCAGGGTCTCTCTTGATGGGCCCCACCTGAAGCCTTGGGCACCCTCTACCTTCCAATCCAGCCTTCTCTCTCCCTTGGTGAGTATTCTCATTGGTAAGTTGCCAGCAGGCTGCCATCTTGATCCGGCCAGGAGGCCTGACAGGCCTCATGGTTGTTTGATCAAGGGCTCCCATTAGGGCCTCCTGGGGCCCAACAGGCATTCACTGCCTTCCTACGCAAGGACACTGGTCTCTAGTCCTTTCCCTTTTTCTGGACATCCCCCACCGCCATTTCCCCAAAAGGAACAGAAGGGCCTTTCCTGGCAGTGCTAGGAAAAGGCATCCTGCCTTGAGGGCGTTTCCTAAAGCTCAGCCAAGGCCATAGGGCCCTGTGTCTGCTTGAGCAAGGTGTGCGAGAGTCACAGGGATGGAGCCTGGCTGCCTCCTCCGAGAAGGTCCTGAATCCCTCCAGTGGGGCACAAGCCCTTAGCTGAGCGAATCTGGTGACCCGAACCTCCCCCTGGCCTCCTCCTGGCCTGGGCCTCCCTGCTGCCTCTTCCCTTTGTGTGGTTTCAGTTTAGTTTTACTTACACAGTTCCTAAATCTTTTCAAAGGGCTTTTCTAACCATTTTCTCAATGGGTGCCATTTATTTTACATTTACCTCATTTATTTTAAAAGATTCACACAAATTTCTGATGTTTTTTCTGAAGAGAACTTCACAAGCAATGAGTCTGGATTAGCTGGGTCACCTGGGGAAGGAGTTTTGATAATCCTGGGCCTATGACCCCATGAGCTCATGTTTTCCTTCCCTTCCTTCATCTATGTCTCCTCTTTTCTATGCTGTGCCTTAACTTTTTACCAGACTGTCTCTTCTGAAACCTTAAATGCTTCAGCATTTCTGCATTTTCAGAGCTTCTGTTTTAGTTACTCTTTGTCTGACCTTTAAAGGCAGTGGGGTTTTCTTCCTGTGAGGATCAGAATTTTCCAGGGCTTCCTAAGAGACAGTTATATAGATAAAATACCCCCCATGTCCCTAAAACCTCATTGGATTCTGACCCAAGTTACAAAAATCATCCTGGCATCTAATGGGCATCTTCTGATGAGCAGGTAAGCTCTACCACCATTAATCTTCCTGGGTCCTCCCCACCCTGGAAGGGCTGTCTCTGTCCACATCTATATAAATGAATGAGGACATTGGTCTGAAAAGGAGGCAACTTGCCCAGAGTGGTCATACTGTCTCACCAATACCCATTGAAACATCACCTTGTTCTGTCCTCTGATCAGTTCCTGAGTCTTAACACTCCTTTCAGGAGCTGCTGCCTAGAGGGTGGGGACCCTGCACAGGGCTGGACACATCTGGTTGGCCCTCAGTTGGTCTGGTTGGATTGAGGTGACTGAACTAGGTGATGTTTCTAAGTCCTAAACCCCCAGCGGACATCCTCTTTGTTCATTCCACAAGTTTATTGTGCACCTACTATGTGCCAGATACTATTTTAGGCCTTAGGGTTAAAACCATGAATAAAACAAAAACCCTTGTCCTTACATCCTAGTAGGGGAGAAGGTAAATGAGTGAAATATATGATAAAGCAGGGAAAAGGGGTAGGAAGTATCGGGGAGAGTTATAATTGTAGACTAGGGAGAGTCTCACTAATGAGGCGGTATCTGCAAAGATCTGCAGGAGTTCGGGCAGGAGCCGCTCATCCTTCTGCCTTTGGGCACGGCTGCCACCTGTCTCCAAGGGCCTTTGTCTGCCCTCATGTGAGTCACCTACCTGGTCCAGAATAGAGGTGTGAAGTCACTGACACATTCATCAGACTCTGTGTCCCCACCACGCCATCCAGACTCCATAATAAACTCATTCTTACTGAAGTATTCACAGCTACCCATGAAGAACCTCTGGGTGGGAGGAACCAAGTTCTGAAAAGACCCATGGTGGAATGCCTTGTCTCAGGAAGGAGCCCGTGGGATGGAACCACCTCCTCCCTGCCTCTCTCCCCCACAGAAATTGAGTCTCACATTATAAAGCAAGAAGATATACTTAATGGCAAAGAGAATGAGATTAAGGAATTGCAGCAAGTTATCAGCCAACAGAAACAGACTTTCAGGTGAGGGGTCATGGACAGGCTGGGGGTTGTTGATGCCTATGGGAGTCAGACCGCTGGCCCCTGCTGCGGGCTGTCCCCGGCCGACGCCCAGCCGGCTCCTTGCAGGAATCACATGTCTGACTTCCGGATCCAGAAGCAACAGGAGAGCTACATGGCCCAGGTGCTAGACCAGAAGCATAAGAGAGCCGCAGGGACTCGTCAGGCCCGGAGCCACCAGCATCCCAGGGAAAAATAAAATGGTCGTCAACCTTCTGTTCTCTGTGACCTGAACTCTGCCTTCTCTACTGTGGGGATCCCCAGCCTGACCCTTCCTATCCCTGTGGGTACCCCCTCAAGCCTCATCGGTGGCCTGGCTCCAGGGAAGGGGCAAGATAAGAGGCAGAAGGCACTCCTTCCTTCCTCCCTGCCTGCCTCCGGGGCCTTCATGACCCAAGTGAGAATCAAGTTATCAGGCCCTCTGTGGGGAGCAGGCCTCGGAGCACCACCTGCCAGGAGGTCCATGGGGTTATGGGGTTGCACCCCAGGGGACGATACTTTGTTGTCTAGTGGGCAGTGTCCTTTCTAACTCGGCATTTAATCCCTGCCTATATAAACAGCCGTGTGTGTGTGTGTGTGTGTGTGTGTGTGTGTGTGTGTGTGTGTGAGAGAGAGAGAGAGAGCGCGCGCGCCCTGAAAGGAAAGAAGCCCTGACCAGAGACCTCAAAGACACTACTGAAGGTTCCAGGACCACAATAAATTTGGGAAACCAATTTCCATGACAAAAGTGTTGTATTGTGAAATACATGTGCACCTTCTTGCACTTCTCCCAAACAGAAGCTCATCAGTCTTCACAAACGCGAGGAGGGAAAAGGATAATAATGCCATGTCTCCTTTTAAGGTGGGGAAATGGGCTGTGACAGGCTTCATCCTCTTAGAAGCCATTCCTTGATGGCAAGGTGATCACAGGGATTCATGCTGGCAGGGGACCCACTAGGGAGGCGGAGTCAGATTTGTCCCACCCAGTCTTTCCCAGGCAGGTGTGAAAGCAAGTGCAGAGGAGGGGCCGTGCCCTTGCTCCGAGGCCAGGTGGGGCCTGAGCCTTGCAGGACCTGGAGGTCAAAAGTTTAAGGGCAAATGGTGCCCATTGTCATTGCCCCAGAACACTTAGAGATGGTGGCTGCTTCCCAACCAGTGCCTGTCCCCAGGGCTAGTGCTGAGGTGGTAGGGGCTGAATGAGGCCTTGGGAGGGCCTGGGGGAGCAGAGAGCTATTCCTGCCTCTGGGGCTTTAGAGAGGGGACTGCGGCAAGCCAAAATGTTCCTGAGAGAGCCCACATCAGCATCCAGGACTTGTTCTGGTTCAAGGCAGCCTGTAAAAGAGCTGTCCACACCAGCTCCTTCCAGTAAGTTCCCTCAAAAGGCGATGGGCCTGGCCAGGGACAGCAACTCCCTGAGGCCCCGAGACAGCTTTTGGAGTGGGGGGCCTCCTCCAAGCAATGCTCCTCTATCAAAGGTTGCAGAGTGACCAGTCAAGGAAAGCGGGTTCCCACTGAGGAGCTCCACCTGGGATGGGATAACAGAACCAGGGAGCAGGGGTGCCCTGCTGCAATGGGAAGGCACTGAGGGCCGAGGGGGAGAGGAAATGGCTGGAAGGATCTGAGTTGCCTGGCCTGAAGGTTTGGTCCCCTGGCTCTCACACTGATCCATTTGCCACAGTGCTTGACCTCGGACAGGTTTCCCATCAGCCTCGGTTTCCGCCCCTCACCTTCCTGTCAGCCAAAGCCTGGAGTGCCACCCCAGCGCTCCAAGCCGCGCCCGAGAAGGGCTTGGGAGAGTAAGGCCCAGGCTCCCGGTCTCTCCTGCTGGCGATACCGCTGGGTCGAGAGCGGGTGCGGCCGCTTTAAGGCGCGGTGACCCCCTGGCATCCGCGGGCGGGGCGGGGACAGTGCGGGCGTCCAGCGGAGGCGAATGCGAGGGAGGTAGTGAGCGGTGTCCGGCCCCACCATGCTGATCGCGCTCGCCCCGCCAGCCCTGCCCGGGCTCACAGGTCAACTACCCTCGGCCCCCGCGCGCCGCCAGGACTCCTCCAGTTCGTCAGGCTCCTACCACACGGCTCCAGGTTCTCCAGAGCCCCGGGACATTGGGCCGGACGCAGAGGGCCGGGCAAATTGGCCCCGGCTGGCCCCTGTGCTGGGGGCGGGTGCGCAGCCTCGCCTGTCCGTCAGCGCCCAGAATAGCCTCCAGCAGCTCCGGCCCGGCTCGGATTTCCCGCGAGGCCCGGGCTCAGGCCCGCGGCCACCCCAGCCCCAGCTGCGCATGCTGCCGTCGGGGGAAATGGAAGTCATCTTCGGCCCCGGGGCCCTGTTCAGCCCCTCTGACTCGGCGGATAGCGAGGTGCAACAGATCACGGCGCGGACTGTCCACAGCCTCTCTCCACCAGGGCCCCCGTCGCCGGCCCCCGCCGCACCGCAGCCCCAGCCCCCCGACGGTGGTTCCCGCTGGGCCACCTACCTGGAGCTGCGGCCCCGTGGGCTGAGTCCTTCCACCCCAGCGCAGTTCGAATGTGTGGAGGTGGCGCTGGAGGAGCATGCGGCGCCCTCCCGGCCCCGGACGGTGCCCAAGCGTCAGATCGAGTTGCGTCCCCGGCCTCGGAGTCCCCCGCGGGAGGCCGGCGCACCGCGCCCCCGACTGCTCCTGCGCACCGGCTCCCTGGATGAGTCCCTGGGCCGTCTGCAGGCCGCCGCGGGCATCGTGCAGGCGGCGCTAGCCAGAAAACTGAACCCCGCGGCTCTTGCCCCAAGCAGCGCCACCTTCGGGCCCACAGATCGAGCAGAGCCCGAGGCTCAGAAAACGGCCAGCAGTACCCGAATGGTCCAGGAGGATGGCAGGTCTCGGCCACCCCGTGTGCAATATAATTCAGCCCCTGCCAGGGCCCCACGGCCGTGGCCCAGCCTCCGCGAACGCGCGATTCGGCGCGACAAGCCCGCGCCCGGGACCGAGCCACTGGGGCCGGTTAGTTCCAGCATCTTCCTGCAGTCAATGGAGAAGACCCAAGAGACGCAGAACCAAGAACCCAAGACTAGGTTCCCTGGAGAGACTCCGGATCGAACCGTTCTGAAGCCACAGAGCCCTTCTTTCGAATCCAGCGACACCTGGGAAGTTCCGAGTAAGGCTGTGAGGCCCAGGAGCCCGTCCTCGCTGCGGCAGCCTCTAAATGGAGCCGTGCGGAGTTCTCACTGCCTGGCCCCACAGAACCTGTCCCCGTGGGATCGGGCTATTCGGAGGGTGAGTAGTCCGTCCTTCCCTGAGGCATACGCCGCACGGGAAAATCAGGATCCCACCGTCGAGGAAACTGTCAGCAGAAGAAGCTCTTCCCCTCCGACCCTTCCCCAGTGGAATCCGGGTGTCAACAGGGCAAGAAGCCCATCCCCTGAGCCTCCTTCACTGTGGGAGGTTCCACATCCCGTAATCGGAGCTACGGTAAAAGGGAGTAGGAGCCCATCCCCGCCGGCCTTGTCCTCAAGGGAGGCTCCAGATCGCCCTGTACAGACCTGGAGCCCATCGCCCCAAGAGACATGGGATCCCACAGTCCAGGGTTCATCCGTAGCCTCTACGCGGGAAGCCGTGAATGGCGTAGTCCAGGGGGAGCTGGCGCCGCCTACGCCATCCTCACCTAGGACTCCAGAGCTAACAGAGGCTGAGAGTCCCTCCACGCGGGAGATGCCGGATCTCGCCTCCCGAGGCAGTCAGCCGTCGCCAGAGGTGGCTGCACCTGGCCTGCCCGTCAGTCGCCTCGTGGGCACCGTGGATTCGGATGTGCGCCCGGAAGCCGTGGGCCCTGGAGAAGCGGCCCTGGAACGTCCGCGAGTGGCTATTCCGCGACCCCGCGACGTGCGCAAGATGGTGAAGACCACATACGCGCCGAGTTTTCCGGCGGGAATCCCAGGCTCAGGGCTGCCTGCCCCTCCTGCGGATTCCCGTCCGGAGGAGGACGGTGCATCCAAGAAGCAAGAGCTCCAGATGCCGGGGACCCCCGCCCCGGCTCACTACACTTCCGTTTATCTCAAGGACTTTCTGCCAGTCGTCTCGCACCCCTACGAGTCCCCAGAGCTCTCCTCCAACACAGCTCCCAGGGACGCTTCGCAGCCCAACGGGGCCCTGCGGCGGAGGGCAGAGAACAGCACAGCGAAACCCTTTGCGCGCACTGAGATCCGCCTGCCTGGTGCCCTGGCATTGGGCCGACGACCAGAGGAAACCCGGGGAGTCCTAGTGCGCGGTCCTGCAGGGGAGAACCCGGTTACGGAGGCCCAGCGCCTTGTCCCCGATGGTGAGGGTACGACCAGCCCTCTAGGTGGAGCTCGCACCTTACCCCAGCAGTCGCCCACAGGGCCAGCAGGGGTCCAACCGTCTGGGCCACCCCGCCCCAATTCCCCTCAGATGCAACCTAGCTCGAGCCCTGGGAGAGCACTCAAATTGGAGACGCCCCCTTCGGCCCCAGAGCCTGCGACTGCGACCCAGGCACCTCTCCTGCTGGAGCCCCAGGCACCTCTCCTGCTGGAGCCCCAGGCATCGGCGGGCACGACGGCCCGGCCCCAGACCCGCGCAGCCTCTGCGCCTCCGATGGACCGGTCCCCAGAAGGCCCCTCCCAAGGGTCACGCAGGCCACCTGGGGCTGCGCGCACAGGGAAGGTCCTGGTGGATCCGGAGAGTGGCCGCTACTACTTTGTGGAGGCGCCACGGCAGCCTCGGCTACGGCTGCTCTTTGACCCAGAGAGCGGGCAATACGTGGAGGTGCTTCTGCCGCCCTCGCCCCCGGGGCCACCCAGGCGCATCTACACCCCTCTGGCCCTAAACCCCAGCCTCTACCCGCCCGCCTATGGGCCTCTCCCTGGCCTCTCACTGCCGCCGTCTCCGGGCCCACCACCCTTCAGCGGCACCCAGTTACCCTGGGCCTCGGACGCGGGGTCCCTGGACGGGATGTACTATCTGCCCGTGAGTGGGACCCCCAGCCCCGCACCCCCTCTGTTTCTCTGTGCTCCTCCTACCAGCTTGGGTCCGGTTCCTGCCCAGCCTGGCAAGGGCTCCTTGTTCCCTGTGTGAGGCCCCAGGGCCTGATCCCCATGGTGTTGAGGCCTGTTGATGGCCTTGAAAGGTTAAGGCATCCAGTCCCCTGCCCTTCTTCTGTCACCTTTTTCACCAATCTTATCTAGTCCTCAGACCAGAAGTTACCTTCAGAGAATGTAACTGAGCCCCCGGGGCTGACGGCGCTGGAGCTCAGGAAGTGACTGCCTTCCTTCCACAACAGCATTGTATACCCCTTTCCCAAGCGTTCCCAGAGTGTGGTGTGGTGTGTGTGTGTGTGTGCGTGTGTGCGCGTAAAACAGAGGAGGAGTCTCAGGAATTGTCCCCAGGAGCCAACCTGAGGGGTGCTGGGGTTCTCTAGGAGCAGCAGGAATCGGGAGCAGCAGGGGACAGTAGTTGTGTGGCCCTCCGGGAAGGAGGGCCCCGCTGAAGTGGAGCAGGCTAGTGAGCACCAGTGGGTGGAGGGAGAAGGACTCTGGCACTCAGTCTGTTATTCTTTGAAAAAGAATCCAAGCCTTCACCTGGGAGGCTGTGGGGGAGTGCGGCTGGTGCAGCCGGCCAGGCTGTGTCTGAGGAAGGGAGCTGCGGGCACGGCAGGTGGAGGCGGAGCAGGGAAGTAATATGGGAGGTGCTATGGGGTACTTGGAGGCATGTGGAACAGTAGCTGCAGTCCTAGCTGGGAGCCCCACCCTTAATTCTCCCCTCAACCCCAGCCTCTGACTTGGCTTCTCTAAGCCCTCAGAGCTGAGCTGGTTCATCCTGGGGCCAGGAATGGGGGCTTCAGCCATTCCCACCCTGGGTAGGGAGCAGATGAAGTGAGCCATCAGGAAGGACTTACAAGCAGGAAAATGGCTGAGCTAACGTTCCAGAGGAGCCCCTTTACCCTGCTGGGTGGAGCAGAGGGTGGGATAGGGCTGGCAGTAAAAGGGAGCCTTGCGTGGGGCTGGCCAGAGAGACTTAGAGCCCTCAGCTGGTTTTACTCCCCCTGTAACAGATGTGACAACCATGCTGAGGGGCGCTGGTTCTGCAGGCTGGTCACAGCAGAGTAAGGAACAGGACCCAGAGCATGTGTTCCAAATGCCCTGAGATTCCAGGAGCCTCTGAGGAGGGTTCGGGGAAGGTGCGTGGAGTAAGTGGAAGGTGCTCTGTGTGGGGGTCTGTGTGTAGTTCTGAGCTTGAAGCACCTGGGCCTTGCTGGACAGGTACGTGAGGTGATGAGGTTGGGGAAGAAGAGTGCCCCTTAGAAGCAGTGTTGGGCTGGAGACGGATGCCTTCATTCAGTTTCATGCGCCCGGGGGACCAGCGGCCCTTGGAGCCCCTGCCCCCCTGCCCTGAACTGGAAGCTGACTGGGAGGACTGTGAGCCAGAAAAAGCTGGACATCTTTTCACGGCCGGAGATGCTGGTTCCATTACATGGAGGACCTTGGGCCTGTCACCTCATCCTGGTGAGCAATAAATCTCTGACCCAATGAGCTATAACGGCTGGAACAACTGGTGTAAGGTGTCTGATTTCCTGTCGTGGCCCTTTAACCCCCCCTCACAATGTCCTTTCATGCCTGGGTATAGCCTGGGTGGAGGGGACCCTAGGGCTCCGGGAAGGAGAGCATGTGTGGCTTTCATACACTATGGTGTCCCCACCTCAGTGAATTTGCCTCCCAGGGAGGGACCCTGAGGCTGGCAACCATGCCTGTGGCATCATTCCTCCTGGTGGCTGAGTGGCCAGGGGGCTTTGGGGTCAGTCATGTCCGGGTTCCAGTTTCAGCATGGGCCCTTTAGATGTGTGGCCTTGGATTTGTCACTTCTCTCTGAGCCTTCATGTCCTTGTGGTAGAATAAAGATGACGGTAACTAACCACCTCATCCCCCAAGGTGCTCAGCACAGTGTCTGCCACATGGCCAGATCCCAGGACTTGGGAAGTACCAGTCCCCATGTGTCCTTGCCCAGGCCCAGCCACTCTCGGTGACTCATGTTCCCTACCCATGAAATGGAGCTAAGTTGGCTGGAGCTGGGGTCCCACCAGAGGAGGTGCGCATGTGCGTCTCCTGGGGGAAGGAAGAAAATGGGAGGGGCGAGGTGTCAGTTCCCCATTGGTCTGGGTCAGGCGCTCCGGGGAGGCCCCCATGGCACACATGCGTACATCTGCATCCTGACCACAGCCCATGCTCACTGAGCCAGCGCCACGAACCATGAGGCTGTCACTGCCACTGCTCCTGCTGCTACTGGGGGCCTGGGCTATCCCAGGGGGCCTTGGGGACAGAGCTTCAGTCGCAGCCACTGCCCCACGGCTGGATGATGAGGAGAAGTACTCCGCTCACATGCCTGCTCACCTTCGCTGTGATGCCTGCAGGGCGGTGGCCTACCAGGTGAGTCCCTGCCCCTAGCAGTTCCCCTGCCCAGGCCTCCTCAAGCCAGACCCCGCCATCTACCTCAGATTCCACCACTGGCCTTTGATGCCCAAGCCCCACGCCCAGCCATCCAACTAGACTCAGCCTTCCATGAGATTGCCATCTGCACCTCACCTGAACCTCCATGCCTCAGTTTACTCATCTGTCTGCCCAGAGGAAACCACACAATCTGGGACACCTCACAGTATCTCGAGACCCCAGGGAGTCACCACCTTGTGGTCTCAGACTCCTCCACTTCCAGACCCATTCTCAGGTCTGGACTCCTTCCTGAAATATGACTGAGGAGCATGGGTTTACGTGTGCATGTGCCCTGAGTGCATGAATATAAGACTGTGTGTGTGTGTGTGTGTGTCTGTCTGTCTGTCTGTCTGTCTGAGTTCACACATAAACCTGTCAAGTCTACTTGAGTACATCTGGGGGAGGGAGGAAGGGACCTATGAGTACACGTGTCACTAAAGACTGGGCTGTGTTGTTTTTTTTTTTACTTTCTTTTTCTTGTGGTTTAAAATAGCATGTGCTGATGGGCAGGTGTGCCCTTGGGGAGAGACCCCAGTGCCCTGGCCTAACCTTCCACCTCAGCGTTTCCCACCCACCCATTCACCCCGTCCTAGGAAAGTGGATCCTGCCTCAGCTGGTCCAGTCCCAGCTTTCGGGACCCGGGGAGGGGGGACCCTGAGGCCTGCCTCACAGGTGCTTCCTGCTCTAGTCTCCCCTGCCACCTCATTCTCCCTCAGAGACCCAGGCTTCTGTCCTCTCCCCAGCACTGGGCAGTCCCTAAGCCCTGACTCTCAGCTCCTCCTTGTTCCAGATGTGGCAATATCTGGCAAAGGCAGAGGCCAAGCTCCACAGCTCCGGGGGGCATTGGGAGCTGAGCGAGTCGGTTTATACAGATGTCCTGGACAAGAGCTGCTCCCAGAGCTGGCAGGAGTGAGTTGAAAATTTGGTCCCTTCCTTCCTCTAGGGGCAGAGCTTGGTGGGTGGAGGTCCCCGTTCTTCCACTCACACCACACACACCCCACTAGGGCTCTGGTCAAGAAAGGGGGTCTGAGTTCTGGAGCTGGGGGGAAGTAGAAGGGTAGGTGGCCCAGGCATAAGATCATGGGCCCAGGAGCTTCCCCTTCTGGTCCTCAGTTTTCCATCAGGGAGGATCAGAATCTGGGCACTGAACTCAGCAAAGGCGCAGTGTGCCCAGCTTCACGTGGGGACAGGTCCCCTACCAGCCAGGCCCTCACTAATGCCTTGTCGCTCTCCTCCCCACTGCCTCCAGCTACGGGGTTCGAGAAGTGAACCAGGTGAAACGTCTCACGGGCCCAGGACTTAGCCATGGGCCAGAACCACACATCAGCGTGATGATCACGGGGGGCCCCTGGCCCACCAGGTAGGATGGGAGGGGAGAGGTGGGACGGCCCCCTTGGAACCTCAGTCTGCCCCCTGTGGGCTGGCAGAGTCTGACGTTCCTGTTGGGCTCCCCTAGGCTCTCCAAGACATGTCTGCACTACCTGGGGGAGTTTGGAGAAGACCAGATCTATGAAGCCCACCAACAAGGCCAAGAGGCTCTGAAGGCATTGCTGTGTGGAAGCCCCCAGGGCGCCTGCTCAGAAGAGGCGCCAATCACACGGGCAGAGCTCTAGTCCAGCTCCTTCCCCTTCGGGGTCAGCCCCTGAAGACAGCAGAGGCTTCTCCTGGATCTGCCCTCTCCTTTCTGCGGGCTGCTGAGGGCAGGGAGGCCTTGCCCTTCTGGGCTGCCACTCTCCCTCTTCCTCCAGCTTTGGGGCACTGGCGCCTGGGTGGTGGGCCAAGGCCTTCCCCTGTGGACTCAAATAAAACCCAGTGACCTTGATTCTTTCTCTCTGCAAAATGTGCTTGAGGGGCTAGGAGGACGGATGTTGGTGTTTCTGCTGATGTCCCTCCCAGAGAGGGCTAAATAGAGGTCCCCACAATTTTCCAGAGGTAAGTGGGGTCTGTCACGGTTGGAAATGTCAGTGAGCAGTCAAAGGCATATGGATCCAGTTTTGTGAGTGGTGAAACCCCAGATCCAGCATGAGAAAGAAAAAAACCATGGAAAACTCCCTAAGCAGGTCACCTTGTGGACACACCTACTGCAACCACTGCGTGCTATCAGCGCCCCTCCCAGAGCAGTATTCTCACTGGGTCTACACCCAGCTGCTCCTCACTCTCTGACCCCAGCTGGCATGGCTGGGCCCTAGGTGCCTGCCTAGGAGAGGGTGGGGCAGGGTTCCTGGAAGGGGCTGGATTCAGCATCTTGGCTCTAAGTCCTGCTCTTCCCAGTAGTTCTGTCCTGGGGCTCTTCCCTTAGCGCACAGAGTAAAGGGCCCTGCCTGGGGCCTACCTGGGTCTGGGGACCTGGGGTCAGTTGATGTTACAACTTGCAGTTGCCTTAGCTTGTATCTCTCTGTGGTCCTCCAAAGCCCTGGGAGGTGGGCAGGATAGACACTCTAATCCCCAGCTGACAGGTGCAGAAACCAAGGCTTAGACAACAAAAGAGGCTCAGGACAAGTCCCAGGCAGAGTAGTGGTAGGGCTGGGAGGGAATTCAGATTTGGGGGGGTGGGGAGAGGTCATTGCTGGAGAATTGGGGTACACCAAGCATGCCCTGACTCTCCCGCTTCCCTGAGCTACACTGCAGCCCAGCCGCCTACAATCTATCACCTGTTCCTGGCCTGCCTGAACCACGACATCTCTGAACCTCCCCCAGAAAAGAACCCCTAGGCACCAGGATAGGAGCCAGAGCCCAAAGAACCGCTGAGTCATATTAGGTGTAGAGTTGCGAGCCTGTGATGTGGCCCTGTGTTTATGTGGGGTCTGCATCTGAGTCTAGGTGTTGTGAGTTCTTTGTGTGACTACGTCTGAGATCCTGTACAATTTCAAGGCTTCGTCTCTGTGTGGCTGAGTGTGTAGGAGGTAGGGAGAGGTAGTACTCCGCAACCCCCTGGGGAGTACTGGGGAGGAGAGGGTGGAAAGGAAAGTGCTGAGCAGAAGCTCTGAAGTTTCAAACTGGTCAGACGACTTTGGGAACCTGGGAGCAGAAGCCGAGAAGGGAGAGGAGAGGCCAGGTGGACAGAAGAACAGCCTGGAAGTTGCACAGGTGGAGGACTGATTCAGGGCTGCGACATGAAACTGCTGCCCAGCTGGAGAGCGGTGCTGCCTGTGAGCCCTCGGGGCCGGGCTTGGCCATGGGCACAGCAACCCAGAAGTAGGTGGATCCGAGGGGGCTGGGGCAGGGGCAGCACTGTGGGGAGCAGAACCTCGGGCCTAGACCCCACCAGCTGAGGGGCCTCCGACCCTCCGACCCTCCCAGCCCCTCTCAGCTAGCTCCAGGCCCCATCACCAGGCTGGGCTGGACCTGCCAGGAAGGAAAGAGAGGCTGGGCCTAGGGGTGGCTTTGGCAGCTGTGCGACACGCATTCACAGAGCCTAGCGCTTAGAAAGGCCCCAGACTGTGCTCTGCTGTTGCTGTCTTAAAATTCATAATACTTTTGGAATTGCATTTTCATTTTTCACTGGATCCTGACGTGGGGGACAGGCAAGGCAGGGCCAGGCTTGGCAGCTCCGCCTGGTGCATGCCGCCGGGACCCTGAGGGGTGAGCAGCAGTGTGGGGGGGCAGCACCTTATCACATTCAATGCAGCATAAATGCAGGAGCTCAGGCCAACCTGAATTTTAGGGATGGTTTTCTGAAATCTTGCTACCTGTACGGTCTCAGATCACATCTCCTAATCTGTTTCCTCAGCTATAAAAGAGGTTAGCATTACCCAACACCTGGGATTAAACACAATACATAGATGTTGCCTGGCACACAGTCATTCCTCAATAATGAGAGTGGTTATGATGATGATAATGATTAACTTGCTATTAATATTCAGATGGTAATATAATAATGCCCATTTCTACTCCGTTTCCTGTCACTTCAGCCAGAGCTTGGTAAACTTCCAAGACTGTCCACGCCTTACCCCCCACTCTGGCCCCCTCTTGGAAAACAAGAGCAGGTCTCATGTCCAGGCTTGAGTGTGGGTGGTGAATGTAGCAGAGGCCTGGGCAGCCTTAGTCACTCCCTATGACCAGAGTTAATACATTACCTCCACGTGGGTCCTGCTTTCGCAATCTTGATCAGAGCTGGGGATCTGGTTACAGATTTACTCTGAACAATGTCTGATGTGTGGAGTAAAGTCCTCCTTGGCCTTTCTACAGCCATCCCCTTTTCTCCTCAGGAACTGCTCACACTTGTGTCCCAAAGATGAGGGTCCCGGAGGAACCCGAGGGCCAGACACAGGTGCTGGGAGCTGGGCGGGAGCTGGGTAGGGGCAGGGTGGGGTGGGAGTTGGAGGGACTCCATAGGCCTTCACCCTGGGAGGGCAGAGACAAAGGCCCTGATAAATTTTATCGAATGACTGCCCCCGCCTCGGCCTGGCGACTGGGGGATGGGGTGAGGCTGGCAGCGGGAGTGAGGGAGACTTCAGCTTGAGGGCCAGTAGGGGCACAGCCTACCCCCTCAGCAGTGGCATCCCAAGGACCTCCAAAGGGCAGAGGTGGGACCAGACTGGGCCCAAAAGGGCCTGCCGACAGTCTCCAGCCCTCTCGGCCGCCTTTCCCGATGCCCCCCAGGACTTCTGGCTCAGGGGCCCGTCCCTGTGCTGGAATGCCTGGGTCCTGCGGGCTCCAGGAGCCAGCACAGTGGACTCGCCCTGCGCAAAGCCATGGGAGGTGGGTGCCAGGTATAGTCAGGCCCAGGGACAACTGGGTGCGTGAACCAGGATGGAGGTGAGGACCCCAGGCTCAGACCCCATTCTGAGGAGCTGACAGGCCACTCAGGCACCTGGCTGATTCTGGGGCAGAATCGACTTCACCAGTGTCCACCTCTCCACCCTGAGTGACTGCTCTCTGCTGTCCACAGCATGAGGACCTGGGCCTAGCAGGGACTTCCACGAGGGACTCCCCAGTGACCCTGCCCACAGAACCCAAGTTCGACATGTTGTACAAGATTGAGGATGTGCCGCCCTGGTACCTGTGCATCCTGCTGGGCTTCCAGGTGGGCTTCCCCCAGCGGGTCTTCTCACTGCACGCTCCCCAGAAGCCCAGGCCCTTCCCTGGCCACCAGAGTTATCTTGGGTAACAGGAAGAGAAACCTAAGGTCAGCAACAGAGACTATCACCAAGCTGGGGTGGGGAAGAGGCTTATGGTGCCCAAGAGAGGATTAACCTGCCAGGCGGGGTGCCAGCTCCACAGAACATGCAGGAATAACTTGAGGGCAGATCAGGAATTTCCAGAGAGGGAAGCAGTAGCCCCCTGGGAACCCCCTGCGGGAGTGTCCATGGGCGGGCACGTTGCCTAGGACAGCGTGGCTTCAGGCCCGCTGAGGCAGGCTTGGGGACTGTTCGGGGGCCCTGTTTCCCTCTGAGCTCTGTGGGCCTCATGCACGCCCCCTCACTCCCTAGCATTACCTGACGTGCTTCAGCGGCACCATCGCTGTGCCCTTCCTCCTGGCTGAGGCGCTGTGTGTGGGCCGTGACCAGCATGTGGTCAGCCAGCTCATTGGTACCATCTTCACCTGCGTGGGCATCACCACCCTCATCCAGACCATACTGGGCATTCGGTGAGCTGCCCACCCCCCACTTCCACACACACACACACACACACACACACACACACACACCACGAGTAGGTGGTCTCTCTCAGGGGACTCATGGGACAAAAAAAGTTGGATCTGCCCCCATCAGCTGCTTCTTCTCCCAGGCACAGCCTTGGAGCCAGGCAGCTGGGATCCTACCCTGGCACCTGGCACTCTTCAAAGACTAGCAATCTGTCTTTTTGAGGGAATGTGCCTTAGCTGGGCAAGGATCAGTCCTGGTGCCTGCTCACCAAGCTGATTAAGCCCTGCTCATTAAGTGCCTGTGCAGACCTCTTCAATAGTTTGCCTTCCGGGGGGGCCCCGCCTCCCCCCTACCCCGCCGTGCGCAACCTGAAGCCCAGGTGGCCAAAGCATGGCTGTTTGCATGGTGAGAGGAGGGGGGAAGCTTGTGAGTGGAGCTTGGATGCAAGAACGAAGCTGTCGCTTCTCTGCATGCGCCCCTCACAGTGCAGGAACCGGTGCTGAGAAGGAAAGGGGACAGTTGTGGACCAGGGGCTCCATTTGTTTTCTTCCTCGGTTTCCCAAAATGTTATAGAGTCCTGCCTGGGGCCTTGATCACTTCCCTCTGCTATGCCCCTGCCCTGTCCCTCTGTCTCTGTCCCTTTGTGTGATTCTTTCTGTCCCCCCCTCTCTATTGTGTCCTTCTCTCTCCGCATCCCCTGTCTGTATGTCCCTGCCCCCAACCTGCCCCACCTTTGCTGTTCTGTGCTTCTCCTTCCAGGCTGCCTCTGTTCCAAGCCAGTGCCTTTGCATTTCTGATCCCAGCCAAAGCCATCCTGAACCTGGAGAGATGGAAATGCCCCCCAGAAGGTGAGCACATTTCTGGGGTCTGTGCTGGAGAGTGGGGGGACTAGAAGCCTGGAGGCCCAGGTGACTGTCCCAAGTCCAGACATCAGGATGCATTCATGGCAGCATCTTCTCTCCCTGTGTCTCTCTTCCCTGTTCACATGTGTGTGTCCCTATCTCTGCCCCCAGAGGAGATCTATGGTAACTGGAGCCTGCCCCTGAACACCTCTCATATCTGGCACCCACGGATACGAGAGGTGGGTTCCCATTGTGGAGTAGAAGGGACCTGGACCTGAGGAGGGGGCTAGATGGGAATGAGGGCTACTGCTGAATTAGGAGATGAAAGGAGGTAGCCCACAGGTTTTTCTTCTTCTTCTTCTTCTTCTTTTTTTTTAATTTAGAGGTCATGGTTTTTACATAGTAACTTCTAGCTGATCTTTGCTCTTACAGGTTCAGGGTGCAATCATGGTGTCCAGCATGGTGGAAGTGGTGATCGGGCTGACAGGGCTGCCTGGAGCCCTGCTCAGCTACATTGGGCCTCTCACGGTCACCCCCACCGTCTCCCTTATTGGTCTCTCTGTCTTCCAAGCCGCTGGTGACCGAGCTGGTTCCCACTGGGGCATCTCAGCTTGGTGAGCGGACACCAGGACCGATCCTTGCCCAGCCCCAGCCCCGTCACCCCCTCCATTTTCTTCCCCCTTAGTCCTGTCTCCTGTCCCCAGCCTGGCCGATAAGCCATCTCTTCCTTGTGCCTCTGCCCCCAGCTCCATTCTCCTGATCGTCCTCTTCTCCCAGTACCTGCGCAACCTCACCTTCCTGCTGCCTGTCTACCGCTGGGGCAAGGGCCTCACTCTCTTCCGCATCCAGATCTTCAAGATGTTTCCTGTGAGGAATTGACAGGCAGCTGGGGCTGGGACTAGGGCAGGGGCTGGACTTGTGTCCAAGGCCAAATTAGGGAACAAGGGCCAGAATAGCAGGGGAACTAGAGCTAGAACAGAGCTTAGGTCCTGGACAGGGACTGGAGCAGGCATTGGGGGCTGGGATCTAGGGCTGGGGCAAAGGCTGGGGTTGGAGCTAGGGTAGGACTAAGGTGGAGGCTGGTTAGCTTCGAACAAGACCTCTAGGGGCCTCAGTGTACGCCTCACCCTTCCCCACTTCAGATTGTGCTGGCCATTATGACCGTGTGGCTGCTCTGCTACATCCTGACGTTGACAGATGTGCTGCCGGCAGACCCTACAGCCTATGGCTTCCAGGCACGGACAGACGCCCGGGGGAACATCATGGCTATTGCGCCCTGGATCCGAATCCCCTACCCCTGTGAGCAACCCCACCTAGGCCCCTCTGCCTCCAAGTCAGACTATCTATAAGGCCCCTGCTGATCCCAATCCAGTTGATGATAAAACTAGCACTCGTTTTATCATCAACCAGACAGAGTGCTGTTTAACTCAGACAAAGCCTCACTGTGCAGAGCTTTGTGACTCTGAGTGATCCCACATAAGCTCCCACAACTGTACAGCTTCCACCTCAGCTTGTGATCCCTTTACCCTCACCACCCCCCAAACTACCTAGTCTACCTCTTAACCCACCCAGGGATACTGCATCCATCCCCTGTCTCCCCTCAACTCAGGTCAGTGGGGCCTGCCTACAGTGACTGCGGCCGCTGTCCTGGGAATGTTCAGTGCCACGCTGGCGGGTATCATCGAGTCCATTGGAGATTACTATGCTTGTGCCCGCCTGGCTGGCGCACCACCCCCTCCAGTACATGCTATCAATAGGTATGCCCATCCGCTCTCCCCAGTATCTGATCCCCTCTGAGGTCACTCAGAAAGCAAATGTAGGAACAGGGTCGAGTCCCAAAGGTGTAGACTTGGGTAAGTCACTGATACTCTCCAGACCTCGTCCTCCTTACTTATGGGGATGGATGTTCTCATCTCTTACCTGGAGTATTGTGAGTAGGCGAGGAGATAATGAAGTCCAAGGGACACTGCAGTCATTGACAACTATCCATGTGCCTGCCCTCTATGCAAGTTCTTTTATGCAATCTACCAAATGACTCTGTGAGACAGATACCCTTATTATCCCCATTTTACAGGTGGGGGAATTGAAACCTAGAATCACCTAAGGGAGAAGGCCCCAGAGTACTGGGACTAGTGCTCAGACCTGGGCTCCTGGCTCCCACACCTACCTTTGGCCTGTAGTGGAAAGTCTACTACAGATACTTGCAGCTTTCCCAGCAGGCGAGCATCCCAGCCAGGGTAATGGGGCAGAGCCTGGACCAAATCCCCCTACACTCTGTTTCCTTACAGGGGCATCTTCACTGAAGGTATCTGCTGCATTATCGCAGGGCTGTTCGGCACAGGCAACGGATCCACCTCGTCCAGCCCCAACATTGGCGTCCTGGGGATTACCAAGGTGCCTCCCTGGACAAGAGCAGCCCAGGGCCCCACCCCGACTCCATTTGCCACAGGCCTCTCCCCAAGCCAGTCCCCACCTTGGCCTAGCCCCACGCAGTCTTTGAAAGGTCCTGAACTACATCAAGCCCTGGCCCATGAGTGCCAACCTCTTCTCACAGGCCCCGCCCACCCTGCTCAGCCCCAGAACTCACTCCCTGGGTCCTATAGCCCTGCCTCTTGGGTATACAGCCCTGCCCTCTGACTCCCTGGCAGGTGGGCAGCCGGCGCGTGGTGCAGTATGGTGCAGGCATCATGCTGGTCCTGGGCACCATTGGCAAATTCACGGCCCTCTTCGCTTCGCTCCCTGACCCCATCCTGGGTGGTATGTTCTGCACCCTCTTCGGTGAGTGCTGCGCATGCGTAGATCCCGGGTGGCAGCGCGCTGGAGGAGTGGTGGAGTGGTGGAGTGCACCCAGGTTCATACAGCGCCTCCAGAGATTCTCCTGCACCCTCAGGCATGATTACCGCTGTGGGGCTGTCAAACCTGCAGTTTGTGGACATGAACTCCTCCCGCAACCTCTTTGTGCTTGGATTTTCCATGTTCTTCGGTCTTACACTGCCAAATTACCTGGAGTCCAACCCTGGCGCCATCAACACAGGTGCCTCTGCCTGGATGTCACTGGGGGAAGGGGAGGTGTGGAGGGCCCGACTCTGAGCACAGCCCTCTCCCTCAAAGGCTCCACGCAGCTAGAGCAACAAATCCTACTGGACTCTGGATGTTAATCAGCAGCTGAGGAGCTAATTAACAGGTGTCCTTTACTAAAACACTTTCTGTGGACAGGTATTGAGCTTTACATGTGCTCATTTAATTTTCACCACAGCTCCATGAGATAGATACTGTTATTATTTCCTCATGTCACAGATGAGGAAAATGAGGCTTAAATGATTTGTCCCAAGACAACTAGTAGCAACTAGCAAAACCGTGATTTGAATCCAAGGGTGGGAGAGGCAGAGGTGCAGACAGGTTTGAAGGTCGGGGTTCGTATGGTTCCAACCCCAGCCTACTCAAGGAAGTCAGCAGGCTGCACAAGTAGACAGAAAGTCCCCGAGGTCTGTTCTCCAGATGGGGCCACGACACACATTAGCCCTTGGCCTATTCCACAGGCATTGTTGAAGTGGACCAGATTCTGACTGTGCTACTGACCACGGAGATGTTTGTTGGTGGGTGCCTTGCTTTCATACTGGACAACACAGTACCAGGTATGGATCAGCCCTGGGAGGAAAACAGAACTAGGCTGGGTTCATTTGCACACCAACAGATGGCCCCCAAGCTGGAGCTGTGACCAGGTGCAATGCGATATAAGTTGTGCAGGCAGGGAGACGCAGGAACAGATGGGCTGAAGTGCCCACTGGCTGGACGGAGAGATCACTGGCCAGAGGCACAGACATGCCTCACAGGTCTTAAAGAGGGCAGGGCTAGGAGAGTAATTCCAGGGCTCTTATCTCTTCATTTCTTGATAGCCACCAGGGTGAGGGTTATCCTTTGGGAGCTTTTGCTTTATTAGGACAGATAGAAATGCAGCACCAGTTTATTCACAAAACCCACTCCAAATATTCCAGCAGCCTGCAATGGTGGCTTGTAGGAAGATCCCTAACTTTTCTCTTTGCTGTTAGGGCTTTTTGCAGGGATTGTGGATACTTAGTGGGGGTTCCAGAAGAACCCTCCTAGACCACATTTATGTGCCCAGCAAATATATAAAAACTAAGTGTCACCAGGTGCCTGAACTAGGAGCAAGCACTGCTAACATTTATCAAACATCATCTCTGGGTCAGGCATGGAGCTAGATGTCTCATCCTCAAAAACTATCCTGTGAAGCAGAAACTATCAAGTGACTTACCAAAGCTCACAACTTTTGCAGATTTCTGATTTTGCAAAGCCCAGACATTTAACCATATGACCTCTGCTGAAGGGTTTCAGGGGGACCCATTAGCCTTTGGTCTATTCCACAGGCATTGCTGAAGTAGAAAAGCTCCGTGGAGACGGGAGTAAGACAGCATCACTCCAGGGAGATTAGAAATGCAAGTAGCAGGATGGCCCTCTCTCTCCTACCACTTGCCAGCTTGAACACGGCTGCAGACCCCACTTGCTTTTTCCTCTCTCTGAAGATAGGGAGTCAGTCTGACTATGTACAGCTGGTGGGTTGGAGTGTGGGCAAGGAAGAGCCAGAGCTCCCTGGCACTTCTAGAGATTTCAGACAGTGTCAAATAAGGAGGGAGCTCTTGGTAGCACCTACCCCCTTAGATCAATGGGTGGTACCTGATCATGGTACCCACTTTCCCCATTTAGAGGAAGCTGAGCTGGGGAGAAAACTGGCAGCCTCAATGCTAGGGAATCTGGGGAGATGGAAGGCATCAGGTGCACAGCTATAAACTGAGGGGCTTCTCTGTGATTTGGGTAACTGGATTAAACTCACCAGATGTTAAGTCTCAGACTGCTTCATGGAGTTCCTCACATTCCCATCTTTCAATTCAACTGCCCATCAACAACCATCCTTGCCAGGGGATCATATATTATGCCACATACTCTTCAGGAGTCCTTCAATATACACTGGTGAGGAAGCTGAAGCTCGGAGTGGTGAAATCACTTGCCTAAGGCCATACAACCTGGATTCCAACCCAGGTCTCGCTAGCTCAGAACTGAAGTCTTTACTAGCTTTCTTTTGTGGGATGGGAACATTTTGCATTTGCTCTTTCTCTTTACCCATCCATAACCCAACCCTAGAGGGACAGACAATTTATTTCACCAAACACTTGAAGACTTTATCAGCTTGGCCTTTGGTTAAACACTAAAGGGGATGTGCCAAAAAAAAAAAAAAAAAAAAAAAAAAAAAAGAGTGTTTAAGTCTCTTTTGAGGACTCCTAGCACAAGACAGGAAGTAAAATCGAGTTTAAAGCAATTTAGAGCAGTAAGGTCAATAGGACTAGCCTGGAGTCATCTGGAAGGTTTCCTGGGAGACTGGATGGGGCATAGAATGGAAGGGACTTGAAGAAGCAGAGAAAGGACGTGGAGGTAAGGAGGGATAAGCAGGCAGGTGAGGGGAACTCGTGTGTGTCTTGGCCCGGTGGTGGTGGTGATCAGGCAACAGTCATGTCACTCCTACAGCTCTTCCCCTTCTACTTTGCTCACCTGTGCAGCCAGGTCCAGTTCAAAGAGCACCCCTCCTCCAAGTAGTCTTCCCTGAAGACCCAGTCCTCCCTCAGTGTCCTCTCCTGATTCTGGGGCACATTCCATTTGCACTACTCATGGGGTTATCAGGCTGGGCTGCCAGTATATGGAAATCTCACTCTTACCAGCAGATTTATACTGTGCCATAGTCTTCATCAATCACCTTGCCCCTGTGGAAACCTCTGCTCATGCACCCCTCTCCCACTTTGTAGGGCAAATTTCTCTAGTTGTTAAAAAAAAAAACAAACCCTACCACCACTGCCAAAGATTTTACTTAGCTTGACTTTGAGGTTGCATTATAGAAACAAGAGTTTATTTTCCAAATACAAAATCGTATCAATACCAATTATAGTGTTTCAATACACACCAACCTGCCCCCACAGCAGAGTCTGGGTACTTTTTGGTCCCAACAGCCCAGCACACATTAGCCCCATATTCAAGATGCAGGATGACAATTACTTAAACTTTCTGCCAGTTTCTTCATAAAATTTTGTACAATAGTGCTTTTACATATCCTTCAGGCATCTTTTGAAGATAATAAAATTAAAGCAGTTAGCACAAAACCTGGCACACTGCAGATACACAATTAACACCAATTATAACCTGTATCCTTTAGGGTTCCCTAGAGCTCTGGCCAAGTGAGGAGCTGCAAAATCATGGATTCAACCCTTTTTAGAACCAGAGATGCTTGAGAATCAAGACACCCAGTTCCAGAAGTTTCAGGACTAGATGGGAAAGGGAGGTGGCTGACAGCGGCTGGCCCTGGTCAGTGACCCCACTGTCCTTTTTCAGGGAGCCCAGAAGAACGAGGTCTGATACAGTGGAAAGCTGGGGCCCATGCCAACAGTGAGATGTCTACCAGTCTCAAGAGCTATGACTTCCCCATTGGAATGAACATGGTAAAAAGGATTGCCTTTCTGAAATACATTCCTATCTGCCCAGTCTTCAAAGGATTTTCAAGGTCAAAAGACCAGCTCCCAGTTCCAGAAAATATTCCAGAAAATAGAGAAACTGAGCCTGTCTGCACCAAAGTTTGAAGAATTACTCTCAGGTAAGGTAGGATGTATTAGTCTATGGCTTTTGTCAGAGGGTTGAAAAAAAAATCATTCTTCTGCTTTAACCAAAGAAAAACCAAACTACTCAGTCTTCATTTTGTGACCTATTTGGGTATCTTCAAGGGGAAGGTAAACTGGGTAAAAAGTCAATATATGGATTTAAAGTGGAATTACTTAACCATTTTATAGTGAGAGCGGAACTTCCCAACTGGTTTCTAAGATGTTACAAGTATGCTGAAATACTGATCCCTTCAGTCTTCTGGGTATCGGGGCAGAAGCTGGGTCAACTGGAGGCCAAGTGACATGAACTCCAGCCACCAGAAGCCAGCCTCATCTCTGAACTCTAGTATGCTAAACAAATACTTTATGACATGGAAAAGGTGAAGATATAATGATATATGGCACAAGAACTGGAAAAATCCTCTCATACACCTTGTTTCAATAATGGTCATAAAATAAAAACAGGATGACTTAGTTACCCTGGGGTGATCATTTGTCCCAAGGACTTCAAAATGAAGTAGTGATGCTCTAAAACTTTCCATCTCTACCTGTAATGCAGATGCCTGGCTCTCTAATTAAACATCAAAGTAGTTTTAATGTGCATGTTCCCTAAGAAAAGTTCCAACACAATGAGAGCTTAGCCTAGATGATTACTTAACAGTATTAACAATAATTTAAATAGAACTTCCACGTGATAGAGACGGTCTTAAGTGCTTCATGTATATTAACTAATCGTAACAATCCTGAGATAAATACTGCTTTTACTACCATTTTAAAGACCCAGAAACTATCACAGAAAGGTTGAGTGAGTTGCCCCTTATCACTGGATTCACCTGAAGTCTGGCTAGTGTTTGCTCCCCACCACCTTTTAAAGATTTAATTTATTTATGTTTAGAGAAAGGGGGAGAGAAAGAGAGGGAAGGGAAAGAGTATCTATTTTAGACAGATACTCTGTGCAAGAGAAAAACATTGATTGGTTTGATCAACTGCCTCTTGCATGCCCCGTGAATGGGGACCCAGCCCGCAACCCAGGCAAATGCCCTGACTGAGAATCAAACTGGTGACATTTCAATTCACAGGCTGGCATTCAATCCACTGAGCCACACCAGCCAGGACTAGTCTTTGCTCTTAATCATTAGGTTACCATGTCTAAGTTTATAATCTCCAAGTATACTGCACTGTGATAATTTGGCAGGATGTAGAAATATGCGTGAGCTAAGAAAGAAAGGATTGGTATGCCTCAGGTATTTGGCAGCCTGCAGTGACCCCTCCAGTACTGAGCTCTTAGAGAACAGAAAGGATTGGTTATATTATTTCTCCAAAAAGAATGAGAACCAACCAGGATCATCTCTGCTTCAGAGTTTCTTTAAAAACCTACCTGATTATTAGTTTGTAACAGTAGCTATTACAAACCACTGGGCACAGATGCTCACATCCAAGGACCCTCAAGGAGAATGTGAGCCAGAGCTGATTGCATGTCGTCTTTTTTTTTTAATTTAAAAAAGTAGTTTTGTTTTTTAGAGAGAAGGGAAGGGGAGAGGGAAACATCAATGTGTGGTTGCCTCTTGTGCGTTCCCTACTGGGGACCAAGCTCGCAACCCAGGCATGCGCCTTGACTGGGAATCGAACTGGCAGCCCTTTGGTTGGCAGGTTGTCACTCAATCCACTGGGTCATACCAGCCAGGAAGATTGCATGGCTTTCTTAATCTTGAGCCCAACAAGCTCAGGAAAAGCACAGATGATATTATTAACAACTGAGTAGGGCCATGAGGAAGAATTGTATGTAAAACCAGGAAATTGCTAGTTGATTGACAGACTATCCTAAATTAAGGTTTGCCATAAGCAGCCCTGGCTGGTGGCTCATGGTTTGACTGCCAGCCTGAGAACCAGGGGGTCGCCAGTTCAATTTCTAGTCAGGGGACATGCCTGGATTGCAGGCAGGGTCCCCAGGGGTGGGGCCATGCCAGAGGCAACCACACATTGACATTTCTCTCCATCTCTTTCTCCCTCCCTTCTCTTCTAAAAATAAATAAATTTTAAAAAACTGCCATAAACATAAATAAGTTTGTGAGGGGAAAAAAGGGAAGGTCTATGTGAATCAAAATAGCAAATCTGTCCAATTAGTCCAGTAATGGTTTGTGAAGGGAAACAGCCAATGAAGGTTATAGCTGAGTCAGCTGAAGTTTCTTAACATGGGTACCCTACAAATGCCCCGACATTGTAGCCTGAGGAGATCAGCATGGACTGCAGAAGCACGGGCTATGGGCTTTATTTTACTCTTTTATTTCAGACAGATACTTACATAGCAAGATACCTTGGCATAATAGGATCTAACAATCTGTTCTCTCAGAAAATCTTGCCAGCAGGGTTGTCCTGAGGGACTGAGTCCACAATTAAATAAGTGTCACCACTGGAAAGTCTGCATTCAATACCAAGAAACACAACCACCAACTTAGTTCTACTATTATTTATTTTTTTAAATATTTTTGAAAAAATATAATTTTTTTACAATATTTTCAACTTAAACACTATTCACACTGAACACGTATGGCAGCTTAACCTACCCAAATATGAAGTTTAAGAAGCCAAAACTGTTCTAGCTTAGTTAAAAGAAAAGTTGTGCTGCAGACTACTGTAGTGATGGTTAACAAAGCAAGGAAAAGCACCACTCAAATCATACGTTACAATTTCTTTGTTCACTTGGATTAAGGGTTGGTTAAATGTCAGACTTCACAAAGGCATAGCTACAATGAGAACTGCAGGAGATGCAGCTCTCAAATCACATACTTCCTCAGATATATTTCTTACATGATAACATACCATAAGTGCCAATACTAGTTCTAATCTGATCATTACCTCAGTAACCAAAGACAGATGTGTCTACAATGGATTATTTTAAATTAACAAGCCTTCCTCAGAAGATTCTTTTTGATGGGGACAAATACAAATTTAAGTCCAAACTGAGAAATTTGCTTAGCAACTAGAACTTAATTTAAATTTACTCACTTAAAAAACATATAGACAGTAACAAGTGTTAGTTAACCCTAAGGGACCAGTTTAGCCTCAAAAAAGGACAATTCACTAAGTTAAAGGTCATTTAATCTGGTGCTTTGTCACAACTTGACTGGTGCTTCTTTCCTCGCTGTCTTCACATCAAGCCATGGGGCCAATTCTATTTTTCAGTAAATGTTTGACAGCTTTTTACTTAATAACAGTCTCAGCACTTTTATTAAGCATGCAAGACTAACAAAACTTTGGCAATGCATAAGTGTAACACAGTGACAAGAGAGCTTTTACAATTAAGTCTTCTAATACTGCCTTCACAGTGTGGAAATTGTGCTACATCCACCAAAAGAGGGCCCCGTCTACTCAAATATTTTAGTACTTCACCCCAGGAACAAACTCCTTTGCATTTGGATTCAGATTGCTCTTGACCTGGAAAATAAGTACATAAAAAAGCAAGTTCATTAACAGATGCCTTCATATACTCAGAAGCATTCAACACAGATCTACATGCACAGTATCTTCCAAAAAATACCAGACAAAATCAAGAACTGAGATCAATAAACTTAACCCCAAAAAATCTATGGCTGGGAAGGCCAGAACCAGATGTAAGGTATATGCATTGTATTAAGTTTTAACAACTTTCTAAGGGAAAGTAGGAATTGAAATTAAATTTGCGTAAGTGTAACTAGAAACCTACTAACGTCACATAAACTAAAAAAGTGTTACAGAACAAGGAATTCTGTTCCTTTAATATTTGACTTTCTTTAAATAGTTTCATACTTTGTAAAAATATTAAATCAAGTGTTGAAATGATGATTAAAGTGATCGGGGAATTGTTTATAGATTAATTTTACTTTATGATCTTCACTGAAAATGTGGAGTTGTCTTTCTACAATTGCTGTATTCTAATTCCCACAGGAAGCATGGTATGTAATAGGAAAACTACCTGGGGAGTCAGAAGACCTAAACTGGAACCCCTGCTATGCCCCTAACTAACTTCCTATGTAGGCTTGGCAAAGTCACTCTCTCTGGGACTCCATTTTTTAATCAGTTAGGGGAAAAATGGGCCAACGCCTCAGAGAGCCTTAGAGACTTGTACCACATTATTCTGTATCTCTGAATCTCTACTTTCTTAGGCAGATGTTTCAGCATATAGGGAATAACTAGAAATTTTCCTCTACCACATCTTGGAATGCAAGTTGAAAAAGACGAAAAGAAACCAGGATGGATTCCAGGGCCTAACATGTAGGCATACTGGAAGGCTTTTAGACGGATTCTGAGCCCCCTGTGTCACTTGCTTCAAGATCAAAGCACATTAAACAACATGCTGGAGCAATAATTTAATCTTAGTTTCGTAATTTATATACAACCATTTTCTTGCACAGACATATTCTTCCTTCTCTCAGGGGAAATACATATAAAAGTGTGAGGTTCAAATAAAAAAGCAGTATTCATGAATGTGCAATCTTTTGGCAAAAGTAACCTCAAATAGGTCAAGTTGAACAAACCAGTTTCTAGACAATGGATTTCCACTGGTTCCAATTAAAGTTACACATTATACCCAGCAAAAGGCTTACTCATCAGAGCAACCAGGATTATCTGTCAAGTGACTAAGGTAGCCATAAGCAAGCATATCCCAGCAAACTATTCAGATCACACATTTCCTCAATTGGGTTATCTGCTGCAACAAAGGCTCTATCACAATTTAAGTTTCGGTGTCCTCTATATAGCCCTTTAGAAGAATGGTTTCCAAGTGCCTAACAGGGTAGGCTGGCAGTATCTTCTAGGAGTGCTTTTTAAAAAGAAACACGCCTAGATGATTGATTCTGCGGTTCTGGGATGTAGTTGAGGAACTTTTTTTTTTAATTTATTTTTTAAAAATGCTTCATAGGTAATTATGATGCACAGGCAGGTTAGGAAGTCACTGCACAGTGAACTGAAGACAGTTGCAAGAAATACTTCGGAGTATAGGGGTATATTTCAGAGACTTTGTAGAAGCAAAGAGATTATCAATATAGACAGAAAGGTTAACATTCTGACTTTAAGGTTCTACTCTAGTACTGATGCCTAGATATGACAATTCCTTAAAATACTTTTTACTACAAATATAGCATCAGCAATGAGACACTGAGAACTAAAGATGCAAACAGGCTTCTTTTCTGCCAAGAGCTTAATAGATATTCTTATTAAATCACAGTTCCAAAAGGAGATAGGGTGAACTCAAGTGAAAATCCTGGAGTTCCTGAATTCAGGGGAAAAAAAAATCTCCAAAATTTTAACTTTCAGATAAAAATTTGTGAATTTCACCAAACATTTAAGACAAAATTAAAGAGCAAAACCTTTCCATCAAGGTACTTTTATATAGGCAGGTCACATGGACACACTGTATACTTCTTTTGGATTAATATATTTAAGATATATTGATATTTATATATCCTAAAGCAACAGTTAACAAAACTAAAAGCAGTGGCAAGAAGTCTGTTAGTAGTCTCAGACTAACTCCAGAGTGTTGCCAGAAGTCACTCCATGTCATAAGTGAGACTGAGCGGCCTCTGCTTCCATAGTAAAGAGCAGTACAACTTCAGAAGGGGAAGAGATGTAGAACTCTTCTTAAACAGATGGTTGCTGACTTTTCCACTTATGGAAAAGATGAGCTAGGCTTTAAAAAGATGAAAAATAACTTTTTACCACAAGGTCTTCCAGAGAAGTGCCATCACTGATAACAAGATCATTAAATTGGTCTTGGATTTGGTCCATAGTTTGTGGAAGATCTCGAGCTGGAATAAACCACTCATGTTCTTCTTCCTCTTCCAGCATTTCTTGGAAACAGCGTTCGATAAATTCTTCTTCCCATAACTCCTCTTCTATCTGGATTTATAATAAATAAAGGATGATTTATAATAAAGGATAATTTATAGCATACTTGGCAAGACATCACTAGGAGCAGCTTGAAATATCTTGAACTATTAAAAGCACAATATCCTATTTCCTCTTCTGCATTAAGGGAGAAAAATGTTTATCATAATAACTGGGAAGATCTGTTTAGGGTTTTGCTTATGTCTTTACTTATCTCAGCAGAACATACTTTTTCCCACTGAAGGTGGAGGGAAGAAGTAATAAATAAAGGAGTGTTCCCATTGAGGAATGCATGTCAGAATTACCTAATATACTTTACAACTATATAAACCCTAAACCTACCCAAAATGACTGAAAAAAATCTTTAGACGGCAGTGTCACAGCATGGGTAGTTAAGAACAAACAATCAAAATGCCAACTAATTCTCACTGAAATAAGACTACATTATTTTGTTTTGTTGTTTTCAATTTTATTTATTTATTTTTAGAGAGGGAGAAAAAGAGGGAGAGAAACATTGATCAGTTTAATCAGTTGCCTCTTGCACACCCCCAACCAGACCACAACCCAGGCATGTGCCCTGACAGGGAATCTAACCAGCAATCTTTCGGTTTGCAGGACAGCACTCAACCCACTGAACCACACCAGTCAGTGCAAGACTGTAATGTTTTTTTGTTTTTTTAATTAAAAAAAAAAAAAAAAAAAAAGTATGTGTATGTGTGTGTATTAATTTATTTATTGATTCCAGAGAGAAAAGTAGGGAGGAGGGAAACATCGATGTGAAAGAAACATTGATCAACTGCCTCCCACACGCACCCCAACTGGGGACCAAACCTGCAACCTAGGTATGTGCCCTGACCAGGAATCAAACCCAGCAACCTTTTGGTCTATGGGAGAATGCTCCAACTGAGCCACACCAACAGGACAAGACTATGTTGTTTTACTCTTCAATATCCATCATCAGATATGGCAAAATCAAACTGGCTAATTATTACCAAAGTCAGAATCAGGGAGGAAGTGACAAAAGATGGGAACAGATGCCAGAAATATAGGAACAAAAGATGATATTTATCAATGCAGGAGAGTTCTCTAACCCTAGTTCCTATGAGTGTCTGCTCCTGAATCCTATTCTCTTGACTTTCACTGCAATAGAGCAATACGGTTGTTGCAAGGCAGTGGTTTCCAAACCTAATTGCTCACTGGAACCATGTGGGAGCTTTTAAAAAACAAGTTTCCCAGGCTATGCCTTAGTCTACCTGAATTAGAATCTCTGGGGTGGAACCCTGAAAAAAGCTCACTAACCTAATAGTAATCAGCACCCAGATAAAACAGGAGTGGTGGCACATAAATCTACATATTTCATATATAAGGGACCAGATAAAAAACATTTATGGAACAAGTACAGTTACATTATTTGAAGGCTGTCATGGGGTACAACCCCTCCCCCCGCAAACCAACATGTTTGTACTCAAAACTAACTTGTCTGTTAAATTCCTCTTCATTTTCCATCCACATGTACTCTGCAAATGGATTGTCATCTTCATGAGAATGACCATTAATAATCACATCTTCATTGATGATGCTTGGGCTAGTACTGCTGCGACTTGGATCTTTCATGGTTGGAGTTAGTTGTCGTTTTTAACCTTAAAAGAAAAACAACACAGTTAATTTAGTCAGTCATTTTTTCTTAGCATTTATTATCACCAGGCACCAGAGATAGGCATTAGATGCCCATGATACATTAATGCACATGACAAATCAAGCAATTGGAAAGCTTCATTTTTCCTCTAATGATTTTAATGTTTATGAAATAGCCCAGAACTTAGATTCATCAAATAGTCAGTGAAGGTAATCAATTGCTTAAATGGAGTCTTCACACCATCCAATTTTAAAAAATATTAACTGTCCCTTGCTTTATAAAACAAGCACAGTCTGGAAGACTTAAGTTATCAAGTGACTTTATGAAAAACAAATACATAAAAAAATGTATTAGAAAACTCAGAGATTGAAAGTAAAAACTAACAAATTTTTAATAACCTTTTAGTTCCTCAGTTCCAAGATACAGTGGCTAGATCTCTCGGACTTCATAGTCTACTCTACAGTTGATAGTTTTCCCTTGAATAACACAGATTTGAACAGTACAAGTTAAAACTTACACACTGATTTTTTTCAATTTACTGCAGTTCAACTGGCCAGTGCGGTTCAAAGTTGTTGTTCAAGAGTCAATTCCACCGCTGGAAATCTGTGTATGTGGAGGGCCAACTATACTTATACATAGATTTTGCCTCAACCCGTGTGGTTCAAAGGTTGTTTTATTTGCCTTATTTGTGGGTTCATGTTTGGATACCTCCATTGTACAATGAATTTCAGGCATCCAACCTCGTTGTACAACAGCCATCTCTTTATCACCTCCATCTTTTTTTTATGTGAGTAAAAGCAGTATCTAAAATGGTAGGTCTAGTTGGTTCCTTACACTCAATACATGCATGCCTCATTCTATTAAGCTTCATGGATGTTGCTATTTTTACAAATTGAAGGCAAGCCCCCAACCAGCAAAAGGATTACCAATGGCTCTATTTCAAGACTTGCTTTTATTGTGGTCTGGAGCCAAACATTCACTATTTCTGAGGCATGCCTGTAGGTGATAACTTGATCTAATCTGACATAATTGCAAATTAAAAGTTCAAATGTTAAATTTGGAATTCTACATTTTAAAAATGGGTTTATATAAAAAAAGAGTCACTTGTACATAAATCCAATCAGTGTTGTGACTTGTGCCAAAGGAGGAAAACCTATCTGAATATAGAGAGAAAAAACAAAAAAGAAAAAACAAAAAAGAAAAAAGAAGCCCATTCTCATCAGGCCTTCTTATTCCAAAGTTATCAAAATCAGGTAAAACACTAATAAAATCTTCTACTAGAAACAGTTTTTTTTTTTCCCCTTAGGTTAAGGTTCAGGGAGAGACTTGACCAGATGAGTGTTGCCTAACCTTTTAATTCATTTTTATACATTTATCTTTAGGAAACCTAAGTAAAAATTCATTTTTTGTAATATTTTTTTTAAATTTTATTTTAATTTATTTTTTCAAATACATTTGTCTCTGCCTCCCTGCCACTGATTTTTATTATGTAATATGAATTTAGTCTCTAAGCTGGGGGTAGGAGGGCCTATCCTGACACATCTGTATTTTCTCAAATATTGAATACTAACAATAGCATTGATGTTTTTAGACAAGAGATTCTCAAACTATAAATTACTGAGAACATCTGCCCTAGTTAGAGAGAGAGAGAGAGAGAGAGAGTGTGTGTGTACATACTCTAAGGTTTATTTATGTGCTAAGGTTGTGGATAGAAAGAAAACATGATTTGGGTTAGAAACTTGAGCCACTGTGAAAGCAGACAAGACAGAAAACAGACAATGGATGACTTTGATATTTTTATTTATCATTAACCTTGAATTAAATAAACCCTTTATTTTGATAACAAGTTTTGACTTAAAAGCAATCAGTTCCTTTAAAGAAAATTACTCATTCTTACATCAGGCTACCAAATATTTTTGCATGCTCATCTTTACATGAATTACATTTTAGATCCACCTCAAGTATTATGAAAAGCAAGAGGCCAATGCTGCTTTGTAACAGGATGGAACTTTGTTTATTCTTTGTATGAATCAATCTTTAAACCATGTTCAAAGACACCCCAATTTATAACAGACTTTCATCATTATTTTCCCAACATGTATCTTATCCCAACTTGTACCCATTAAATCCTAGCTTTCAGAAAACCAAAATATTAACAAGTGACTTATATCTCAATGAAAAACAGCAAAAATCATGCTTAATAGAGTATAAGATAATATTCAAATAGAATTGAATAGTTAAGCAGCAACTCTGTGAGACATGTCCATTTAGAAATACTTTTGTTTTAAAATATGCTTTCAGGTGATTAAAGTAGATCTATATATAAATGCAAAAAAAAAAAAAAAGTTTGCTTGCTTGCTTGCTTATTTATTTATTTATTTATTGAGAGGGGAAGGGAGGGAGAAAGAGGGAGAGAAACATCAATGTGTGGTTGCATCTCAGATGCCCCTACTGGGGACCTGGCTTGCAACCCAGGCATGTGCCCTACACTGGGAATCGAACCAGGGACTCTTTGGTTTGCAGGCCAGCACTCAATCCACTGAGCCATACCACCAGCTAGGGTGCAAAAAAGTTTTTTTAAGAAAAGTGTTTTCCATGCATGGTATGAGCAGAAGTTTGCATAAAACAATGGAATATCTGCTTCAGCAACTTCTATAGTCTGGGAATCCCAAGGGACTCCCTCCTCCTCATTTGATGTCAACCAGTAACAAAATACAAACAGTGCTTAGTAAAAAGGGCCCAATCCATGTACATGACCAAGCCCCGGGTCAGCTTTAAAACCTGTTAGCATGTCACTAACCAACCTGTGGATCTGCTTAAGATCCCAGCAAAAGAGTCTATGAAGTCTAAGTAAATGAAATTACTTTGCCATGCAATATTTGGGAAACAAATCATAACTGAAGCAAAAAAGAATGAACGGGAACCTGGACACTACTAATTTTACACATTAGACAGCTAAGGGAAGGAACAACTGTTGGCCACTCAAGTGAAAGTCAGAGGGGAAAGGACCATTTACTTTCAGAATGTTGACAGACACAATTACTGAACCTAAGGTATTCTAAAATAAGGTAATGTACTGGGTTTTTAATTTTCTTCTATGACCTGTTCTTGATCGTTCTTGGACCACACTCTTTATAGTGTTTCCCCTTTTTTGTATATGCTATTTTAAAAAAGTTGAGTATGTAGTTCAAACACTGTAAGCTTTACAATTTTAAAGGGTAAAATCGTAAAGTGATTGGCATATATTCAAAACAGAAAGCCAGACTTCCGGCCAAGATGGAGGTGTAGGTAGATATATTTTGCCTCCTTACACAACCAAAAAAAGGACAACAAATTTAAAAACAAAAAATAACCAGAAATGCCAGAAAATCGAACTGTATGAAAGTCTGACAACCAAGAGCTAAAGAAGAAACATTCATCCAGACCGGTAGGAGGGGTGGAGAGGACGCACGGCGAGGCAACGGCTAGAGGACCAGGTGGGCAAGGTGGTGACTGGTGGACCAGGCGGTCCCACATTCGTATGTGGATAAACCGTGAGGGACAGCTGGGGAGCAAGACAGACCATGCTATTCAGGGTTCCAGTACAGGAAAAGAAAGCCTCAAAGCCTCTAAAGGTAAAATCCTGTGGGGGTTGTGGCAGCAGAAGCAACTCCCAGCCTCACAGGAGAGTTCGCTGGAGAGATCCACGGGGGTCCTAGAACATACACAAACCCACACACCTTGGAATCAGCACCAGAATGGCCCAATTTGCTTGTGAGTAGCCGGGGAAGTGATTGAAAGCCTGCCGAGAGCTGAGCAAGTAGCATTGTTTCCTCTGGGACCCCTCCCCCACACACAGCATCACAACTCAGTGACCTGGGTTGCCCCGCCCTGGCAAATACCTAAGACTCTGCCCGTCCCAACATAACAAGTGTGGCAAGACAAAGAAATACGGCCCAAATGAAAGAACAGATCAAAGCTCCAAAAATAGAACTAAGTGATGAACAGAGAGCCAACCTATCAGATGCACAATTCAAAATACTGGTCATCAGGATGTTCACTGAATTGGTTGAGCATGGTTGCAAAATGGAGGAAAAAGTTAAGGTTACATAAAATGAAATAAAGAAAAATACCAGGGAACCAACAGTAACGGGAAGGAAACCAGGACTCAAATCAACAATTGGGAGCAGAAGGAAGAGATAAACATTTAACCAGAACAGAATGAAAAAACAAGAATTCAGAAATATGAGAGGCTTAGGAGCCTTTGGGACAACTTTAAACATCCCAACACCTGAATCATAGGGGTGCCAGAAGAAGAGGAAAAGCAAGATATTGAAAACTTATCTGAAAAAAAAAAAAAAAAAAGAGGGAGAACTTCCTCAATCTGGCGAAGGAACTAGACTTCTAGGAGATCCAGGAAGCTCAGAGTCCCAAAGAAGTTCGACCCAAGGAAGCACACACCAAGGCACATTATAATTACATTAGCCAGCATTAAAGATAAAGAGAGAATCTTAAAAGCAGCAAGAGAAAAGGAGACAGTAGCCTACAAAGGAGTTCCCATAAGACTATCAGCTGATTTCTCAAAAGAAACCTTGCAGGCAAGGGAGGGCTGGAAAAAAGTATTCAAAGTCATGAAAGACAAGGACCTACATCCATCTAAGATTATACTATCCAGCAACACTATCATTTAGAATGGAAGGGAAGATAAAGTGCTTCCCAGGTAAGGTAAAGTTAAAGGAGTTCATCATCACCAAGCCCTTATTACATGAAATGTTAAAGGGACTAATCTAAGAAAAAGAAGACCAAAAACTAGGAACAAACTCACAACTATCAACAACTGAACCTAAAAACAAAAACAAACTAAGCAAACAACTAGAACAGGAACAGAATCACAGAAATGGGAGATCAGAGGGGATGGGGAGGGGGAAGAAAGGGGAGGGGGTGGTACACGGAATAAGCAGAATAAAAAGTAGGTACAAAATAGACAGGGGGAGGTTAAGAATAGTATAGGAAATGGAAATGCCA